AATTCTTGAATTTTGTCTGATTGGACACTAACTCAGTGTAGTGATGCCACTCATTATCTCGTGTTCATAAGAAGCACTTATTTGCAGTTATGTAAATATTTGATTACAAAAACTTGGAAATGAATAATTAATAAATGCATTTTTTGGCTGACAAAATAATTATATAAACCTAAGCCCAGGGTGGTAGAGGAAAGAAAGAAAGGATGACAAAAGGAATTCTGGTGGTAAGAAAGTGACTCATGGCTCTCATTTCTCCAAAAGGCCTGGTACACAGTAGGTACTCAGGAAGTACTCATTGAGTATCTCGAGTGTGTGAGGATGTAGGAATATGTAATGATGATGATACCCCTGACCCCTGGGTTCAATGACGCCTCTGTCAACCCTAGTTGACTGTCCCATGGGGACCAGGCTAAGAACCAATTCAAGAATGGTCCTAGCCTCAGGTTCTTTTACCCCAAATGGGTGACATGCCAATTCTTAGCCCTCATCCAAGTAGCACTAACATTGGTGAGAACCTGGGGACAGGGTCGTGTATTCTGGAGCCCCTCCAAGGAGCAGGGGCAACAGCCTGGATTCTGATGCCCACGGCAGCCCCCATGCCCCTTTGCTCCAGGCAGCTCTGCAGAGTTTGGCCAGCTGTGGGAGGTGCTATTCTCTTTCACTTCCAAGATTAGCTCAGACCTTAAAAATCACAGCCTGGCGCCTGTTCCTCTCATGCCAAGGAAAACAGTAGATGTCAGAAGCCTCCTTAGGTATCTGGAAGAGAACAGCGCCTTTGCTCCCTCCCTTCCTTGTATGAGGTCATTGAATCAGGATGACAAAGCAAACAGTGACATGTGTTGGGACTTGTTCCCACAATGATTCCAGGCTTTCCCAACCCCTCTCTGCTCCCCATTCTCAGAATGGCAGACCCAGGGGTGGACAACAAACTGAACTGGATTTAGTCCTTGGGATCCTGGGAAATGGGAGGCATCCACTGTAACAATAAAGAGCAGGTCCTGTACAGACCTTGGTAAACGAGGGAATCGGATATTAGCACCACCAGACATTTGCACAGAGGTTTCCCAGGCTTCAGCATATTTTCATTTATTCTCATTTGAGTTAAGGAGGGTGAGAATTCTTTTCTGACTTCACAGATGAGAAAACTGAGGCTTATTTAAGGCCAGCAACTTAATCAAGGTTACATGGCTTAAGGATCACAGGGCGAGACTTGAAATTAGTTTTGTGACTCTGGTTACATCATCTTCCCACCTCACCACAGTTCCTTGAACTCCAGTCTTTGGTATATCTGCTTCATACTTTTGCCTTGTTGCATAGCAGCCTACTATTATTTCCTGAATGTTTTTCTTTAAATAAAGTCACTTTAAAAGTTGACCTTATTCTAGGCAACAATACATACGTGTGTATATATATATAAATAATAATCTATGTATTTATATGCATCATTACTAAAACTGAACATTTTCATCCTCTTCCTCTAAAGTCAACTCTAATCACACCAGGGACACTAGTGCACACTGTGAGAAACTGTCCACTGTCCTGCACCTACCCTGCATTACTAAGAACGGACCTTCACAGGCTGGCAGTCACTAAGTGGCTGCCCTTGTTGAAATGCTCAGCCAGTAGATCGCTCAGGGCCATCACTGTTGTCATTAGGGCTGTGTCTCCAAATCACAGAATTACTGAATCCTGGAGGATATGAGAGAGATCATGGAATCCAACTCCTAAGGGGCAAGGCCTTATGCAACATACCCACTCATAGTCCTAAAGATTAAGGGGTACCATTAAAAGATATAAAGATGAACCAGATTAGTCCTTGCTCTTAAAAACTCACAAAGATTACAAACATGAACAACTGAAAACTAGAGGAATAAGCACAGGAATCAGAGAAGCTCTGGACTTGGTTCCACCACAAACTTGACTTTGAGCAAGTCCCTTCATGTTTCTGAGCTCCAGTGTCCTTAAACAGAGATGACAATATCTCTTCTTTTTGTGTTTTAAGACAATGGGAGATTCATATTTTCAAAATGGGTGTGATATAGCAAAACATCAAGTTTTTCACCTTAATTCAGAACAATTTTGTATTATTTGTCAATTATACCTCAATAAAAATAAGGGGGAAATGGGTGTAAAAAGTTCTCTGTAAAAAAACATAAAGCTATAATATAATGTGCAAGTACTAAATAGGCAAAGCCCAAACTCCCACACAGAATATTTACATTATGACTGCAGAATGACTCCAGGTGAAAACTTTAAGTATCAGAAACAACAGGTTGAAAGACATTTGGGGAGCACTATATGGGTGTGACCAGTGTCCCTAACTTGCTGCTTCCAGGTCTTGGGCCTAGGAAGACGTTGGTGAGCTGAACCAGCTTGCTGCCCTTCACTCCTTCAGAATCCTGCTATTCTTCTCTGATTCTTATTCTTCTTTCTTCTTTGAAACATGTCTTTTAGCTTCCCACCCCATGGCCAACTTGCTGCATAGTAATGGGTCTCTCCTGCCCTCTTGTGGTCACTCCCTGCAATTGCTGCACTGACTTTTAAGGGGTATGCGTGACATCCTGAGGAGACCAGAGCCAACCCTCAAGATCAAGCTTTTCCAGGGCTGGCAGAGGACTTAAAACACAATTAAAGGCAGCTGCTGGAATCTAGAGCCCCTTAACGGGAAGAGCAGTTCCACCCAGATCCACCTGGTTTAGCCCCAAGTAGAACAAGAATCCAGGCCTCTGTCTGCATTAACTCCGCAAAAACATTCCGTTCCTTGACTGTCCCGCTGGTCTGGAAAACCCAAGGGCAGAAGGCTAGGACTAGAACCTGCCCTTCAACCCCTACCCATTGAAAACAACAGTTAACTGAGCACCTGTTTTGTGAACTGATTGGTACCATGGGGTGCAATGCAGGTGGAGTACAAAATAAGATGTATAGTTCCTGCTCCCAACTCATACATTTTACAAGCATAAATAACCTAAGCACACATATCATTTAACAGACACCAAGTCCCTAGACTAAGGGCTATCATAGAAGTAGAAATAGAGTGCTATAGGGCTGATGGGGAAGGAGCGGTTAGTGATGACCATGGGGATCAGGGTTTCCTGAAAGTAAAGTCACTCAAGATGGACTTTGAAAAATGAGTAGGGCCTTACCTAGCAGACATGAGCAAGGAAGACCACAACGCTACTACTAATAACTATATTTTGAGGGAGCTGTTTGTGTGTCAAGCATGGTTAAGGGTTTTATAGGTATATTAGTTATTTAATCTCCAGCACAATATTATGAGGTAGGTATTATTTTCTCTGGTTAACAGACAAGGAAACCAAGGCTTAAGGCCATGTATACATCAAGGATTAATAGAAAACATAGAAAGTAAAAGCAAAAGGTGTGTTGGGGGCAAATAATCCATTATTATTAGAGTATCAGGTTCACCTGGTCAGGTGGCAGAAAGGAAAGGACAAAGGCATATAGTAGGGTGTAGTGATGATTATCAAAAAGTACAGGAACCCAAAAGGTGAAGGGATTAAGAAGTACAAATTGGTAGTTACAGAATGGTCACAGAGATGTAAAGTACAGCATAGGGAATATAGTCAATAATATTGTAATAATTATGTATGGTGTCAGATAGGTACTAGATTTATTAGAGTGATTGCTTAGTAAGTTATATAATGTCCAACCACCTGAAACTAATATAATATTGTATGTCAATTGTAATTGAAATTTTAAAAAATGTTTTTAAATACAGGAACCTTATGATAAGGGATTTGAAAGCCTCAAGAGAATTTAGACCTCACTCTTTGGATAATGGATAATTTAGACCTCATTCTTTGGATAATGAAATCCTTTGAGATTTCAGAACAGAGGATTCTGCTCAGAGATGCACTTTAAGCTAATTCCGATGTGTAGAGGAGAGGTTGATGAGGCAGAGACAAGAGGAAGGGAGATCTGTGTGGAGTCAGAGTTGAGGGGAGCTTGGGTCAGGGCAGTGGGCAATACAGAGGGATGAATGTCTACAACAGAGAAACTGTTAAGATTGACTTGGGGAATAAAGAAGTCCACCTGGAGCTACCCTCAGTGGGAACCACTATCCCCTCACATGCTGAGCCCTCCAATCTGCTTCTCCAAGGCCAGGTCCAACTGGGGAGAGAAAGGCTTCTGGTCTCCCACAGACTGGAAGTCTCATTCTCACCCTATAGTTGTGCCAAACCTCAAAAACCAAAGCAAGGCAAAGACTGTTCAGATTGCAGAGAAGTCTTGAAAATTGTTCTCAATGTCCACATCAAGTGAAGAATCTCAAGATCAAAAAGCAGCCTGTCACAAGAAGACACCATACCAGTTTGATGCTGTGACCTGTCCCCCCAAAGGTCAAGGAGAGTTTTATGTCATTTCCCAGCAGACCATCAGACCTGGTTGGGTCCAAACCCTGCATGGGAATTCAGCCATTCCAGGGACCTGGATTCCTGCTTTTGATTGCCACAGGACTGGCAGGCTTCCCTCTGGCTCCCACTCTCAGGAAGCCAGCCACAGCTGTTGGTCACTTGTCACACCCTATCCGGGAGGTGGTAGTATTTCAATGGTAAAGTAACGGATCCCCAGGCTGTGGCTTACGGTTTCAAAGTTTGTTAGGAATTGTGTCATATTTCCCAAAAGAGCTAACTCCAATGAAGTTAGTAATGGGTAAAAGCTTGGGCTACCAGGAGATGCTGGGGCTTCATACTTCCTATCCTAGATTAGCACAATTCCAGAGAAAATATTTATAGCAGGCACTCAACAAGCATTTTTTTAAATTCTCACCCAACGATATTTTTCCATTTATCTTCAGATAGAGTGGGAGGAGGAGGAGGAGGAGAGAGACATCCATGTGAGAGAGACACATTGACTGGTTGTTTCCTACACAACCCTGACCAGGGCCAGGGACGAACTGCAACCAAGGTAACATGTCCTTTACCAGAATTGAACCCATGACTCTTTGGTTCTCAGGCCAATGCTTTAACCACCAAACCAAACTGGTCAGGGCTCTACAAGCATTTTTAATGTACCAGGAACTGTATAAAATCCTTAGAAATTTCCTAAATCAAAGAGACCTGTTTTAATGTTAAATACATACCCCTGACCTTTTCTCTCCAGAGTGCTGCTAACTGTGGTACTTACTTCACCTCCCCCCCCCAATAAATGAGTACTTATAGCCAAGAAGAACTTTGTTCCCAATGCCAAAGCTATGGAGATAAGGTGTCCAGGACTGCAGTCTGCCTGCAGAATCCCTGCCTGCCACCTGGTCTTTCACCTCACCCGCAGGTGCCCCTGACTCAGGTTCATCTGGTAGGGGGCTACAACTGTTTTCTAGCCCTCTTCTGAGATCCAGGCCTCTACATCCAACTGCTTTCTGGATGCCTTTACTTAGATGTCTCAAAGGACATCAAGTTTGACTTGTCCAAAACCAAACTTACAATATCCTCCATTGCCACTCAATCCTCCTCCAACATCCCTCATCTCAATAAATCCACCCCCTAGTCAGGTGTACAGCCAGCGACCTAGGAATCACCCCCCACCCTTCCTCCCTCTCTACTCCCAGACAATCCCTCACTCAGTCTCAGCCATTCTACTTCTAACAATATTGTTAAAGACCCATTTACCTCTCTGCATCTCGATCTCCACTTACTACAGGCTGCAATAAGCTCTCACTAGACTTTGGCAGACTTCTAACTGGTCTTCCTATATCCATCCTTCCTCCACACTGTAGCTTGAATGTTCTTTTAAAAACCCAAATCTGATCATTTCACCATCACTAATACCCCCAGTGGCTTCTCATTGCCCTTTAAATAAAGAGGTGGGCATGAAACAGAAGTCCAGGATAACTGACCAGGGACATCTTGCTTTTAGTTAACTGTGTGCTTGCTGTAACAATATTTTTTTGTAATGGCTAATAACCTTACATTTGTTTCTGAGGAAGGAGAATGAATTACCTTGATTTCTGGTAACCATAAATTGTGACCAATACCATTTAGGAGGGCATAATAAGCCTTTTGAACAAAAACATCCAATATCCATGAATGGGGACACACACTACTTCCTCAAGATCCTGTAAGGTACATCTTGAGTCAGCTGAGACCTTGAAGAATTAGCCTAGAGCAGGGGTTGGCTAACTATGGCCTGCGGGCCAAATCTGTCCTTATAAATAAATATTTGTTGGAACACAGGCACACTCACTTGATTGTGGATTGTCTATGGCATTTGTACTCCAACAGCAGAGTCAAGTAGCTGCGACAGAGACTATAATGGTTTGCAAAGCCTAAAATACTTGGCCATTAAAGAGGTTCTCCACTATGGGCTACTCAATGAAATGACCTCGAGTGCTTTTAGAAGGGATCACCTCAGAGATTCTGATTTAAATGATCTGAGATGGGATCCAAGCATTGGAATGAAAAACTTAAAAAATTTCCCTAGGCAATTGTACTATGTAGCCACAGCTGAGAATCACTGATCTAACCCAGTCTCCTCCGATGTCAAGATTTGTGTCCTTTTGGTAATGAATAACAACTACTGATATCTACAAAGCCCTGTAAAGCACATCCATCACATTATCTCATTTGATCCTTAAAGCAAATTTGAGGTTCAGAGAACAAGAAGCATTGCTGATCCTGCTTCACACATGAAAGAATTGAGGCCCAGGGAACTTAAGTCATGTCCCCAAAGTCTCCTGTTCAGTAAATAGGAGCTAAGATTCACATGCAGGTCTATTGAATCAAATCCAACAACTATTTATGTTACTTATACAAGTTACATATATATCATTTTATTTTGGCATGTGGAGTCCTATTTGCTTCAGGGTCTCTAGACATGGGACCATGTCTATCTACCTCCCCCAGAACATTTAGAAATCTTCCTTCCTAAAGCAGACTGTGCTCTATGGAGTCCCTAGGATTCTTCAGGGTCATTGTGAGGGTAGAGTGAGGAGGAGAGAATGTGTGTGTGGGTGTGTGCAACCTCCATGCCCTCACTTCCCCCACAACAGGTATATTTTTACCTGTTCAAGCATTAGGATCCCACATACAATTTTGTTTGAGTACAAAGTTTCACCTTTGAAGACCACTGATCTGGTTTAGACCTTGGTCCGCTGCCTTGATACAAGATGGCATGGTAACTCTGTCCCCAAATTCCTGTCACTTCTTACATCATCAACAAATTCTTCCCTGTTGGTTTAAATGAAGTTCAAAATAATAGTTTCTCATGATACCAATCTTGGTATTGTTTTTTGAGAAATGAAAGACATCACTCCTAGCAGACCAGACTTCCCACATCTGACAGGGTAACTGAAGTTTCTTATTACTGCTTCTTGCTTACCTCACGCAAACTGTATGATCCATGTGAGGAAAGCATCATCCTTGTCCACTCTCTTTTGGGCCACAGCATTTCTCCTGCCTGCTCATCATCTTTGCCTGCAGCCCAGTCCACAGGCTCTCTGCCTGCTTCCACGCTTAGACCTTCCTTTGTAGAAGTGAGGCATTAATGATGGGGGTGGGGTGGGATGGGGTGAGATAAGACATCTTCTTGAATTTCTTCATGCTTCCAGAGACAAAGGAACACTTATTCCCCTTTCCACAGAGGTGAGATGCCCCACACTGGGCAAGACACATCTAGCTTTTCATACTATGACCTTATTTGCACCTTCCCACATGAGAAGTAACAACCAATCTGGTTGGTCAGGGTCCAGGACATTCAAAGGGCTGAATTTTTTTTATCAGGACTCAGTGTGAGGTATGCTATGGTCTTGAACTGGGGTCCTGATAAGTCAGGATCTGTTCTTAAACCTGGCAGGAGGATTACAGTGTAAGGAAGTAAGTAACTCCCATGGTGCATCTATTTTTTAGTTCCCAGAGTAACAGGGAACCCCAGGGTCACGCCCATAGCATGACCTCATATTTCATCCCTATTTGAAGCAATATCAGTGAATCCTGGAGCCTAACTGACAGTAGGATCCTACCACTCAGGAAAAGCACAGTCCCTGAAACTTAATGAAAGACGTGTGGCCCTAAACAAACAGGAGGCATCTTCACCTTCTCATTTTAACAGAATCATGTCTCTTACTTTACTAGTTCTCAAAATATATGGTTCCTTTTTACATACATACCAAAACACTTGTTATTGTTGCTAATCCTCACCTGAGGATATTTTTTCATTGATTTTTAGAGAGAATAGAAGGGAGGAATTGGAGGTGGGGAGAGAGAGAGAAAGAGAGACAATGATATAAGAGAGACACAGCAATTGGTTGCCTCCCACAAGAGGTGTGACTAGGGCTGGAGAGCAAACCTGTAGCCCAGGTACGTGCCCTTGACTGGGAATCAAACCCGTGACTCTTCGGTGTGTGGGTCAATGCTCTAACCACTGAGCAATACCAACCAGGGCCATACACAAACACTTTTAAACATGAATACCAAATTCAAGAAAATCAGATGCGTAGATAAATTTAGAAAGCCAACAGTATAGAAGAAAAGGCCAGTCACCAGATTTTACAAATGATCATCTGACATTCTGGACATTCAACTTGATATGTTATCCTAAATATCCCATGTCATGTGGTCCATAAGGTCTTCCTTTAGGATTCTGAAGTAATCAATAGCCATACTTGTCATTAAGATGGGTTCTGCCATCTCCACTTTGACCTGCAACAGAGCATAAAGAACAAAAGAAATACATTCAGTTTTCCATAGTCAGGGGAGAAAAGAAAAGACATCTGTGAGCCAAAAAGTAAAACAGATAATCATTTCTTCTATGATACAAATTTGACTTTTTGCATCCAATTTCAAAATATGACCCTCTTTTCAATTCTACACTAACACCAGCAGATAAAGGAGCAAGCATTTCTAGGAATTTAAATTTCTATTAATTAGAAACCCAATCCACAGAAAAAGCAATCTGTGATGAGCATATGGGGAAAAAGGCATCTTCTATATTGCCATAAGAATAAATGTATGATTGTAAACTGGCACAATGTCTATAGAATGTGATTTATAACATCTTTAAAATGTTCACAGCCTCCCCTGGCCAGTTTGGTTCAGCGGTTAGAGTATTGGCCAACGGACCAGTGAGTCGGGGGTTCCATTCCAGCCAAGGGCATATACCTCGGTTGGGGTTCGTCCCCGGCCCTGGTCAGGTTCATGTGGGAGGCAACCAATCGAAGTATCTGGCTCACACTGATGTTTCTCTTTCTCTTTCTCTCTCCCTCTCCCCAATCCTCTTCCCCTCCCTCCCACTCTATCTGAAGATTAATGGAAAAATATCCCTTGGGTGATGATTAAAAATTAATTAATTAATTAATTAATTTTTAAAAAAGTTCACAGCCTCTGATCTAGCATAACTTCTACAAATTTTTTTCCTACACATGACCTCTACATTTGCAAAATTATATATGTTAGAGATTATTCATTACAGTTATTTATAATGGCAAAAGAGTGGAAACACAGCAAATATTCATTGAGGAAACTGGTTAAATAAGTATAGGTATATCCATACCATAAAAAAGAACTACGCTACCACACATGCGTGTGCACACACACAGACACAGAGATCTATAAATAACTATGGAAGGGTCTCTGTACAGTGTTAAGTGCAAAACAGCAAGGCATGGAATATGCTTCCAATTTTGCAAATCACATTGTTTGACTTATCTGAGAGTAAGAAAAACATTTATATGAATAAAGATTCAAAGTGACATAATTAGAAAATATTTTATTGTAAGAAACCCAAGATCACACCCCTTACTGCCTTATTTGGAAAACAGATCAACATTTTTTAATATAAATTTCGTATAGTGTGAAAAGAGAGGGTTGATTAAAAGAATAAACTTATTTATACAAAATCCTAGCTGAGAAAAAAGTTGACTACAGTCGTCCCTCGCCACTTCGCTCTTCAACTTTTGCGGCTTCACTCTATCGCGGGTTTTTCAAAGTATAGTATAGTATAGTATTTGAAAAACCCGCAATAGAGTGAAGCCGCGAAAGCTGAAGTGCAAAGTGGCGAGGGATGACTACATATAAATAAAGAATCCTACTTCGGCCCTGGCCGGTTTGGCTCAGCAGTAGAGCGTAGGCCTGCGGTCCAGAGAGACCCAGGTTTGGTTCCTGCTAAGGGCACGTACCTCGGTTGCAGTTTGTCCCCAGCCCAGCCCTGGTAGGGTCGTGCAGGTGGCAACCACTCAATGTGTTCCTTTCATGTTGATGTTTCTCTCTCTCTCTGCCTCCCAACTCTATCTGAACAAAAAATGGAAAAGTGTCCTCTGGTGAGGATAAAAAAAAAAGAATCCTACTTCGCCAAAATTTATTTATTGCAGTAGAGTCTGGAACTGAATAACCACGATAAACGAGGGCCGACTGTATTCTTATTTTGACTAGTATATACTTCTCTTAAATACCAGAATTAATTAAACTCTTAATTCAGTTAACACAACAATTAACACAATATAATTAACTGAAATTACAGTGCTGTCAAGGTAAATACTTATATTGGGTATTTACTTGTACTTGGGAAATAATAAGTTCACAAAATGCATAGTATGGGTTTCATTTGATGTCTTTTATAATAGAGCCTACTACTGTTATGAATTAAGTTATCCTGAATGATAGATAATGCTCTTAAATACATCTACGGGGGGGGAGAATGTTTCCATTTGTGTAAAAAAGTGGTGAAATATTATTTATGTTATTGCTTATGTAGGTGTTTTATATAATATATATAAGAAGTCATGTCCGGCCCTGGCCGGTTTGGCTCAGCAGTTGGAGCATCAGCCTGCGGTACAGAGAGACCCGAGTTCGGTTCCCGCTAAGGGCATGTACCTCGGTTGCAGTTTGTCCCCGGCCCTGGTTGGTCATGTGGGTGGCAGCCACTTGATGTGTCCCTTCACATCGATGTTTCTCTCTCCCTCTCTTCCTCTCTCTCCCTCCCGCTCTATCTGAACAAAAAATGGAAAAATGTCCTCTGGTGAGGATAAAAAATAAATAAAAAAAAAAGTCATGTCCGGCTGGTGTGGCTCAGTGGTTGAGCATTGACCCATGCATCAAGAGGTCGCCAGTTCGATTCCCGGTCAGAGTATATACCCAGCTTGTGGACCAAATCCCCAGTGGGGGCATGCAGGAGGCAGCCGATCAATGTTCTCTCTCATCAATGTTTCTCTCTCTCCCACTCCCTTCCTCTCGCTCTAAAAATCAATAAAAATAAATTTTAAAAAAGAAAAACTAATACTTAAAAAAAAAAGAAGTCATAATAAACTGATATTTCATTGTCTTTAGAGGAAATAAACTGAGTAGCTGAGGCATAGCCAGAGATTTCTTTTTATCACTTTAAGGAAAACTGAAAATACAGCAGTAAAGAGAAAAATATAATGATCCTCCTTCTGCCCATCACCCAGCTTTAACAATTATCAATATATGGCAAATCCTGCTTTATCTATTACTCCTCCCCTACCTACCCTCATCTTCCACCACTGGATTATTTTAAGGCAAATCCTAGATATCATTCCATCTGTGAATATTTCTATACATATTTAGAAGAAGATAAGCACTTTTTCTAAAAAGCATAACTTAAGATCATTCACACATTTTTAAAATTGTTTTCTTCTTTATTGATTTTAGAGAGAGAGGAAATGAGAGGGAGAGAGAGACAGAAACATAGATGAGAGCAAACATCAACTGGCTGCTTCCTGCATGTCCCCCACTAGGGATGCATTGGGGATGTGGCCCACAACCTTGGCATGTGCCCTGACTGGGAATCAAACCGGCACTGGCTGGGCGAAATCATTCACACTTTAAAAAAATTAACAACAGTCCAGCCAGTGTGGCTCAGTGGTTGGGCATTGACCCATGCACCAAGAGGTTGCCGATTTGATTCCCGGTCAGGGCACATGCCGAGGTTGTGGGCCACATCCCCAGTGGGGGGCATGCAGGAGGCAGCCAACTGATGTTCGCTCTCATCTATGTTTCTATCTCTCTCTCCCTCTCATTTCCTCTCTCTCTAAAATCAAAAAAAAAGAAAAAATTAACAATAATTTCCTAGTATACAAAATTATCTGGCTTATCATTTTTTTATAATAGTTTGTTTGAATAAGGATCCAGAGTCTACAAATTATATTTGTTGCTGTGTCTCTTTAGATCTTTCAATTGCCATTCCCCAGTAAGGGAGAGCATTCCACTAAATATTCTTGTAACTTTCTTATTTTGAACCTTAAATACACAGGGGTTGGCAAAAGTAGGTTTACAGTTGTGAGTACACAAAACACAAGAGTTCATTCTTGTATTACTATTTATTAATTATTGTGATATTTATTTGTATTACAACTGCAAACCTACTTTGCCCAGCCCTATATATTATATATTCAAAAAAATATATAACTAAATCTTAGAGGAAAAGAAAGTAAAAACAATCTACCTTCAGGTGGGACCCACACACAGTAGTCTGGGTCATCTTCTGGATATTTGGAGGAAAGTGTTGGTGGAAGCTGCAAAGAAAAGATAGGTTATTTTATTCAAAAAAAATTTTAACTCTAAGAATTACTGCCCCTATGCTTTTCAGCAAACAAAAACTAAGAGAGAACAGCTTCCATTAATGGTCTTGACATAAGTAATCAAAATATAGAGGACATTTTCTCTCTGAACCTTGATTTTATTTTTTCTGTAAAGCCTCAACTAGCTGATTTCAGTCACTGAGAGTGAATATGTTTTTACTGATATGTTTTGAGAGAGAGAAGAAGGAAGAGAGAGAAAGTAACATCGATGTGAGACAGAGAAACATTGGTCAGTTGCCTCCTGCACGCCCCCTACTGGGGATCGAGCCTGCAACCTGGGCATGTGCCCTGACTGGGAACTGAACTGGGACCTCTCAGTCCATAGGATGACACTCAACCCACTGAACCACACTAGCAGGGCTGAAGTACTATTTTTTTAAAAAGGCAGTTAACACGGGTCTGAGTTTTTTCCCAAAGAGGGAAATTTGGTATTTGCCTTTTGATCTAGGTGCAGGAACAATTTGGCATAGCAAGCCTGATTGCTATCCTTTGAAAGCCCTGTTTGCAAGTTGGCCATTAGCTAGCATCTGGTAACTTAGATTTCAGGAGGGTTCCCACTATCCATTAGGATAGTGCCTAAACTGTGATTCATGTGATTTATGCTGAACACCTGCTTTTCTTCTGGGAGACTGGAATTTGGGTACATGCCAGGTGGGGGTGCACCTACATGATCTCAGTCCTCAATAAAAACCCTGGGCACTGAGTCTCTAATGAGCTTCCCTAGTTAGCAACATCTCACAAATTGTCACAACTCGTTGTTAGGGGAATTAAACACATCCTATGAGACTCCAGTGGAAAAGGACCCTTGGAAGCTTGTACCTGGTTTCCCCAGACTTCACCCCACATGCCTTTCCCTTTCTGACTGTGCTCGGTATATATTTTTGCTGTAGTAAATCACAGCTGTGAGTACAACCACATGCTGAGTCCTATGAGGCCTCCTGTGAGTTACTCTGCCTGAGTGTGGTCTTAAGGACCTCCTGATACAACCTAGCAATCTCATTTCTGGGAATTTACTATATTCATACAAAATTAGGTGTATACAAGATTATTTATAGCACCGTTATAATTAAAGACTAGAAACAACCCAAATGTTTCTTCAGGGAACTGGTTAAATAAACTACATCCATACAGTAGGAAGCTCTTGGTGTACTGATAGACAATGATTTCCATGATAGGTTAAAAAAAAACGCAAGATGGAGAATGTAGTACGTAACATCTTACCGTCTGTGTAATAAAAGGAGGAAAATAAGAATATATTACTCAAATGTCTTTGTATGGTATACTAGAATATAAAGATTCACAAATTAATAAAATAGGTATGTGAGCAGTTACAGAGAGCAGGGTAGATGGAGACAAGAATAGAAAAATCAAAAAGTAAAAACTCAAAAATAAAAATAAATAGAGCCCAGGCTTCCAGAAGAGGGTTATAAGGCAGTTAGGAACTCTGCCAAGATAATTCCTACAGATTCACTCGTCTGGATGTGGTCCATGACAAGGGGATTTGTTTTTACTTCCAGAGAAGTGAAGATTATGACTAAATTACTTACTTTGCCTGGACCAGGAGCTTTCTTTTTCTTCAGTTCATCTCTGCTTTTCTCATATTCATTCTTTGATGCTAATTTAAGAAAAAGGAAAAAAAAAAAATAAGGCAATAGCTATTTCAGAATAAGTGAAATAGAAAAAAAAATCCTCCTAAGAAAGCATTAGAGCATTATATTTATTGAAAAAAAAAAAGTAACAATAAAATTCTAAAAGTTCTATTATTGTAAAGACCATATACTAAGTGAATTTTCCCTTCACTAATAACACTAGTTTTCAAATCCTAATGCTATTCTACAAGTTTGAACATAATCACACCATTAGAAATGTGAAGGAATATGGGGCTGACTTTACTATACTATAGTTTAATGATAACACTTAAAAGCAGTAGAAAACCAGAAAAAAAGTCCTTTGAATAGGCCAAACTTTCAACCAATTTTTTTTCAATTTTTATTAATTTATTTTTGTTACAGATGTTTTTCCTTTTCCCCCCTAGACACCCTCTCCCCACCCACCCCCACAGCATTGTTGTCTATATCCACTGGTTATGCATACATGCATATAAATTTTTTGGTTTATCTCATCCATCCTTTCCCCCACCCCCCTCCTCTGAGGTTTGTCAGTCTGAACTGTATTCCTTTCTATGTCTCTGGGTCTATTTTGTTCATCAACTTATTTTGTTCATTATATTCCACAAATAAGTGAAATCATGTGTTATTTGTCTTTTTCTGATTGGCTTATTTAGCTGAGCATAATGCTCTCCAGGTCCCTCCATGTCATCTCAAAGGATAAAAGATCTTTCTTTCTTACAGCTTCATAGTATTCCATTGTGTATACCTACCACGGCTTTTTTATCCACTAATCTACTGATGGACACTTGGACTGTTTCCAGATCTTAGCAATTGTAAATAGTGCTGCTATGAACACAGGGGTACATATATTCTTTCTGATTGGTGTTTCAGGCTTCTTAGGATATATTCCTAGAAGTGGGATCACTGGGTCAAATGGCAGAGCATTTTTTCATATGTCTTTTGGCCATTTGTATGTCCTGTTTGGAAAGGTGTCTATTTAGGTCCTCTGCTCATTATTTAATTAGGTTCTTTGCCTTCCTTTTGTTGAGTTATAAGTACTCTCTATATTTTGAAACTAGCCCCTTATCTGATGTATCATTGGCAATTATGCTCTCTCATATAGTGGGTTTCCTTTCCATTTTGATGGTTGTTTCTTTTACTGTGCAGAAGCTTTTTAGTTTGATGTAGTCCCATGTATTACTTTTTCCTTTGTTTCTCTTGCCTTAGGTGTTGTATCAGTGAAAATTCTGCTGCATGGGATGCCTGAAATTTTGTTGCCTCCATTTTCTTCTAGGATTTTTATGGATTCACGAGTCACATTTAAGCCTTTTATCCATTTTGAGTTTATTCTTGTGCATGGTGTAAGTTGGTGGTCTAGCTTCATTTTTTTTTTTCCTGCTATGTCATTCATTGTCAGTTGGTTGGTTTTCAATATCTTTACCCATGCTACTGAGCTCTTTACTCATGCTGTTGAGCTTCCTTATCATCATCGCTCTGAACTCTACCTCTGATAGCTTGCTTAACTGCATTTCATTTATCACTTCTTCGGTAGAGTTCTCTTGTTCTTTCATTTGGTATTTGTTTCTTTGTTTCACTATTTTGGCTATCTCAGTGGGTTTTTGAGCCTGCCAAATTTTCCCTGTGGGTGTTGGTGTTTCACTGACTGTGGCTCCCTCTACTGAGTTTTGAAGGACCCACATTAAACATCACTTTCAAAGTCTTACTTCCTAGGTAGATTTGCAAGCCCAAGAAAGATTCAGTTATTCTCTAGCTTTTTGCCTGGAGGCTATTAGTCTCAATTACCCGATGAACCTTGGGTTGCAGCCCTTAGCTGAAAGAAAAACTCTCAGGTGATCAGGGTAAAGGATTTCCAGAGGGTGGAGCAGATGCTGGCTGTTGATGAGCCTCAATTTGCATTTCTCTGGCCCAGCTGTGTGATGTTAAATTTCTGTGAGAGGGGCTGTTGCTTCTCCCTGGGGCTCTAGGAAGGGGCTCTTTGAGTAAGATGGCTACTGTCCTGTGAGGGAATGATTCAGCAAAAAACTCCCAGGGCCCTCCAAATCCCAAGTCTCTCCACACAGTTCCAGACCAGTCTGCCCTCCCTCTGCCAGAGCCCAAGGTGAGTGGCTGTTGCTAATTTAGTGCTCTGTCCCGGCCCTCTGCGCTGTGGAGCTGGCTTGGGATTTTAACCCTGAGAGAGCTGCACACAGCTAAAACAGCTGCTATCCGTGGGCTCCCAGTCCGGCCTCTCGTGCCTCTGCAGATCCTAACAGGCTCCAATCAGTGTCCTTTTTTCCTGTCTTTGGTTATATGGGTCCTCTCCGCCTGCTTTTCTGTTGCTTTTCTTCTACGATTTGTCTTTATTTTAGTTGTAATTCCAATTTGGTCCTGGGAGATGGTCTGTGTAGCTTCTATTTACTCTGCCGCCATTTTGGAATCCCTCAACCAATATCTTTTAATAGTATTGAAATCACTCCCATGATAGGCACATATTCAACTCTGGGAAATGTAAAATTGTGGAGGGCTTTGCATGACCAGAGTAGTAAATAAAAGCAAACGGGATGGCATCAAACATAAACCTCTCATATATTCCAATTCTCCTGAGGGGGCCCCAAGGCAGCATCTACCCAGTGTCTTAAAGGCCATTCTCTGCACTGCTTCAGGTCAGCTTGTCACCCCTCCTCTACGACACCAGGTAGCTTACTTGTGTGGTGAGCAGCAATGGAGTTGGCTGTGCTACTTACCTGAGGGTTCCTCACATGATGCAGCTGTTTCATTAATCTCTTGATCATCTTTATTCTGTTCCACTTGGCTGAGTTGAGACCTGTTTTCTATAAATAGCAGAACAAAAGCATACTGTTATTATTTAATTTATAGTGGGGAACCAGGAAAACAAAAACAGAAGCAAGAAAAGCTAAGTACATACACAATCATCCAGTTTTACTATCATGAGCTTCAACTAAAATTAAGTTTTCAATAAATGTGCCTCCATGTGTCTAACAGAGAATCACCAATTTTCAACTTTAAATCCTGACCAACTCTGAAATAAAACTTTTAGCAATACTTATCACAGCCTTAAAAATGTACATATTCCTGCCCTGGCCGGTTTGCTAAGTGGTTAGAGCATAGGCCCACAGACCAGTGAGTTGTGGGTTTGATTCCGGTCAAGGGCATGTATCTTGGTGGTGGTTCATCCCCAGCCCTGGTTGGGGTTGTGTGGGAGGCAACCAGTCCCTCTCACATCCATGTTTCTCTTTGTTTCTCTCTGTCCCTGCCTTCTACTCTATCTGATGATAAATAGAAAAAAATATATCCTCAGGTGAGGATAAAAAAAAAATTAAGTTCTGGCTGGTTTGGCTCAGCAGTTAGAGCGTTGGCCCATGGACCAGAGAGACCCGGGTTCGGTTCCCACTAAGGGCACATACCTTGGTTGCAGTTTGTCCCCAGCCCTGGTTGGGGTCGTGTGGGTGGCATCTAGTCGATGTGTCTCTCTCACATCAATGTTTCTCTCTCTCCCTCTTCCTCCCTCTATCCCTCCTGCTCTATCTGAAGAAAAATGCAAAAATGTCCTCAGGTGATGATAAAAATAAAAATTTTTTTAAATGTACATATTCCTAGAAATTCTACTTCCAGAAACATATTTTTTTTTTATCCTCACTCGAGGATATTTTTCCATTTTTTGTACAGATAGAGTGGGAGGGATAGAGAGGAAGGGAGAGAGAGACAGAAACATCGACATGAAGGGACACATCGAATGGCTGCCACCCGCACGACCAACCAGGGCCGGGGACAAACTGCAACCGAGGTACGTGCCCTTAGCAGGAACCGAACCCGGGTCTCTCCGGACCGCAGGCCGACGCTCTAACCGCTGAGCCAAACTGGCCAGGGCCCAGGAACATATTTTTAAAAAAATAATCAGAGCACCAAGATTTATTATATGCAAGTATGTTTAAAATAGCCAAAATTAACATCCTGGCCAGTGTAGCTCAGTTGTTTGAGTGTCATCCCACACACCAAAAGTTTGCTGGTTTGATTCTCAATCTGAGCACATGCCCAAGTTGCACACTCGATCCCTGGTTGGGGGTGTGCAGGAGGCAGCTGATTGATGTTTTGCTCTCACATCAATGTTTCTTTCTCTCCCTCTCCCTCTAAAAATCAATAAAAACATATTAAATAAAATAGCCAAAATGAACAAATAACAAGTCTAACAACAGGGAGTTGATTAAATAAGTTATAGCACATGCATGTAATGGACCACTATGTCGCTTATTACACCACATTTTAAAAGAGTATTTTAAAACATATAAAAAATATGCCCAGCCAGTGTGGCTCAGTAGTTGAGTGTCAATCTATGCACCAAGAGGTCACCAGTTTGATTCCTGGTCAGGGCACATGCCCAGGTTGTGGGCCAAATCCTCAGTGGGGGGCATGCAAGAGGTGGCCAGCTGATGTTCTCTCTCATCAATGTCTCTATCTCTCTCTCCCTTCCTCTCTCTAAAATCAATAAAGGAAAAAAAAAAAAATAGGTTATGGCCCAGCTGGTGTGGCTCAGTAGATTGAGCGTTGTCCCATGGACTGAGAGGTCCCATGGACTGAGAGGTCCCGGTTTAATTCCCAGTCAGGGCACATGCCCCAGTGGCAGGCTTGATCCCCAGTAGGGGCCGTGAAGGAGGCAGCTGATCGATGTTTCTTTCTCACAGCGATGTTTCTCTCTGTCTCTCTACCTTCCCCTTTCTCTAAAAAAATCAATAAAAAACATTAAAATAAAAAAAGGTTACAAAATAGCATGTACAATATGATCCCAATGTTGTAAAACAAACAAACAAAAACATCTGAAGGAATTCTAATCAGCTGCAGATTTACTAATTAATGTATCTTATAAACCAAATTTTAAAGTCTGCTATTTTTACACACACATATTTGATTTGGTCCCTTAAACAAACAAAAAAAAACAATACTGCCCTGGCCGGTTTGGCTCAGCGGTTAGAGCGTCAGCCTGCGGTCCTGAGAGACCCGGGTTCGGTTCCCGCTAAGGGCACGTATCTCGGTTGCAGTTTGTCCCCGGCCCTGGTCCGTTGTGCGGGTGGCAGCCGCTCGATGTGTTCCTTTCACGTCGATGTTTCTCTCTCTCTCTCTCTGTTCCTCTCTCTCCCTCCCACTCTACCTGAACAAAAAATGGAAAAATGTCCTCCAGTGAGGATAAAAAAATTAATTAATTAAAAAAAAAAAAAATACTAACTACTCCCTTTTTTGCTGTATGAATTTAAAAAAATGGATCAAAGACCAGACTCAGAAACGTATGTATAAGTACCTTTCTTGAAAATGCCAAGCACTTTGCCAGTAACTGAACAATGGAGAAAGCAAAAAACAAAAGATTTACCTCTCAAAATGGTAACTTTTTTAACTGCTGAATGTAATTCAAGAGAAGGTCTACATACCAGGCCTGGTGTTTTATGCAGACAATCCTGGCTTGTTTTAGAAGAAGACATGCATACATTCCCACACACATTTAATGCCAATTGTTGCTTCCCACCCCCCCTCTTGCTCCCTATTTTCTGTGCAGACTTAATCTTGCTAAGCAATTTGGCCAACCTGTAGGAAAATAACCCCAGCAGTTGACAATGGATAAGAGGATACTAAAATGATAAACAATCATCTTTCAGGATGGGATCATGGGAGATTTCTCTTTTCTTCTTTGGACTTTTATGTATGATTTAGTTTCTTACTGAGCATATGCCTTTTACAATCAGAAGAAAATATATTAAAAAAATGAATGTCATGATACTTCCTGAGAAGTGTGTCCAGTGGGTACAATTATGCTTAGCATCTGCTTTAGGATGGGGGAAAACATGAGTAAGGAAAGGCTTATCCTGAGACCATCTGATCAGTCCTCATTATTTCTATATTCCATTGCCTTCCAATCAAACAGTGGCAATAGCTCAGGACTGACCACGGTAGCTGGAGTTTCAGATTCCATAGCTTTCAATTTTTCATATTCTGGAACAGACTGAAAATATATGCCCTTATTTTGCAATGAGGATAAAAAAATGACTGGCAATTAAAGAAAGTATGTTTCCATAGAGCCAGCTGGATCACATATCACAAATCACAGTATTTCAAAAAAAGATGCACAGGCAAGAACTGACTTTTTTTCCCAAAACTATGCACAATAAGTGCAAACACATTCTATAAAGAAAGAAATACCTTACCATGCTGTCTTGTTTCTTTAGAACATGTGAGATCTGTGGGAGGACTCATTTCCTGCACTGCTTCTTCCGGCCCTCTCTCCTGCTGTAACCTACTGCTTCCAGCCTCCAGTTTGTTCTTTTCCTGATCTTCCTTTGCTCTATCCTCTTCCTCTTCTTCCTCTTCCTCCTCTTCTACTTCAGGTTCATCCTTCATTCTCATTAGAGCTGGAGGGAGTTCAGGACGCTTGGGAGGTAACTTCTATAAGGGAAACAAGACCATGAACAAATTGTTGAGAAAGAAACAAATCTCTTCCAGGGGGTTAAGTCAAATGTGTAGAATGTTTAACCTCTATATGTTGATAAACCCTGCAGAAGTATGATGGAAGTAGGACGTTTATGTGAAATTTTATCCATCTATGGACCCTTAACAAGTATCTTTATTAGTGTCCAGGGTCAAAAGAATATTAAGTACAAAACTCTGGAAACAGCATGTAAGGAACTAAAACATTTATTCCGGGTAAATATCAGCTACAGGAATTCTGTCCTGTCACCCCCTCATGATGTTAAAGGATCTTTATCATTACAAAATCTTCTAGGGAGTAAATCAGGCACACATTTCTAAGAAATAAATCATTTACACAGTGTTTTCATTTTAGATGGAACACAATTTCAAGAAAATAAGACGTGTAAGTAAGTAATATAGATCCTAAGAAAAAGGAAGACATTTCTTGAAGAATAAGGCCAACAGCCAACTATTCTAGTTAAGATCATATATATATCTATCTGTCTAACTTAGAGAGAGAGAGAGAGAGATCAACATAGAGAGAAACATTAATCGGTTGCCCCCCAAACAGGGATCAAACCTGCAACCAAGGTATATGCCCTGACCTGGAATCGAACCTGCAACCTTTTGGTGTATGGGACAATGCTCCAACCGAGACACTGGGCCAGGGCAAGACCTTTTAATAAAACTATTAGAAAAAGATGATCATAGCTTAAGGAATAGAGAGAAGATATCACAGTATATGTTGGGTATATCATGTTTTAAACAGGATTTAATTCAGTAATCATCTAAGGAGAGCTTCAACAAAGAGTTTTTCGTCTAACTAAAGCATAAGAATCCCCAACACACACACACCACAGAAAAGCTTCCATCTCAGGTAAACCACATACTCACTCAGAATATATGGCTGGGACATCAGACCTCTGCCACCAGAGGGCAGTTTTTCCCAATATAGAATGTAACTATATTAGGAGATAAGATCTTTAAAAGGCAACTAAGTAAAAAGAAGACTGTTAGGATAGGGTCCTAATCCAATATGCACCCCTTATAAGAAGAAGGGTACAAATGCACAGAAGGATGACCATATAAAGTGGCAGCAAGAACCCTGGCTGGTTTGGCTCAGCAGTTAGAGCGTCAGCCCAAGGACCAATGAGTCGAGGGTTCAATTCTGGTCAAGGGCACGTACCTCAGTTGCAGTTCAGTCCCAGCCCTGGTCGGATTGTGTGGGAGGCAACCAGTCAATGTGGCTCTATCACATTGATGTTTCTCTCTGTCTCTCTCTCCCTCCTTCCCACTCTATCTGATGATAAATGGAAAAATATCCTTGGGTGAGGAATTTTAAAAAAAACGCAGCAAGAGGGCAGCCATCTATAAGCCAAGGAAAGAGGCCTCAGAGGAAACCAACCCTGCTGGCACCTTGTTCTTAGACTTCTAGCCTCTAGAATTGTTGAGTCTGAGCATTACATCTATACACTGAGAGAAGCATTTACTGCAGGGAATCCTTTCTTAAATGTAACATTCATCATAAATCAATTCAACTAGTATTCTAATTTACAAATCAGTTACATGCAAAATGATTGGCATCACTCTATTCATTCCTTTTTTTGTTACTTTTCTTTCATTTTTTATCATTTCTCTTCATTTTTGGTCTTTCTTCTCCCCCCCCCCCCCCATTAATTCTTGATAACCCTAAACTGAAGAGAAAATCCAAGAACCAAGACCTGGAAAAGATGTGATCATACCAAGCCCACAGTCCTTTTTCACATTACTACGAAAAAAATGACGCATACTATGGAATGAATCATTGGATCTTTGAAAAGAAAAGAGAAACATTAGTTCAGATAACTCAAAAGCTAGAGGTTTAACACCTTGAACCACAACTTACCCCTACCGTTCCAGTTTTTAATTTGAATTTGCTTCCTCCTTTCATGGCACCAAAGAGAGGCAATGTAAGCTTTTTAGCTTTGTTTTCAGCATCTATAGTGTGACTTTCAGTCCTAGGAAGAAAGAATAAGTATACACCTCTATTCCAGTGAGGCCAAAAAAATTTATCTAAAAACACCATGACACTGACAAAAAAATTTGGGCAAAACAAAAATTTCCACAAAATGAAGAGAACTCAAAGTGCCTTACTTACCTGGAGTCCACACTTATAACCAGACAACAGCTATGAGCACAAAAGTTTTTTTTTTAAAAAGTGTGTGTGTGTGTGTGTGTGTGTGTGTGTGTGTGTGTGTAGGAGGCAGGATACCCTGTGTAGTGAGTAATGACAAAAATATAATAAGAGACCCTACAATGATGAGTTTGTCAATGTTCTCATTGGCTAAGCAAAATTATAAAAGCTAAGTCCACCAAGGTAAAGATGAGGAAGGGCAAAATAAAGAGATTGTAGAAATTAGAAGAAAAAAAAAAAACAGAGCCAAAAAGATAAAAGAATGGCAGTTGAGTGGACAAGGCACTCAGAGAGTATGTAGAGGCGGCAATGACAAGACAGCATGAGGTGAAAGTCCTCTGCTTCCGTCACACTGACCACAGCATGGCCCTGCACTGTGGAATGTCAGAACAGCACGGGCACTCCTGACTCACAGTAACCCAACTCATACAAGAAACTGACTACCCTGCTCCGCCCTGAAGCCCCATTTGCCACTACTGCCTTCTTTCACCTAAGTCTTACCCCTCCAGTGGCACTCTTGGGCCTAGTCTCACGCCCTTTCTCTCTACCAGAAATAGACTCGTTGTCTGACTAAGGCCACCAGAACAATCCTGCCTGCCTGGCCTTACAGACCCTTTGCCAAATCATTATCCTTCACAACCTTGCCCCATAAGCCTCAGAAAAGTGCTGACACAGAAAGACAAAGGCAAGAGCAGCAGAGTTATTTTGCAGCTCCATTAATTAGCTTGACTGGTCTGAAGGAGGTGCAAAGATGCCCAAAGGAGACGGTAAAGCATTAGAAAGAAAGTTTGGAAGTTCAACACTCAAGTGATAAGAGGAGGGGGAAGATACACAGTATCGGAAAGCCACTGTCTAAAGTAGAAAAGGGAGGATCAACTAGGCAGACACACAGGCAGCAGGAGGGGAGGCTCTGGAGAAATCTGATATATGTCTTTTAGCGAAGAACACCTGGAAGAGGTGAACTATCAAATTAAAGAATTAGAGTTGTAATTAAAAGTCACTATTAATTTGTTTACCCTGGACTATTCCTCCTGAGTTTTTACCTTTTTTCCACAAAAATATTATAAACAGTTGCTAGGTGTTAAATAGTAAAAATGATGGCAATGATGACAACAACAGTACATATATGCCAGCACTTTGTTAACTGCTATTCATTTCATCTTTGCAACATTACTATGTCTAATTTACAGATGAGGAAAGCAAAATTAAAGAAGTTACATAATTTGCCTCAAATGCCCAAAAAGTAATGGATGGAGGTGAGAATGAAACCCAAGAAGTCTAACTCTAGTGCGAACCTACCATCTCACTCTTGGCAAGGTAACTCAAATCATTTGGGTGAAGCAGAATTTTGGGAACTGACCTATGAATCACTGTATTAAATATCCAAATGACATATAAATATTTGAACAAACCTGCTAGTAATTTGAGGATACAATTTCCGTACAGATGATCAAGGGCTCCAGAAACATTTTCCCTCTACATCTCTATAAGAAGAGGTGCCTCTCAATATCTAGATACTCATCTATGCAATGCTCCCAGCATCAAGTGAAGGTTTTGTACTCAGGGGTGAGGGCCTGAATAAAGGCTGACAATCTACTGCAGCAATGTTAAATCAGAACTTTCTGCATTGATGGAGATGTTCTATATCTGTGCTGTCCGATAATAGCCACGAGTCACATGTAGCTATTGAGCCATGAAATGTGCCCAGTGTGACTGAGGAAATAAATTTTTAATCTTAATTTAAATATGACTATTGAGTGATGACTGGACAACACATATCTAAAGGAAACAAGAAACTTTCTATAGTAAACTACCTTCATGAGTGAATCCTCCCAGGCAATGACACTTTTTGAGATGCCCACCTGGTTTCTGCTCATTAGAGTTTGCTTATTTCTAAAACAATCAACTCAACATTTTCTTTTTTAAAAAAAAATGTTTTTATTTAGAGAGGAATGGAGAAACATCTATGTGAGAAACACTAATTGGCTGCCTCCTGCACGCCCCCTACTGGGGATTGAGCCGCAACCGGCGCAAGTGCCTTGACCAGGAATGGAACAAGAATCTCTCAGTCCAGGGGACAGATGCTCAATCCACTGGGCCACCCCGACCAGGGAAAATTCATTTTCAATATTTGTTGAGACCTCATAGAATAAATATTTAAAAAATACTATCAAGTTGAAAACTGGGACAGAAACTTGACTTGGGGTAAACACACAATATGGTGTACAGATGATGTGTTGTAGAATTGTGCATCTGAAATCTGTGTATTTTTGTTAACCAGTGTCACCCCAATAAATTCTATAAAAAGGGAAAAAAAAGATTGGATATTTCTCTCTCTCTCTCTCTCTCTCTCTCTCTCTCTCACACATACATACACACACACACACACACACACACACACACTAGCCAACTCTGGGAAAAAATAGTCTCAAAATCTTATTTACAAATTACTAAAAAATCTACTAGATATCTGCAAATAGATTTGGGTTAATCTCTTCCAATAATCTAAAAAAATCAAAGTTCACAACAGAGTCAACTTCAGGGGATTATACTTTCTCCCTTTATAAAGGAAGAAATTACCCTTTTAAAAAAGTATTATTATTGAACAGTTGTGAGCTGGATCTTAGAAATGAGGGATAGAGGCATTAAAATGACAATCTGGCCTCAGCTGGTTTGGATCAGCAGTTAGGGCTTAGGTCCACAGACCCAAGGGCAGAAAGTTCAATTCCCAGTCAAGAGCACATACCTGAGTTGCAGGTTCAATCCCTGGCCCTAGTCAGGGTTGTTTGGGTGGCAACCAATCAATGTGTCTCTCTCACATCAATGTTTCTCTCTCTCTCTCTCTTTCTCCCTCCTTTTCACTCTATCTAAAAAAAAAAAAAAAAAAAAAAATCAATGGAAAAATATCCTCAGGTGAGGATTAACAAAAAATATATACATATGAAAATTTGCATGAGCAAACCATGCAATAAACAGATGATGTGTAAGAGAAATGTACACTTGAAACTTATATAAGTTTGATTTAGAAAAAAAATTTTTTTTTTTTTTTTATCCTCACCCGAGGACATTTTTCGATATCTTGTTCAGATAGAGTGAGAGGGAGAGAGAGAGAGAGAGAAACATCAACGTGAGAGTGACACATCGAGTGGTTGCCACCCACACGACCCAACCAGGGCTGGGGACAAACTGCAACCAAGGTACGTGCCCCCAGCGGGAACCGAACCCGGGTCTCTCTGGACCGCAGGCCAACGCTCTAACCGCTGAGCCAAACCGGCCAGGGCAAGAAAAAAAAAAAATTTTTTTTAATCCTCACCCAAGGGCATTTTTGCACTTATCTTCAGATAGAGTAGAAGGAAGAAAGGGAGGAAGAGAGAGAGAAACATTGATGTGAGAGAGACACATCGACTGGTTGCCCCCCACATGACCCCAACCAGGGCTGGGGACAAACTGCAACCAAGGTACGTGCCCTTGGCGGGAACTGAACCCAGAACTCTCCAGTCTGCAGGCCAACACTCTAACCACTAAGCCAAACCGGCCAGGGCTAGAAGAAAATTTTTAAATAACAGTCCGCATTCATATTTTTCATCTGTGGTTTTAAAATAATAAATAAAAATCGTATTACATTATAGAATTTGTATTTCTCTTATCATGAGTGAGGTTGAGCATCTTTTTATGTAGTTAAGAGCTATTTGTATTTCTTTTTCAGTGGCCTATCAGTTGACATCCTTTGCCCATTTTTCTCTTGTGTGGGTGATGATCTACTTATCATTCATTAGTCTTTACACATTAGGGAAATTAGCCTTTTTCACATGTTGTTCTTTTAAGAAGTTTACTCTGCACTAAAAGATGAAGTATAAATTTCAGAGCATTCCACTGAAACAGGTATTAACAGTTTTCTCTAAAAATCTGTAGGTATCTATATTTCACAAATGAAATGGGTTTTTAGTTACTTTATGAAACCACTGCCTTCTGGGCTTTAAAGGGTTTCTTATATTCTATTTCTATTCAACAATGATTATCTAAAAAGATAAAAATATAATTTAAAATGTTATCTATGCAAACATGCTTATTTAAAATTCCAAGTACACATCACTTCATAAACTATATAAATGTCTAATCACTATGCTGTACACCTGAAACTAATATAATATTGCTTATCAACTGTAATTGAAAAAAATTTTAAATCAAAATTGTAAAACACAAATAAATAAATGATTGCATAGAAAAAAATTTTTTAATGAAATTCCAAGTATAACTGAAACTTACTTTTTTAGTTCTGGAATCTCTGCTGGCTTTACAATTTTTATCAACCCTTTAAGTCTCTGTTGTTCTTTCCTCAGTTCAAAAGTTCTAAGATGAAGTTTCTTCCGGGACACACCATCTAATGCACTCCCTGATTTCATTTCCGACATGAACGCATCTAAAGAGTCCTGAGACGGTGACTCTGACAGAGCTGTCAGGAAAGGGATAATACATGTTTAGAAAGATGGTTGTAAATGTTTTAGAATTCAAGCAAAGTTTCCATAGAAAATTCACTAACACAGAGCTGGACAAAGGACATTAATGATATTAGGAATAAGAAGAAAGGTTATAGCTGGAAGACTGCGGGACGTCGAAATAACTTAAAACGTTCTTTCTAGTTCCAAAGTGCTATGTTGCTCCTTAGAAAGGCTCCATATTCTGTATGATATATCTTATGAACCAGTGTAGCCCAGTGCATAGCATAGTGCACTACATATGGTTGATGCTCAATAAATATTTCTCTTTTTTCCTTTTTTTAAAAATCCTCACCGCAGGCTGACACTCTAACCACTGCACCAAACAGGCCAGGGCAATAAATATTTCTTTAATAAGTCACTGCCTTACCTTTGCTTGAGGCTTTCAGTCTCTCAGAAATATCAGAGAGTTCCTTTTCAGCATCATTTAACTTTGCAACCTGTAATGCCCAAAAGAACAAGGTTAGCAAATGTTTTTCTTCTTTCAAAATATGGTAGCTTTCTCCTGTTGTTTTCACTATTGTTATAAGTCTAAAGAGGATTAATTCAAAGTCCAGTTAAATCTGTTCCTTATGGAATTAACATTTTTCATTTGTTTATTTAATTCTAATTGAATCAATTTCTGAATTAAAGAACTCAGAATTAAACAGAATAAATGTACAGAACACAAACTTTATTTTTCTCATAAGAAAAAGCTCAAGGTATTTGTTTTCAATGATAAATCAAAAGAATAGATGCTGGGTAATGTTTTAAGCTCTGAATACTACTTAATATAGTGAAAACATCTGCTACCTTATGATAATTTCATGAAGGATACATTGTTTAAGACTATTATCAAACTATACTCCTCAAAGTCCTTTCATGATTTTTGACTGCCAGAAGCCTAAAGTCAATTTCACTTCAGAATGGTCCAATTTGGAATTTTTCCTTTCTTTTTTTTTGGGAGGGGAAGGGACAGCATATTCAAAGAATGCTCACTAATGGACCAATATCCACCTAGAGGTGGATAGAGATGACTAGTTGTTTGTAACCATAAAACTTGCAGATCACAAAAGTTGTACTTCAATACCAGATTTCAATGCTATTGCTTTAAAATTTATAATTATAAAAAAAGTTTTAAATAATACATTATTTTATTTTTAAAAATTAAACTAGTGCAGCTTCTTCTATAAATAAAACTTGCCAATGATTCAAAGGTCTCTGGCTTCTCATCAATCTTCCCAGCCTTCTTCATTCGCTTCAGACGCTTCTTCTCAACCAGGCCAGTCCGATCAAGAAATGTGTCATCATCACTATCATAAAAGTCTTCATCTTCCCAGTTCTTTGCTTTCCTTTTCCGAGATACTAGAGGTAAATAAAATAAATGGTAATAAAATAAGTTTAAAAAAAGAAAAGAAAAGGAAATAAGGCAAGTAGGCAAGCAGCTTAAAATAACACCATCGATCATTAAAAGACAGAATTCAACAAGGTGACAAAATACATTTGAAAACAAAGAACTACACCTTGGAGACACTATGCTAACTGAAATAAATCAGACACAAAAGACACACATTGCATGCTTCCACTTATACGAGGTACCCAGAGTAGTCAAACTCAGAGACAAGAAGTGGAACAGTGGTTACCAGGGACCAAGGGGGATGGAGAATGAGAAGTTAGTGTTTAATGGGTACACATATTCAATATGAGAAGATGAAAAAGTTCTGGAGATAGCAATGGTGATGGTTGTACAACACTGTGAATGTATTTAATGCCACTGACCTTTACATTTGAAAATGCTTAGCCCTGGCCAGTTTGGCTCAGCAGTTAAGAGCATCGGCCTACAGATTGAAGGGTCCCAGGTTCAATTCCTAGTCAAGGACATGTAACTGGGTTGCTGGTTCAGTTGTGCAGGAGGCAACCAATCGATGTGTCTCTCTCACATTGATGTTTCTCTCTCTCTCTCTCTCCCTGCCCCCACCACTCCCTCCCTCCCTTCTGTCTAAAAATTGGTGGAAAAATATCCTTGGGTGAGGATTAACAACAACAAAAAATAATAAAAATGCTTGAAATGGGCCCTGGCCAGGTGGCTCAGTCGCTTGGAGTGTAATCCCATGCCCCAAAAAGGTTGCAGGTTTGATTCCCAGTCAGGGCACATGCAGGAGGCAACCGATCAATGTCTCTCTCTCTACCCCCGCCCCATGTTCTCTCCCTAAAAATCAATAAAGACATATCCTCAGGTGAGGATTTTTTAAAAAATGCTTAAAATGCTGACACATCACCTAAGGCAATAGAAACAAAGGAGAAAATGAACACATGGGACTATATCAAACTCAAAAGCTTCTGCACAGCGAAAGATACAATCATCAAAATGGAAAGGCAACCCACTGTAAGGGAGAACATAATTGTCAATGATATATCAGATAAGGGGTTAATTTCCAATACATATAGAGTGCTCAAACAAGTCAACAAAAGGAAGACAAAGAACCCAATTAAAAAATGGGCAGAGAAACTAAATAGACACCTCTCTAAACAGGACATACAAATGGCTAAGAAACATATGAAGAAATGCTCATCATCACTAATCATCAGAGAGATGCAAATTAAAACAATGAGGTATCACCTCACACCTGTCAGAATGGCCACCATCAACAAATCATCAAACAACAAGTGTTGGCGAGGGTGTGGAGAAAAGGGGACTCTAGTGCACTGCTGGTGGGAATGCAGACTGGTGCAGCCACCATGGAAAACACTATGGTGTTACCTCAAAAAATTAAAAATTGAACTTCCATTTGACCCAGTGATCCCACTTCTAGGAATATACCCTAAGAAGCCTGAAACACCAATCAGAAAGAATATATGTACCCCCATGTTTATAGCAGCACTATTTACAATAGCTAAGATCTGGAAACAGCCCAAGTGTCCATCAGTAGACGAATGGATAAAAAAGCTGTGGTACATACACACAATGGAGTACTACGCAGCTGTAAGAAAGAAAGATCTCTTATCCTTTGAGACTACATGGAGGGACCTGGAAAGTATCATCCTAAGTAAAACAAGCCAAACAGAGAAAGACAAGTTTCAGATGATCTCACTTATTTGTGGAATATAATGAACATAACAGTCTGAGGAATGGGGTAGTCCCAGAGACATGGAAGTGGGGTACAGACTGACAATCCCCAGAAGAGGGGGTGGTGGGGGAGAGATAAACCCCAGAACTTATATGCATGTATGCATGAACAGTGGACATGGACAACAAACTGGGGAAAGGGCAGGGAGGGAGAGAGAGGGGGGAATCAGTGGGGGAAAAAGGAGAAACATCTGTAACAAAAATTAATTAATAAAAAAATAAATGCTTAAAATGGTAAATTTTATATTATATATATTTTCTATCACAATAAAAAATTAAAACAAAGAGATTTATTTAATAAGCAAAGACTTTTAAAAATGAATGAGTAAAAAAAGGAAAAAGATAAACAAGGAAAAGGCCAATAAGCCAAAAGATAATTTGAAAAATAATAATAAAAGCAGTTCACATTAAAAGAAATACAAATGGTCAAAAACATTTGAGATGTTAAACTTTAAAAAAGTAATTTAAAAAATACAAATTAAAACAACGAGATGCCACTTCTCACCTATTAGACTAGAAAAAGGCATTCAAAGGTTACTAACAGCCAGTTTGTCAAGGGTATAGGAAGAAACACTCTCCAACAGCTGGTGGGAATGTACACTCATATCACTTTTTTCATGTTCAATCTTACAACACCTGTCAACATTAAAAATACAATGATCCAGGAATTTCACTTGTAGGAATTTATACTATAGCTATCAAGCATTATTTGTAACAGTGAAAATCTGGAAAGCCCATCAACAGGGCACTATGGTAGCTATTATTTTTTTGTCCAGGCTATACCATCTTACTCCCCTTGTTAAGGTAAAAGTACCCCCTTTCCTCTAGGAAACTCCTTCTTTATTCCATCTGGATTAGGGGTAGTCATGTGACCAAAGCCAGAGCAGTAAGAATCCTTTCTTCATATTTTTATTTAAATATAGGGAAAAAGAGGCTCTCTTGAGGATATAAAAACATGGGGTAAGAATCTGACTGAAAATGAAAACCATGCACTCCTGAGACAGACTTGCTCATAGATATACACATACACACAGCTTATATGTGTCCTAGTGATACCAAGTTCTAGTTCCAAAACTTAAGGTCCTGGTTCATGCTGTTCTTTCAATCCTGTGAGCTACACTTCCCAGCTTCTGGAGCCAATAACCTTTCCTCCTATGCTTGTATGAATTGGGTTTCTATTATTTGCAACCAAAATAGTCCTTAATAGTCCTTATTAATGTAAGTCTGATAATTTCCAGGTTAAGATGGTACACTGAACATACATACAGGATTTCACTTTCTCCCCATAATCCACTAAAACTGTAGTAAAGAGATCTTTCTTTAAAGACACTACTAATCCATAAGACAGGGAGAAGGGAGGGGATAGTACTACCAGTTTTAGGTATTAGGAAGCAAACAGATAAATGAAAATGAACTTAGCAGAACTAAAAAGATAAATCTTAAAACAAAGTGGGGAGAGCTGAGAAGTAATCTGATTATACTGCAGAACTGGGGATGGGTAGTAGCACTGAAATAAGGAGAGCTGAGTAAAAGCTGGGTGAGAAACAGATCTTCCCCAATGCCTACTCATCTCTTTCCTACCCCCCAGAAAAAAATCCAGAGGTTAATCTCTGGAAAGGGTAGGACAGAAAGTTTCTGGACTGTAAATTGACTAATACAGTTGAGGGCATGGATACTATATTCTAGGAATAGTACTGTCCTGAAAATAGCTGAATGCTGAGAAGCTCCTCAGCCATCTTCCACCACTGAGCTCTAGGAATGCTGGCAGCCAGTCTTTCCTGTCATGCAGGAGACTGCAAGAATCCTCTCTGGGAAATATTGCCAGAAGAGGAAGAAAAACCTATGGATATTTACGTGAGGAGTTCCCACCTAAATATTCTAAGCTGTCATTCACCTTTTACATCCCCAAATAAGAATCTACAACCAAGGACGACATGACACCTGAGAAAATCCTCTATCATGCCAGATAGAGATCAAACAAACAAAAAGAAAACGCAACCTGGAGAAAACAGATTAGCAGAAGCATGAGATAATCACAATCCATGAAACAAGATCATTGTTTTAAAAGTAAAAATTCCAAAAAAATAAGCTTTGAAAATTAAAATCTTGACAACAAAATAGAGACTGAAAGATAAAGTTGCAGAAATCTCCACAAAGAAAAAACAGACATAGAAATAAAAAAGAGAAGAAAAAAAAAGATAAGAAACTGCCCAGCTGGTGTGGTTCAGTGGTTGAGCAGCGACCCATGCATCAAGAGGTTACCGGTTCCATTCCTGGTCAGGGCATATGCCCAGGTTGTGGGCCAAATCCCCAGTGTGGGGCATGCAGGAGGCGGCCAATTAATGTTCTCTCTCATCGATGTTTCTGTCTCTCCCTCTCCCTTCCTCTCTCTTTAAAAATTGATAAAGAAAAAAATTAAATTAAAAAGTCAAGAAACTTAGATGATCAGTCCAAGAGCTTCAATATCTAAATGACAGAATCCCAGATAAACAGCAAACAGAGGGCTGAAATGATTAATGGTACAATTCCAGAAATGTTCCTGAACTGCCAAGATTTCCAGATCAAAAGGACCCAATGAGTACCCAGAAAACTGAGTGAAGAGACCCACAGAAAGGTACATCATAGTGAAGTATCAGAACCTTGAGAATAAAGGAAAACTCTTACAAATATTCAGTGAGGTGGAAAAAAGATGACATACAATAAATCAGGTATATGAACAGTTTAGGAAGAAAATTATTTCCAATTTAGAATTCTATTCCCAGCCAAACTATTAACCAAGAGTAAAGCTAGAATAATTATATTTTCAGAATGAAGGATTTAATAGTTTACTAGCTCTATATCTTTTTTCAGGAATCCACTAGGGGATGTCCACCAAAACAAGAGCAGAGACCAAGAAAAATGAAAGATGTGAAATCCACTGAAGACTATCATCATCCATGCCCTCTACTGTTGTACCAGCTTTTTAATCTGCTAAAACTACAGAAGGATGCATTCCACTAAAACAAGAGAGTAAGCCAAAAAATCTGAGAACATGAGAATAAAAAAAAAAAAAGTCCAACTCTGGAGAAAGGCAAAGGAAATCTCAAGGATTACAGCAAAGTGAAGTTCCAGGTGACAGTTCTGCAGCAGGTCTAGAGAGCAGTAAGCCGTGAAAGAGGAATAGTGCTCTTCAGGAGAAATGTCTCCCCTCAACATCAGAATTGATAAATCACTTAATGTGAATGACCATGTGAAAAAACACACTGAAACGCTATTGAAAGGTATGGGAATAATGAGCAAGAGGTATTAAAAAAATCAAACACATGAAAAACAAAAACAATTATTTTTTAAGTTAAAATATAGGTACTGTAAAATATTATATTCATTTCAGGTATACAACGTAGTTATTCAACATTTATATACCTAATGAAATGATAACCATGTAAGCCTAGTAACCATCTGATATCATAACAGGTTATTATGACATTATTGACTATATTCCCTATCTTGTACATTTCATCCCTGTGGTTTATTAATTTTTTTAAATATTTTTATTTTTTAGAGAGAGAGGGGAAAGGAGAGAGAGATAGAAACAGTGAGAGAGAAACATTGACTGGCTGCCTCCTGCATGCCTTCTACTGGGGATTGAGCCTGAAACCTGGGCATGTGCCCTGACTGGGAATCGAACTGAAACCTCTCAGTCCATGGGCCAATGCTCAATCCACTGAGCCACACCAGCCGGGTTTATTAATTTTTTAACTGGAAATTTGTACATCTTACTTCCTTTTGCTGTTTTTGCCCTTCCCTTCACATTTCTCCCCTCTGGCAACCATTAGTTTGTTCTCAGTGTCTATGAGTCTATTTCTGTTTTGTTTTGTTTGTTCATTTAAAACAAACACAATTATTAACTTCAGGAAAAATAAAAAGAATTTAAAATTGTTCAGTTGTGACTAATATTTGCATAAGCACAATCACCACATAAATACAAAATCCTAATTTAACAGTCAACAGATGACTAGATGACCAGGGATGAAGGCTGAGGAGGGACAGAGCAAGGAGCAGGTATATTTCATTATAAGCCTTTCGTAGTTTAAAACTATACATAAGTTATTTTACAACAGAAAGATCAATTTTAGATTAAATAAAATATAAGCCTTATTAATAAGTGATGGTATTGCCAGTTTTGTATTTTTTAATCACTCGAGAATATGTTTATTCATTTTTGTTGTTTGTTTAGAGAGAGAGAGACAAGGAGAAACATCGATCGTTGCCTCTCATATGCACCCCAAGTGGGGATCAAACCTGTAACTTTTTTGGTGCACAGGATGACACTCCAACTAACTGAACCACCCGGCCAGGGCACCAGTTTTTAAAAATGACATAAGCAATGTAATGATGTGGAAAATTTCCATGGTACATTCTTTTTTTTTATACTTTATTTATTTATTTTTACTGATTTTTTTTTTTTATCCTCACCCAAGGACATTTTTTTCCATTTTTTGTTTAGATAGAGTGAGAGGGAGAGAGAGAGAAATATCGACGTGAAAGGGACACATTGAGTGGCTGCCACCCGCACAACCAACCAGGGCCGGGGATAAACTGCAACCGAGGTACGTGCCCTTAGCGGGAACCGAACCCGGGTCTTTGAGGACCACAGGCCGACACTCTAACCGCTGAGCCAAACCGGCCAGGGCCCATGGTACATTCTTATGTTAAAAAAGTAAGTCACAAAAGAGTATAAATAATATAACTGCATTTGTGTACAAGTGTTTGTTTTTTGTTAAAGGAGCTAGTTCTGAACACACATCTGTTTGCACAGAAAATGTCTGGGAGAACATAAACAATGGCTATCTTAGGGTATTGAGATAAAAAAAAAATTTTTTTTTTTCACTTCAGAGTAGTCTGTACAATTTACATTTTCCCCTAAAAAATGGTTTTATTATCTTTTGTTAAAATTGCCTTCCTTCTTTTTTTCTTTTTAAAGAAAAATGTGTTCCCACATACTCACCTGCCTCCTGCCGCAGCAATCCCAAAGTATCGAGGATTCGACAAGCTTCCAGTGAGCACTGGATCATTGCTTCCTTTTTCTTTCCTGAGTGAATCGCCTCAGCCACCAGTTGTTTTCCCGTTGAATCATCCACAGGTAATCTGCATTGGTTTAGAGGGGATTATAGCACAGCACTAATTCTCACACAAAAATTAATATATTATGGTAATAGCCATGTTTGCTTTTTTTAGATGACTTTTCAATCTCTTGGTTCATTTTGTTCTATCTTGCCAAGGTTAGATTTTGAATCTTTCCTTTCCACCTTCACCCATTCTACCCCACCCATCAATAACATAAGTGTTACTAAACTATCAAGACCCCAAGTCAGGAATAGCCTAAAATTAAAACTAAAATTACTCTTTGGATTGTTGTCTATAACTGTAAATTAAGCCTGAAATTGGTCACTTTCCAGAAATGGACATTAATGAGAAGAGAACATACCTCACCCTGCAGAGCCAAGTGCTATGTCCCTGTTCATCAAATTCATACTCTAATTCTTCTCCTTTGGGAGGTAGAAAGACAAAAGAATTTTAATAAGATCTAAAAATTACTAGTTGATACAAAGGAAAAAGAAAACAAAAGTTAAATTAGAATATCAAATTCCCCTATCATACTGAAAACTGAACTTCAAAGCATTTCAGTTCTCATTCCTAGGGATTATCATCTGATAATAAAATTAGGATGAGCTTGAGGCAGAAAAAAAGAAAATTCAAGTCAAAACTATCAGCTCTCCATACATAGCTTTGTCCACTGTATAGTAACTTTCACATTTTTTATAAGTTGTAGACTTAAGTCGTTAAATTGTCACAATTGCCTTGTTTAGAAGCATAAATGTAAGTGCAGAACACAACCAATTCATATATATTCATGCACTCACACAAACACACACATCTATGCATACACCCATACACAAAGATGCTCCTTCAACAAATCTCTAATAAAACAATCTTCTGTAGAATTATTTTTTAAATCCTACAAAATCAAATTCCAGGCTAAGAATTACAAAAGATCAGGTGAATTACAAAGAAAAAATTACAAGAAGCCGGCTCAATCTCCCACCACCAAAATCTAGGATCTTTTGAGAAGAATGAGGCAAGTCAGAAAAAATAACTTCCTTTTTTCCAAGATGAGAAAGACTAACAAGATTTTTTACTATTTTCAAAATAAACCTGACACAACTGACTACAAGAGCAAGTACTGAACAAGGAAGACAGCAGATAAAATAACCCATTTCTAAATACCTGAAGATTTAGAAAACAACATTGCTTGTGGACACATTCTACCAGGAGGGTCAGAGTCTATTTACATACCTTCTCGGTCAAAAAAACCTTGGAGAGCCTTCTTCGGATCCTTTATATAAAAGGCTTCCCTTTCCTGCTGAAACTCTAAAACAATGGGGTTCTCTTCAGCCTCATCCTCAACAGCATCTTCTCCTACATTGGTATATGGAGAATATGGGAAAGAAAGAAAAGGCAATCAGATATAAGAGACCATTTGAATGACACCCACTATCCTTTCTTTATAAAGATAGTTACAGTGATGAAAAGAAGAAGTGGGGAGAGAACAACCAAAAAAATCACCAGCATCACCTTGGCCGGTTTGGCTCAGCAGTTGGAGCGTCAGCCTGTGGACCAGAGAGACCCGGGTTCGGTCCACGCTGGGGGCATGTACCTCGGTCAGTTTGTCCCTGGCCCCGCTTAGGGTTGGGTGGGTGGTGGCCAGTTGATGTGTCTCTCTCACATCGATTTTTCTGTCTCTCTCTTCCCTCCTCTCTCCCTCCTGCTCTATCTGAAGATAGATGTGAGAATGTCCTCCGGTGAGGATGAAAAAAAAAAAATCACCAGTATCTACATCTTCAGGTTTTCTAAATTGTGTGGCAAGTTGAAACTTGTTTTTGTGGCATTTTTTCCCTTTCTATTACCGTATTTTAAAAGCAAATTACCTACCACATTTCCTATGGAAAAAAAGAAATCAAATCTCCAGGTCTCATACTTTGTCGCCAGCAGAATTTCCTAATACTTCTCATATCTGTCAGATGGAGTGGTCTATTCATTACTCCCTTAAAATTATCAAACGCTGCCCTGAACGCCACTCCCAATGCTCAGCTTCCTATGGGATACTTTACTTTCCTCCAAGTCCCAGTTCAAAACTCTTCTGCTTATAAACTTTCCCAAAAATCTAAGTCAGTGCTGCCCAACAGAAATACAATGAAAGCCATATGTAATCTAACATTTTCTAGTAACCTTATTAAAAAGAGAAACGGGTGAAATTACTATCATGTTATCAATATAGAAATATTATCAATGAGATATTTTACATTCTTTTTCCATGCTAAGTCTTTGACATCCAGTGTTTTTCACATATAGCATTTGGACAAGCCACACAGTGAGTGTCCGATAACCACATGTGGCTAGTGACTATCATACTGGACAGTGCAGGTCTAAGTCCTCAGTGATAGCTCCCTTCTCTGAACCCTTACTCTAGCATGGTTTCTAGATTTTGTTTGGTGCTTACCAAACTAATATCATATACCCTGTCCCCCATCAACATATTAAGGCCTTTTCTATCTTTTTATATTCCTAGTTCCTAAATACCCATTCCTAACCCCTCTGGCTACAGGACCATCTTTCTCTGATTAGATATTTCACATTTCAGGATATTTCCACGTGTACAAAAAATTCAAGGGAATATTCTATATTGGATGATATTCCATTTTATTTGTTTAAATGTAGTTCCAGCCCTTTCGGTGATAATCAAAACCAGTACTTAATAAAAAAATTATTTTTAAATGGTAAAAATACCAAACATTGTATGCTGAGGAAGAGTGTCCAACAAGGGCGTGAACTGCAAAACAAATGAAAAGAAGTCTATAGTACCCATAATTCGATTTTTTGACTTCAGAAAAGAAACCTCCTGTGGAAATTGTATTTGCCCTATCTATCTCAAAAAGCCGTGAAAAGCTTGGAAAAAAAAAACATTTGAGGGTACCACTAGTAATGATTTTAAAATATTAACCTCTGATAGCAATTTTAATTTCTTACCCATTCCCCAGGTACAGCCCATTTCATCATCTTGACTACTAGTGTTTCTCTTCTTTTCAGTGGTATCCAACTCCTCATCTTCACCAGAGTCTTCTCCCAGCATCTTTTTCTCCAACATCCTTTGTTGCTTCTTGCGCAGTTCCTTCAGCTGCGTTACTGTCAACTCGGACTCTGCCTCTCGGTCTTCCTCTGGTCCCTGAGGAACCAAGCGAGAGAACCCTGGAGTTCAGGGTCCCCGACGGCCCTCTCGGAAATGGGGCAGTGTGTCCTGGGGTCTGGAGACCAGGGGCCAGATTCCTCCACTGTGTGATCACCGGCTAGAGGGCTGGCCTTCCTCAGCGAAAGCTTCCGAAGCTCAGGAACCCTGCCCGGGGCTCCAGAGATTTCGACTCGAGGTTTTTCCACTTACCTGAAGAAGAAAGAGTCGGGTGCTGCAGCCGAAGCGGAGAACATGCCCGACGTGGACCCGACAATAGGTGCGGGGCGGGATGCGCGTTTTGTTGAGAAAGGTGCCGTGGGTGCTTCCCAGATCGTAGAGGTAGAAGCCGGGCCCGTGGCCGTCGCACTCCCCGTCGGCGCCCGCCGCCCCGTGCTGCAGCACGGCGTGGTGCCGAGACACCGAAGGGTGCTCCAGGCACACGTCGCAGCTGGGCAGCCTCCCGAAAAGGCAGCAGCTGGCCCCTTTCAAGCTTCGGGTACCAAGGATCGTGCCGCCCTTCAGGGTCTCTAGGCTGTAGGGGCCGGCGGCGGGGCCGCCCCAGGGCGGCTCTCGGTAAGGGGGCGCCCGGGCCGGGCCGTCGGGAGCAGGCGCCGCTGTGGGGGGCCGCGGCTGCCCCTCCGGTGGACTCCTAGTCTCCGCGCTTTCGGGCCGAGCCGGAGGGACATCGGGCTCCCCGGAACCTGGGTCCGGCAGTGCTGTGGGCCTCTCCGGCCCCTCCTCCGGGTTTGAAGGGTTGGGGGCCGGGAACTTGCCCCGCATCGCCGGGGGCACCGGCAGGGCTGGTTTTTTGAAGTCGCCATAGAGTTCTTCCGAAGCCGTTGGCTCGGGCACAGGGGGGCTATCGGCCATCCTTAATCGGGTTCAGCCTCGAAATGTGTCCTGGGAAACCTCACCCTGCGGTCGCGGCCTTCCCCCCCACGCCTCTCCCTCCCCAGCTCCCAGCGCCAGCTTTGGGCGGCGACTGCGATGTTGCGTGAAGAGCGCGGCGAAGAGGTGCGTTACCCACAGGAAGGTCATAATAGGCTGAAAACAAAAAAAAGCAGGCGAGGACGGGGACATGTTTAGAGGTTGCACAGTGGGTTGTAAGGACTTCCTATGGCATAGCCTGATTGTAAGGAGCGCTTCCGGCTGCCTTGGACTACTAATGCACAAGCCAGCCTTCCGGGTCTGAAGTCATCCTCGCCTCAGGCCCCAAGGAGCGGGCGGCTGCCCTGCCCTGTCCTGCCCAGCTCCCAACGCGGCAGGCAGCTGCGGCGCCTTCTTGCTCCGTCCGGGTCCAGAGCTCCTCTTCGGCCAGCTGCCCCGACATCAGGCGGCTCCCGGACCCTGCGATCTGTGCCTGCGCCAGCAGAAGAGCTCCCGAGGCCCGTGGGCATTCCCTGGGCGTGGTGCCTGTTCTTCCTACTCCTTTCGGTGAGTTTAGGGAAGAGGGAGATTTATTTTTTTAATCCCTTCGTTCATTCATTAATTCGTTCATCCTTGTAATTCTTTCCAAAACCAATTGTTGAGGCAGCACAGTGAAGTGGTTAAGAGTGCAGATTCTGGAGCCTGTCTTGATGTTTCCCCATGGCCGTTTGTGACAGTGGGCCTCCACTTCCACATATGAAAAATGGGGTAATAATAGTCTCTACTTCATTGAGTAGTTGGGAAAATGGAATTAAATAATTAAGGCAGCCCTGGCCGGTTTGGCTCAGCGGTTAGAGCATCGACCTGCAGTCCGGAGAGACCCGGGTTTGGTTCCCGCTAAGGGCACGTACTTGGGTTGCAGTTTGTCCCCGGCCCTGGTTGGTCGTGCGGGTGGCAGCCACTCGATGTGTCCCTTTCATGTCGATGTTTCTCTCTCTCTCTCCCTCTCTCTCCCTCCTACTCTATTAAAAAATAATAATAATAATAATAATTAAGGCAATGTCCGGCACATAGTAAGTACTCAGTAAATTCCGTATGTTACTGTGAGCCAGACACTGTAGGAAGATCGTGGTTTTGAGAGATTGGAGACTAAAATTAGTTGAGATATGTACTGGTTTAAAACCAGGGATAAATGCTGTGATGGAACATGCAAAGTGCTGGGAGAATGTAATGGCGAGCACGTGCTGCTGAAGTTCTGGCGGCCACCTACTGCGGAAGGCCTAGAGGACATGTACTGCAGAGCTACGGAGGACGTGTACTGCGGAAGTTATGGAGGACGTGTACTGCGGAAGTTATGGAGGGTGGTGACTAAGCTGTACCTAAGAATGAGTAGCCCTGGCCGGTTTGGCCGGGTTAGAGCCGCTTTGTTGCGGTTAGAGCTCTGCCCCTGAACCAAAGAGTATGGGGTTTGATTCCAGCCAAGGGCACATACCTCGTTGCAATTCCTCCCCAGCCCGGTTGGGGTCGTGTGGGTGGCAACCAATCCATGTGTCTCTCTCACATCCATGTTTCTCTCTCTTTCTTTCTCCCTCCCACTCTGTCTGAACAAAAATGAAAAAATGTCAGGTAAGGATAAGAAAAGAAATACATATGTGTGTGTGTGTGTGTGTGTGTGTGTAAATATATATATACACACACATATATATCCTTGTGTGAGGATTAAAAAAAAAAAGAATGAGTACAAGTCGCCCTGGCCTGTTTGGCTTAGCGGTAGAGTGTCTGTTACAGACCAATGAGTCCCAGGTTGGATTCTAGTCAAGGGCAGGTACCTTGGTTGCAGTTTGCCCCTGGCCAGGTTGTGCGGGAGGCAGCCAGTTGATGTGTCTCTCTCACGTCCATGTGTCTCTCTCTTCCTCTCTCTCCCTCCCTTCCACTCTATCTGAAGATAAATAGGAAAATATTCTCAGGTGAGGATTTAAAAAAAAAAAAAAAAAGAATGAGTGTAAGTCTACCAGGGATGTGATGGGTGGCAGGGAATTTCTGGAGTCACTTTGGAAATTCATGGCATTCTCAAAAAACTGAGTAGTATGATATTGTTATAACTGAGATAATTTCCTCCAGGAAGCTCCCCTGGACTTCCACTGCACCATGTCTGTGCCTCCAAAACGGCACTTACCACACATTTTCATATTGAAATGTTTTTTTCTCTCTCCCTCACCTCGGATCAGGGATCTTGCATTGGTCTTTGTCTCCTTCCATAGTGCCTGACATTTGATAAATGTTTGTTGAATTTGAACAGACATATGAGCAATGAATCTGGAAAGGTGGGTGAAAGCCAGATTGTTAATTTTGTTGAATGGTAAGCCAGAGAATTCTGATTGGCTTTTTCCAATAGGCAATGGGAAACCATCAATCTGAGCTTTTAAGGGTAAGTCTAGCAGCACTGGAGAATAGATTAGACACAAAGAGAGAATGGAGGAAGGGAATACCAGTGAGGAGTCAGCAGAAATCTCTCAGGTTCTTCCTACATGTCAGAAATTGAATGCATTAAGACCATTTAGATTACTGCCTAATACATGTTCCACCAGGACTAAAGGGTTCCCATATGTGACACACAGAATGAGAACCACTTCTTCCTATTTTTAACTCTACTCCCTTTTTTCTTACTAACCCAGAACATATGTGTCACGATACTATGAGAAATATTCCAGGTCTCATTTAAGTAACTGGCTTTGCAAATTGTTCGGGATTAAGAATGATGATAATTCAATAGTGAGTTAGTGGAGTGAGATGGATACTATAACCCAAATTCCACCTTGTAGTTCAGTCCAGTAAAAATTGTCATCATGTGTGGTTTGAAGACTGTCATCTAACAGTTGTATTTCTCTTAATTTCTTCAGGGAGAATATCCTTGGTCCTGCAGTGTTGCTGACATTCACATTTTTCTAACTGGTCTTGAATAGCCTACTTTTTATGTAAAGAACGACTAGACTTCATATTTTTCACTTCAGAAGACTATAAGCTACAGTTGCCAGAGAGTTAAAAACACTACTTTTAGGATACCATTTACATTAAACTTGAGAGCACTTCCTTTCTTATTCCAAAATGTTGAGATACTGGGGAGAGATACCAATCTCATCAAGCCAGACCAATAGAAGTTCCTTTGATTTGCTGCCACGGGAGTTCCGTCTGGTGGAAGTACATGATCCACCCCTGCACCAACCCTCAGCCAACAAGCCCAAGCCCCCCACTATGCTGGATATCCCCTCAGAACCATGCAGCCTCACCATTCATACCATTCAGCTGATCCAGCACAACCGACGTCTGCGCAACCTCATTGCTACAGCTCAGGCCCAGAATCAGCAACAGGCAGAAGGAATAAAGACTGAAGAGAGTGAACCTCTTCCCTCTTGTCCTGGGTCACCTCCTCTTCCTGATGACCTTCTGCCTTTAGACTGTAAGAATCCCAGTGTACCATTTCAGATTCGGCACAGTGACCCTGAAAGTGACTTTTATCGGTAAGCTAAGGCTTTGCTATATCTTACTTTTCTCAAGAAAATCTTTCCTACAACCCTGTTAAGCATATAGTAGCATTTCCATGAGAAATCTGAGAGTAAGAGTCACTGACTTGCCCTGCCCAATTTAGCTCAGCGATTAGAGCATCGGCCCCACGGTCCAGAAAGTCCTGGGTTTGGTTCCCACTAAGGGCACGTACCTCGGTTGCAGTTTGTTCCGGCCCCACTTGGGGTTGTGTGTGAGGCAGCCACTTGATGTGTCCCTCTCACATCGATGTTTCCCTCTCACTTCCTCTCTCCCTCCCACTCTATCTGAACAAAAATGGAAAAATGTCCTCGGGTGAAGATAAAAAAAAAAAAAAAAAAGAGTCACTGATTTGGCCAAAGTTGCTCAGGTAATTAATGGGACATCTAAGACTTGAACTCTGATCTTCAAAATCCAAACTCTGTATTTTTTTATTTTTCTGATGCAACATATATTTATTAAGTGCCAGCTATGTACCAAGCACTTTACTAGGAGCAAGGCAATACACTGGTATGTAAAACAGGCCAAGGCCTCATAGCCCTCAGAATGCAGTCTTTCTCTTTCATTTAAAATGTATATTATGGTCTGGCTGGTGTGGCTCAGTGGTGCACCCACACACCAACAGGTCGCCGGTTCAATTCCCGGTCAGGACACATGCCCAGTTTGTGGGCCTAACCCCAGTGGGAGGCATGCAGGGAGGCGACTAATCAGTGTTCTCTCTCATCGATGTTTCTCTCTCTCTCCCTCTCACTTCCTCTCTCTCTCAAATCAATAGAGGGGGAAAAAGTAAAATATATATATTATAGCCTGACCAGTGTGGCTCAGTGGTTGAATGTCGACCCATGCATCAAGAGGTTGTCAATTCGATTCCCAGTCAGGGCACATGCCCAGGTTGTGGAATCCCCAGTAGGGGGCATGCAGGAGGCAGCCTATCGATGTTCTCTCTCATTGATCTCTCTTTCTCTCTCTCTCTCTCTCTCTCTCTCTCACTCCCTCCTTTCCTCTCTCTCTAAAATCAATGAAGAAAAAAATAATTCTAAAATGTTTATTATGGATTTAGCTCAGTGTCCTCAAATTGAGATTCATGGACTTGTTCTGGTATTATTAGGAACCCACAAGTTCTACATAAGAATTTTTTAATTGTGTACTTTCATTCTGATAACATAGTTTAAGAAATAATAATATAAAACATTCTTGATCCTTGCTACTGAAAATCTGGTTGAAGACTAGCAGCATCAACATCACCTGGGAGCTTGTTAGAAATGCAGTCTCAGGCCCTACCCAGACCCACTGAATTAGAATCTTCATTTTAACAAATCTCCAGGAGATTCATGTGTGTATTTAAATTGAAGAAGCCCTGCTCCAGGTGCTCTGAATGACTGATTTATAACCTGGTACTACTGCTAGATTTCAGTGTGTAAATTTGCATGTGGTGCCAAATAAGTACTTTTTTTTCATTTTGAAATTTGTCAGACCTTCAGAAAAATTTATTTATTTATTTATTTTAATTTTTTTTTTCATCCTCACCTGAGGACATTTTTCCATTTTTTGTACAGATAGAGTGGGAGGGTGAGAGAGGAAGAGAGAGAGAGAGAAACATCGATGTGAAAGGGACGCATCGAGTGGCTGCCACCCGCACGACCAACCAGGGCGGGGACAAACTGCAACCGAGGTACATGTACTTAGCGGGAACTGAACCCGGGTCTCTCCGGACCGCAGGCTGACACTCTAACCGCTGAGCCAAACCGGCCAGGGCGAAAAATTTAAATAATAGTACAGTGAACACCTAAGTACCCTTAACCTGGATTCATCAATTGTTAACATTCTGCCATATTTACTTTCTCCCATATGTGTGTGTACACACAAATATATATACACAAACACTTTTCCCAAAAATATTTTAAAATTGCAGACATCACAATATTTCATGGCTTAATTCTTCAGCTTATCCTAAAAATAAGGAAAGTTTCCTACATAATTCCAATGTCATTATTACACCAAAGTAAATGAACACCAATTAAATTATATCATAATAAGCCCATATTCAGATGTCTTCAGTTGTCCCCATAATACCTCTTATAGATAATTTTCCCCAATCCAGGACCTAATAAAAGATTCATGCATTGCATTTGATATTATGCCTTTATAGTGTCTTTTAAGCCAGAACAGCTTCCTCCTTTTTAAAAAACATATTAATCTTTTTAAAATTTTTCTTTATTGATTTTAGAGAGAGAGGAAGGGAGAGGTGGAGAGAGAGATAGAAACATCAATGAGAGAGAACATCGATTGGCTGCCTCCTGCATGCCCCCCACTGGGCATTTGGCCCACAACCTAGGCATGTGCCCTGACCAGGAATCAAACCAGCGACCTCTTGGTGCATGGGCCAATGCTCAACCACTGAGCCACACTGGCTGGGCAAAAATATGTTAATCTTTTTTTAAGAGTTCAGGTCATTTGTTTGGTAGAATCTCCCACTTACTGGATTTGCTGATATTTCCTCAAGATTAGATTAGATGAGGTTAAATTTGTTTGGCAAAAATTCTACATATGAATGTTATATATCACTTATTGCATCTGCCTATTGATGATAATAGTACTATTTTAATTATCCTAATCGAATGAGAAGAGAAGAGACATAGACTTATGTAAAAGTTGCAGTTGGGCCAAATGAAGGCTAGATGATGTCATGGCGAAGTCTTTGGAATAGTGATGGTGGGAGGAATAACTGTGTAATTACATGGATGGCACATATTCTTATAGAGATGTCCAACTTAAAAACACTTGCTGTGTAGCCATCAGTACCATTTTGAGGGCAATTTAGTTGTAACAAAATAATATTGTCCATCATATTAAATTGATGTTATTTAGAATTTTGCAGTTTTGTTAGGAAGCGCTATAAATATCAAAAGTTCGTACATAGTTTGTTTTATACATATTTAAGAAACTGTAGCCCTGGCCGGTTTAGCTCAGTGGATAGTGTCAGCCTGTGGTCCAGAGAGACCCGGGTTCAATTCCCGCTAAGGGCGCATACCTCGGTTGCGGTTTGTCCCGGCCCTGGTTGGGTCGTGCAGGTGGCAACCACTCGATGTGTCCCTTTCACGTCGATGTTTTTCTCTCTCTCTCCCTCCCACTCTATATGAACAAAAGGTGGGGAAATATCCTCGGGTGAGGATAAAATAAATAAAACTCAGAATTTAAAAAAAGAAAAGAAACTGTAACAACAATAATTTGCATCAGTTATAGGAGTACCCAAAGAATTATTTTCCTTTGAAACTATATAGTCCATATATTATTCAAGTAAATGAAATACTGGTTTAAGCTCTCTGTTTATTAGGCACTTCTGAGGCCTAAAGCATTTGGCACAGACACACTGGCCTGGAAAATGATGATGGAAATAGTAAATGAAAAGTTGTTGGGCAATTGGTTTTCTTATTTTCCAACTATTATGTGAATTTCAGTAGTTGCTACTGAGCAGATAATAATAGTCAAGTGGGTGAATAGTTCCTCAAGCACTCTTCATGCAGCAAGTGGTGACATGTGCCAAGTATGTACCAGGGAAGAGTAATTTTCTGTATCCTATTTTATTTTTATATATTTTAACTATTTACTTCCTTTGTCAAGGGGAAGCAGAGGATAGATAGGAAATTTCAGCAAACAGGTAAATTATTGTTAAAAGTTATTTTTAGGAGATTAGACAGCTTTTTGAAGTGTTTTTCTTGGATTTAGATTTCTTCACTAGTGATTAGGTGCAATTTGGTGTATTATGAAGAACATGGGCTCTGGAGTCAGAAGTTCCACATGGCACTTATTAATAATATCTAAACAACTTTTGGCAAATTAGCCCCTCTGAACTTCAGTTTCCTCACCTGCCAAGTAGGAATAATAATGTGGACCCTACCCATTTCACAGCATAGGAAAGAATAAATGCTTTGTAGGCTGTATATGTTTTAAATTGCTTTTATAAAATTAAGTTGCTTTTTCAGTTTTACAAATGGTCTGTTGCTATTATAGAAGAATCTCCTAAATTTCTGAAATGTCATATGCTGCCCAGCATGTCAGGAAACTATGTTCTAGTGAAATAACCTGAGCACCATTGAAAAGTGTCTGAGCTATACTGTGAAAATTAATCAGATCCTAAAAGTGATCAAAATTGAGCAGTTGGTATAAAAAGGAGACTTCCTTTTTATTGGATACCCTTTTATACTGTTTATTATAGGCATGTATTGCCTGTTCAAGCTTTATGTAATTGGAGGAGCTCCGAGATACGACTGGGGGTTGCTTGGACATGCCCTGACAGCAGCAAAGATGAAACTGGGCTATGTAACCTGAATAGAATTTTCCTGGAAAGCTAGGCCAGTGGTTTGATTGGAATTGTAAAACTTATAGGGAGACAGGACACGTCACCCTTTTGTAGGAGCACTAATAACACTACAACCACGTCTCTGCTTTCAGTGGGAAAGGGGAACCTGTGACTGAACTCAGCTGGCACTCCTGCCGGCAGCTCCTCTACCAGGCAGTGGCCACCATCCTGGCCCATGCGGGCTTTGAGTGTGCAAATGAAAGTGTCCTGGAGACCCTAACTGATGTAGCACATGAGTATTGCCTGAAGTTCACCAAGTTGCTGCGCTTTGCTGTGGACCGGGAGGCCCGGCTGGGGCACACTCCTTTTCCTGATGTTATGGAGGAGGTATTCCATGAAGTGGGCATTGGCAGTGTGCTCTCCCTCCAGAAGTTCTGGCAGCACCGCATCAAGGACTATCACAGTTACATGCTCCAGGTGAGGTGACCCTGTAGAGAAGAAAATAAAGATGTGTGGTCTAGGAATGTTCAGCAGGATGCCACAATTGCTGTAGAATGCAGAGCACAGGATCTTGGAACAGAGTAGACATAATCTACTTTCCTCATGGCCTTAGCTGGGATTCACTGGCCTCAGCGCTGACATGGCCATACAAAACAGTGAGGTGATACTGCCCAAAAGTGGAAAGGCAGGGAGAGATACCATTTTGGGTTAGAACCAGAAATATCTCATTTCTTCAACAGTTGTGGCCTTATGCAAGTCACTTGTTCACTATTTTGGTTTCTAAAATATAAGGAATTTTTAACACCCAACAAAAAAGTTTTTGCTAAGTAATCCAGATTTCCTACACCATTTATTATCCACCTAGGATACATGTTAACTGTTAGTTTTTATAGCCATAAATGTGATCTTTTGTCCCAGTTCTGATTTATCTTTGTCTAATTTTCACCTTTATATAACTTTTAATAATGACACACATGCACTCTCTACAAATTTTTTTACATGTCTATCATTTACAAATTCAAACTCAGCACCTTAAGCAGATTCCTTCCATTGGCAGAGGATGCTTTATTCATATCCATATCCATATTCATATTCTGTTGGCATTTCCATGACTATCCAACTTGTTTCTAACATTTCTTTGAAAAATTGTCTCTTACTTGCCAACAGATTAGTAAGCAGCTTTCTGAAGAGTATGAAAGGATTGTCAATCCTGAGAAAGCCACAGAAGACACTAAACCTGTAAAGATCAAGGAAGAACCTGTGAGTGACATCACCTTCCCTGTCAGTGAGGAACTGGAGGCTGACCTTGCTTCTGGAGACCAGTCACTGCCCATGGGAGTCCTTGGGGCTCAGAGTGAGCGCTTCCCATCTAACCTGGAGGTCGAGGCTTCACCACAGGCTTCAAGTAAGAGAAATCAACTTACTTTGATTCTGGGATCTGCCCATCTTAGTACTTTTTTGCATTATGGAGTAGTACTTTGAAGATGGAAGAACAAAAGTAGAAGTGGGCAGGAGAGTGAAAAGTCTAAAAACAACTATAGATCTAGAGATACCAACGTTCGTCTCTTTGTAATAACAGGACTAGTAGTGCAGCTTTACAAGCATGCTTTAGCCCTGGCCGGTTTGGCTCAGCAGTTAGAGCATTGGCCTGCATTCCAGAGAGACCCGGGTTTGGTTCCCGCAAAGGGTTGCAGTTTGTCCCCGGCCCTGGTTGGTCGTGCGGGTGGCGGCCACTCGATGTGTCCCTTTCACGTCAATGTTTCTCTCTCTCTCTCTGTTCCTCTCTCTCCCTCCCACTCTGTCTGTACAGGAGATGGAAAAATGTACTCGGGCAAGGATAAAAAATAATTCCTAGTTAGGATATAGATGCAATATGTGTTGTCTTGTTGATTATGAGTTAATTCAGCTGAACCCCTCTCCTTCCCTTACTATGTGTATTGGTCCTTTCTGGTGCTTGTACTTAGTTAATTAAGACAATTTCCAGATAGATGGAGGAGTGTTAATTGCTTAAAGATATTTGAATCATTGGGATTCCAGATAGATGGAGGAGTGTTAATTGCTTAAAGATATTTGAATCACTGGGATTCCTTGCTAGAGTAACGCAACAAATTGTAGCTAGAAGTGATTGAAAAAGTGCTACATGGGCAGCTGGCCTCGTCTTCCAGATAGATTGCTATTACCTTACAAATCAGGATGACTTGATCCTTAAGTCAGTTAGATTGCACATTAGTCTAGACACTTGGTTCTTTACAAATATAAATTGTCATTTCATCAGTGCACAAATGCTACAAACAGCAAATCCTCTAGTGTGGACTAAATAGAATTTGGTCAGGTTTTAAACTGTTGGGCAGAGCCTTTCACCATGGAAGAATAACCACAGAACAGTAAGTATTGCTAGAACACACAGAGGCAGGAGGACCTTGCTACAGACTTAGGGGCCATGTCTCTCTTCAGCAGTCTAGGAACCGCTGGCATTTTGGAGTAATCGTTAACTTTTCATAATGTCGGATAGGACCAGGGACCCAAACTAAAGGAAGGAAAACAAGACAGCCCCATTAAAGGAAGGACAGGCAAACAACTGAACTTGTGGATGAGAAGGGAATCTTTCTACATGCATGCAGTTTTACTTCCCTGGTTCAGAAAAATGGGGGTGAGGTGAGGTGGGGTAAAGGAGGGTGGAGGAGGTGGAAAGAAGATATTCAGCATTGGTCTAACTTTTTTTTTTTTAATCCTCACCCGAGGATATTTTTCCATTTTTCTTCAGATAGAGTGTGAGGGAGGAAGGAAGGGAGGAAGGGAGAGAAACATTGACATAAGAGAGAGACATCAATTGGTTGCCTCCCGCATGACCCCGCCCAGGACTGGGGGCTGGAGCACAACCGAGTTATGTGCCCTTTACTGGAATTGAACCTGTGACTCTTTGGTCCTTGGGAGGATACTCTAACCACTGAGCAAAACCAGCCAGGGCAGCATTGGTCTTTTTTTTTTTTCATTTATATTCAGATAGAGCAGGAGGGAAGAGAGAGAGAAACATTGATGTGAGAGAGACACATTGACTGGTTGCCACCCACACAACCCCAACCGGGACAGGGACAAACTGCAACCGAAGTATGTGCCCTTAGCAGGAACTGAACCCGGCCCTCTCTGGTCCGTGGGCCGATGATCTAACTGCTGAGCCAAACCGGCCAGGGCTGGTCTAACTTTTTGAAGCAGAGAACTACAACCATATTCTCCAGCCAAGTAGAGAGTCAGAATGTAAGCTGAGCTCAAAGGCCATCAGTCTGCCCTGGATCGTGTATATTCATTCTACTTTGTTCCAGCCTTGGCTTATCAACAGTTATATGTTTTTCAATTTTTAGGTACAGAGGTAAATGCTTCCCCTCTTTGGAATCTGGCCCACGTGAAAATGGAGCCTCAAGAGAACGAAGAAGGCAATGTCTCTGGGCACGGTGTGCTGGGCAGCGATGTCTTCGAGGAGCCCATGTCAGGCATGAGTGAAGCTGGGATACCCCAAAGCCCTGATGACTCAGACAGCAGCTACGGCTCCCACTCCACTGATAGCCTCATGGGGTCCTCCCCTGTTTTCAACCAGCGCTGCAAGAAGAGGATGAGGAAAATATAAAAAGAAGAGAGATTTTCTGTCCAAACCTACAAACCAAACAGAAAATCTGATAAATTCAAATTTGTTTCCATAGTGATTTAACTCTTAAAACACAGTGAATTTTCCTGAATTCAAGTGGAACTGGATTTAACCAAACAAGTTTGCATATTACTTTTCCATCCAGTTTTTGTAGTTTTCCATGACCACCAAGCCACCTTTCACAGGTATGTCATGATGCTGGGGTGGTAATCAGGAGACCAAAGCAGTCTCCGACGACTGTTATTACTGTGATTAGATAAGTTGCTTAGATTCTCTAGAGCCATTTCTCTTGCACAACTGAGAACACTCATATTCTTTGAACCACGTTGCAGGGCTGCTGGGAAGCCTGAGGTGCTATTAACACACAAAGCTGCACTTGAACAGGACTCAAGTACATGTATGCTGGTATCAGATGTTAGTTTTTTCATTTGATTTACTTCAGTTTTGGTTCAGTCATTGGGAATCAAGTACTGATACCAAACAGGAAATAGCTAAACTCTGCACGACGTATACATCAGTAGTCTCTAAAACTTTTGTTGCCCATGAAGTCTTATAAAATCAGTTCTGTGGTAACACAGCCTTTTTGCTTATTCAGACAGCCCTCTCCTATATCACCCACGTTATTTTCTTCTTGCTTCTTTAAATTTATTCCATCTGTCCTCATCCTTGTCTTTATTTCCACTCAGATTTTTAAAATATTTTCACTATGTACATTCAATTGTTTCATTTTCTCCTTTGTGGATAAAACGAACAGGACCTGTCGCAAGGACAGGCTTGTGCTTATTTTATTGTATCTGCTTGGCCATCAGAAGATAGCAGTCCATTCCTCTGCCAGAATTCTACATCTGCACATTGTGCTTCTACTGGATGGGCAGCCGCTAAAAAGAGGCTTTCCACTCAACGAACAACTCTGCTGTTGTCACTCATCCATTACAGTGCTGCCCTGCTTGGCATCTGGTAGTCTCAATCAGCATTTAATACGTAAATGACACAGCACTGCAATAATTAGGAGTAATTAGCAAATGTGTGCTTTATGCCTTGGTACTAGGTGCCAGCATGTTAAGTTCTGCTGGGTTTTTGGGTGCAGATTATAAATCTTGTGAAATTTAGAGCACTCCTTTAATCAAGAACAAAAATCAAGGCATGGCTTTAATTAATGCCTTAAATTTCCCAGGCATTGAGAATAAAGATTAATGCAGTAGCAGCAGGTGAGATGATCATCTAAACTGTTATCAGATCATTTATAAATTTGCTAATTGTACATCCTTGACACACTTATTTGAACCCTTCCTGTTCCAGGCTTAGCTTTGCTTTCCTTTTATTTATGAAAGTGGACACCAGTCAGTTTCCATAAGGTAGTCATCTAATATTTAGCTCATTCAATTAGGAAACATTTACTGGGTACCTATTATGTGCTAAATCATTTGCAAGGGATACAAAGATGAGTAAGACTTTGTGCCTGCCCTTAGGGAGTTTATAATGTAGGCCATACAAGTTATTCTTTAAGGAAAATGTAGTCAAAGGCACTAAGGAGAAAACCAGGTATGTTCAGAATTTTGTTGTACAAATGGTTTCCTCTTAAAGATTAGGTTCAGCCTAGCTGTTGTGGCTCAGTAGATTGAGTGTCATCCCATGGACTGAGGTCCTGTTGGATTCCCAGTCAGAGTACATGCTGGGTTGCTGGCTTGCTCCCCAGTAGGGGGTGTGCAGGAGGTAGCTGACGGATGTATCTCACATTGATGATTTCTTTTTTTTATCCTCATCCGAGGACATTTTTCCATTTTTTGTACAGACAGAGTGGGAGGGAGAGAGAGGAAGAGAGAGAGAGAGAGAAACATCGACGTGAAGGGACACATCGAGTGGCTGCCACCCGCACGACCAACCAGGGCCGGGGACAAACTGCAACCGAGGTACATGCCCTTAGCAGGAACCAAACCCGGGTCTCTCGGGACCGCAGGCAGACGCTCTAACCGCTGAGCCAAACTGGCCAGGGCTCACATTGATTATTTCTTTTCTCTCTCCCTCTTTTTCCCTCCCTCCCCTCTCATTCTATCTGAAGATAAATAGAAAAATATCCTCAAGTGAGGATTAAACAGTAATAATAAATTAAAAAAATAAAATAAAACACGTTTTTTTAAAAAAAGGTTGAAATGTTTAGACCAGTGGTTCTGACTAGGTATAAAATATTGAAATTAATGTTTCATGGTAAAGTAAAATACTTTTATTTTTAGAATGTTTAAATTGGAGAATAAGCACCAGATAGTCAAAGCTGGCGTACTCTGATAAAGCAGGTCATATGAGGATTGCTAACCTGAGATTCACCTGGCCTGGAATTGTCACAGGGTGTATGAGTTGTCAAAGCAGTGGTTCAAACAGACTACTGGACCGCAACCTCAGTTTCTGATTCAGGTCTTCAGTGTCCCTTTTCTAACAATTTCCCAGCTGATGCTTATGCTTCTGGTCCAGAGACCACACTTTCAGAACCACTGGAGGAAAGATCAAGCAAGGATAAAATTCCTTAAGAGAAATGTACTAGATTTTAAGATACTGTGAAAAATGAAGGTAGAGTAAACCACGAATGTTATGTATGGAATGTACACCTGACTCAAATCCATGGCATTTGAGTAAATCACCAAGGGTACTTTGCATTCATTTCAAAATACAATACAAACAGGACTGGCTCTATACCTGGTTACTAGGTATGTGTACAGGGGAAACATGAGTAAACATCACTATACTGAGACAGGTTTGGACATGTGGCTTTAAACCTCTCTGATGAACAGAAGTAAATCTATTTGTGATTATAAATTTTCTTATTTTAAATTATGACAGGCAGGCTTACACCAAAGTCAAAATTAAAAACTTTATCCAAATCACCATGGAAAGCAGGATGCTTACTATGTTTTTCCCATCTTCTTCAACAAACCTGGTGTCCTATAATGAGCTACTAAGCATGAGGCACATTTCATACCAACATATTGGTTGCCAAGGAGATTCCACTGCCACTGTATAAGCTCATGTTTCCCCTCTCACAGTCTGCTAAAAGGAGGGAAACTCATGAGTTGAGGGCAAGATGCTTGGGAAATAGAGGCTATAGATCCAGCCTAACAGAGATCTGAAGTGAACAATATGTTCTCTACTCCATCCATCAGCAGCAAAAGTACTTGAGTTCTAATGACAGAACATGAAGTTTTACACACAGAAAACCAGCATCCAGAACAGCCAGAAAATCCTTCCTTGCAATCCAAGCGGAATCAGTCAGTGTCTAGCTGCCAGGTCCAAATTTCTTCTACCCCTGGCTTCATTGGAGTCAGATTTCCCTAGTAAGAAAAACTGCTATTCTGAACAAAACTGTTCTTTATAATAACCCCAGTCAGAGTAAGGATAGTTCCTTTACAGAGTTCCAAACTTCTGGACTTCTGGAAACTATTTGTGGTTTCTCTTCCAGTATTGTGCCATTGATTCTTGCATAAAATTCTGGAACGCTGGCTCTTCATGGCTTTCCTCTGTAACTGCAAGGGAAAAATGGTCAATTCTTATTAGACTCTCCCATGAGACAGGCAGATTAGACCTGCTGCCACCCATCCATCAGACACAGTATTCTATTTCTAAGAAACTAAGTGTTCGTTTCTCCCAGTCAATTTTCTCTATTGACCCATGTTGCCCAAAATGTACAATCTCTTATCCGTAAGTAAGGAGAAAAAAGCCTCCCTCAAAAGTAACTAAAATGAGGTCCTACTCCAAAGTATTTTTATCCATGGGAAATGAAAGCATATGTCCACACAAAGACCTATTACTGAATGTTAATCGCAGCTTGATTTATAATAGCTAAAATCTAGAAACAACCCAAATGTCAATCAGGTGGTGAATGCATAAACAAATTGTGGTACTTATGGAATATTACTCAACTATAAAAACACTACTGATACATGCAACATGAGTGGACCACAGAAACATTATACTGATTGAAAAGAGTCTAATACAAGTTAAATACTGTGATTCCAATTTTGACATTTTGGAAAATGCAAATTATAGGAACAGAAATTAGATCAATGACTGCCAGGAACTAGGTATGCAGGAAGGGAGTGAATAAAAACGGGCATGAGAGAACTTCTGGTGTAGTGGAAATGTTCTGTATCTTGATTATGATGGTGGTTATAAGATCATGTACGTGTTAAAACTGGTCAAGGCACTTTCCCTCCCAGGAGCACACCTGTGCCTTTCCTCCCCCACATCTTCCCCCCAGGAACCTTACCTTTGCCCTTCTCTCTCCTAAGTTCCAAGGGCCCTTCTTTTTTTGCTTTTGTAACTTGTTTCCTGAGCCTAGGCAGCCCAGCTGGCTCATGTCTACTACCTCTGTAACTTTCTAAATAAACTTTCTCTTATAGTTTGGAAAAATGAATAAATAAACTCATTAAACTATAAACTTTTAAAAGGTGGGTTTTACTCTATAAATTATACTTCAATAAATCTGATTAAATGAGGCACTTTACATGTTAGCATCTGGTGCACTGAAGTGAAGAGAGGTTTGCTCCTGGTCATAGCTAGAACCTAAAAGGGTGTTTCAAGAAATAGATTCTGTCCACAGTCCATAAAACTATGCCAAGTTGACCCTTTTGGATTTCCAGAACCATTCTATCTTCCAAGTGTTAGTCCCTTCTCACTATATCTGCTGAGACCTCCCTATATATTATTCTTTTTTTAAATTTTTTATTTTATTTTAGAGAGACAGACAGGAAGAGGGAGAGAGAGATAGAAACAGTCATGAGAGAGAACATCAACTGGCCACCTCCTGCATGCCCCTCACTGGGAATTAGGCCCACAACCTGGGCATGTGCCCTGACTCGGAATCGAACCAGCAACCTCTTGGTGCATGGGTCAATGCTCAATCACTGAGCCACACAGGCCGAGCTCCATATATATATATATATTTTTATCCTCACCTGAAGACGTTTTCCCATTTTTTGTTCAGATAGAATGGGAGGGAGGGAAGGAGGGAGAGAGAAACATCGACATGAAAGGGACACATCGGGTGGCTGCCACCCGTATGACCAACCAGGGCCAGGGACAAACTGCAACTGAGGTATGTGCCCTTAGTGGGAACTGAACCCAGGTCTCTCTGGACCGCAGGCCAACGCTCTAACCGCTGAGCAAAACTGGCCAGGGCATATTCTTAAAACAACAACTACAATAAACAAAATGCACGATTCCTCAAATTGAACTGGGACCTAAAAATGAGCAGACTAATAAAAGGACTGTAATCAGCTCAATATTAACCATCAACAGGAAGGACAGAAACTCCCAATGCATGCAACTCTTTCCTGGTGCTGTATCCTTCACCATCTCACTCCCCTATTACTGGCTGCATACTTAAGGTCTTCTCTCCACAACATCCCAACAACGTAAAGATCTAGTCTGTTTTCATAAGGCACCTCAGCCACCTCTCACCTCTATGGTCAATATCATCAGTGTCACTGTCTGCTTCCTCATCCTCTTCATCCAAGGTTCCCCGAGTCAGGATCAAGTCAGAAGGGTCCCGCACAGGAGATAAGCTGTCTATAGAGAAAACACCAGTAGCATGTCATGAACATATGCCTCAAAAAGGTGATTTTGCATCAGTAACTATGATTTGAAATCTGGCTGGATGAAAATGGTCATGATAAAAGGCAGGATCCCACCCTGGCCAGTTTGGTTCAAGGGTCAGAGCATCAGCCCTTGGGCCAAAGAGTCACGGGTTCGAGTCCCAGTCAAGGGCATGTACCTGCGTTGCAGGTTCGATCCCTGGTCCTGGTCAGGATCATGCGGGAAGCAACTAATTGATATGTCTCTCTCATATCATGTCTCTCTCATATCGATGTTTTTCTCTCCCTCCCTTCCACTCTATCTAAAAACAAAATCAATGGGAAAATAGCTTTGGGTGAGGATTAGCAGCAGCAGCAAAAATTGTAGGATACTACTTTTTCCAAATGTATTAATACCACTTAACCTGTCTATAATCGTTGAGTTCACAAAGTGCTTTCACTATTCCAATAACTCAGAAGGTCTCATATTTAAATGAACAAAAATAATTCTCACAGCTTAAAATAGACTGTGGCTTTTCTTATTAAGGCTCAAGACATTTGGGCAGACGTAGAGTGCTGGTGAGTTAAGGGTAAGTGGAGCACTGAGGAAGCTTCCTGATGGAAATTAAGTTCAGAGTGGGTCTGAAGAGAACACAGGGCGAAATGACCCAGAGTAGAGGAGCCAGGGTAGAGTGAAGAGGGAAAATGGAAAACTGAAGCTAGTAATAGAGGTAAATTCCCTATTCAGGGAAACTGATGAAGCTGAGCTCCAATAATCAGGAAAAAGTCTAATCAGGTCACTGCTAGGCAGGGGATTCAGTGTGCAGGGGTTGGGTTCTATGAGAATCTAAAACCATGTGAAGTAAACTAAAGCAATGGGAGGACATGAGACTCTCTCTTCAGGGGCCTAAAAGGTTAAGCGAGGTCAGTTGGGGAATAGGGTGGCAAACAGCAGCAACATCAAGGGGCACAAATTTCAAGGAGCTGTGGCCCTGAGTAAGGATGACATGGTGTGCTGACAATCAATGCTTCATTCTGTGCCCAGTTCAGAATTACGAGACTATACTTGTGATTGTCCCCAAATAATTTACTAAAACTCCCCCAACCTTTAACAGGTTATCTGAGTACATCAGACCCTCTGCCACAGGAAATTTAACAGCTGCCACTTTGTGCATTCACAAGTAATTTCAAAGACCACAGCACACAGAAATGTATATAGCTGAAGTATGCAACAAAGACGGCGTAGGTGAGTTCACGTAACTGGTCAACCCGCCCATTTCCAGCATCTCCTCTTCCAAGTGGTTTTGCTGTTCTCTATTAAGCATATAGCAATAGCTTTCATGAATAGAACTTCATTTCTTTAAAGTCCAGTCCATCAATAAGTGTGGATGAGTGGTAGTATATACACTTAACTATGAGCACCAACCTAGAAATCCCTAGAGAATCAATGATAAAACTCAAACAATATAAAAAGTCAGTAGAGTAGCAGAATAAAAAGACTAATGTACAAAAATTCAATGCCTTCATACACACAAATATAACCATCAAGAAGATGTGATGGTTCAGAAAAACCCATTTTCAACACTAATAAAGAAGAAAAAAAATCCTTGGAATAAATTTAACAAGAAATATGCAAATCCTACATAAGAAAAACATCCTCCTTTTCTCTTTCCTCTCTTAAATATAAATATCTTCCTGCTGAGTAGAAATAATGTACCTCCTTTCAGTTCCTAATATCAAAGACCCTCCAATACCTGCAGCAGTTCCTGTGTCCAAAGCTACAGAGCCCATATCTTTTCGAAGGCGTTCCAGTTGTTCTCTCTGCTGTTGGCTCTGTGCACTTGCCTGTATACAGAGAGGAAAATATCTGATTCAAAAAGGAGCCCTAAGCCCATACCAGACTTCTGACTAGAGATGACCAATTATACAAATTCCAGAGACAAATCATTGAAGCAGCTAAGGGATGGTTGATATGGGAACAGAAACACTGAGCAATACGGACCCAGATTAGCAGTTCAGGCTGGAGGGCTCTGGACACTGAATCAGAAGTTTCAGAAATGACACAAAACATATCAAAATAGCCCTGGCCGGTTTGGCTCAGTGGTTGGCGCGTCGGCCTGCGGTACAGAGAGACCCGGGTTCGGTTCCCGCTAAGGGCATGTACCTCGGTTGCAGTTTGTCCTCGGCCCTCATTGGTCATGTGTGTGGCAACCACTCAATGTATCCCTTTCACGTCGATGTTTCTGTCTCTCTCTTCCTCTCTCTCCCTCCCACTCTATCTGAACAAAAAATGCAAAAATGTCTTCAGGTAAAAATAAAAAACAACAACAACAACAAAAAAAACGTATCAAAATACTCCTCAAGTAGATATAGCAGGAAGGCTCAGTGATATGGAGCCCAGTGCAGTGGATGGGGACAGGATACATGATCAGTTGGGATAAGAGTTGTGAACCACCTCTTTGTTCCTAAACAAAATTCTACAACTAGATGGAGCTTGGAGTAGGAGCTTGGAATAAGGGCTTAGCATATATAGTAGGAAAAATCTGATTTTTTAAAAAATCCCCACCTGAAGATATGTCTTATTGATATTTTTATTTTAGAGAGAGAGAAAGGGAAAGAGAAACATCGATGTGAGAGAAAACTATCGATTGGTTGCCACCCTGACCAGGGATCAAACCTGCAACCTTTTGGTGTACAGGACGATGCTCCAACCAACTCAGCCACCCAACCAGGGCAGGAAAAATATGATTTTGAAAACTTTAAATAAAGAGAAGAAAAATAGCCCTGGCCAGTTTGGCTCAGCTGTTAGAGCATCGACCTGCGGTCCCGAGAGACCGAGGTTCGATTTCCCGCTAAGGGCACGTACCTCGGTAGCAGTTTGTCCCCGGCCCTGGTTGGTCATGCAGGTGGCAGCCACACAATGTGTCCCTTTCATGTCGATATATTTTCTCTCTCTCTCTCTCTCTCTCTCTCTCTCTCTGTTCCTTTCTCTCCCTCCCACTCTACCTCAACAAAAAATGGAAAAATGTCCTCGGGTGAGGAAAAAAAAAGAAGAAAAATAATTAAGGGGCCTTTCTGTATCCACACAGCACACACAGAAATTTACATGTTTAACAAGTACCTAAAAGACACACTGATAGCCAAAACAAAAATATTAATGGCAGGATAAGGTTTGAGGTTGTTTTTCTAGTGGTCCCAAAATACACAAACAGCCCCCTCCTCTCTTACCAGGGATTTCTTCAGACGTTCATATTCAGGACGATACTCCCTGGAAGAGAAACACTTTCTAAATTTCTATGCTTAATAATCTATCCTGCCTGCCCCATATCATTTCTATTTTCCTAGGACTCTGACAATAAAAAATTTCACTGGAGCCCTGGCCAGTTTGGCTCAGCGGTTAGAGTGTCGGCCTGCGGTCCGGAGAGACCCGGGTTCAGTTCCCGCTAAAGGGCACGTACTTCGGTTGCAGTTTGTCCCCGGCCCTGGTTGGTCATGCGGGTGGCAGCCACTCGATGTGTCCGTTCACGTCGATGTTTCTCTCTCTCTCTCTCCCCCTTCCTCTCTCGCCCTCCCACTCTATCTGCACAAAAAATGGAAAAATATCCTCGGGTGAGGATAAAAAAAAAAAAAAAATTCACTGGATATCAGGCATAACAAGTGCTATTATCCCTTATCTACAAATGAGGAAAACTATTTCCTCATTTGTAGATAAGCTCACTCATTTATTAAGTAGAGGAAATAGAAATCCAAGTCATAACTGTCTGATTCCAAAGTCTATGTGGTTTTTTTTTAAGATTTTCATCTTTTTTTTTTTCCTTTTTATTAATTTTAGAGAGAGAGGAAGGGAGAGGGAGAAACATCAATGAGAGAACATCCACTGGCCACCTCCTGCATGCCCCCCACTGGGAATTTGGCCCACAACCTGGGCATGTGCCCTGACCAGGAACTGAACCAGTGACCTCTTGGTGCATGGGTCAACGCTCAGCCACTGAGCCACACTGGCTGGGCCAAAGTCTATGTTCTTAATCAGGGGTCAGCCAATGTGGCAAACAGGCCAAATCAAACACACTGCCTATTTTTGTAAATAAAGTTTTACTGGAACACAGCCACGCTTACTCATTTACAAATTGTCTATGATGCTTTTGTGCCACAATGACAGAGTTGAGCAGTTGTAACAGATCATATGGCCCACAAAGCCTACAATAATTATCTGGCTTTTTACAAAAAGTCTGATGACTCCTGCCCGCTCTTACTTATTAAATAGTGAAGATTTTTATACTCCTTTTTTAAAAAGTTAACTGGGACTTTTTACCCCCAAGTATGGTCAGATCCAGTACACATATGCATGCCAAATATACTATGTACACTATGAAAACCAAAAAGCTTTGCCTGGCAAAACCACTATCATATCAGAATTGTGGGTTACTAAGAATGTCACCAATAGGATTTTCCTTTGTTCTCACCTTTCATATTCTTCCACAGCATTAGTGACTTGCACGAAGAGTTCATCTAAGCCTGTACCCAGAACAGCAGACACACCTACCACCTGACAAAAGCAACATTAATACCACTAAGGAAATAAATCTGTATTTTTTAATGATGTACATTAATTTGTTCAGATCTCATAAAATCTTCATCAAAGAAGTTTACTTAAAAAAGTCTCTGATAAAGAATAAAGCTAAAACAAAACAGCATGCCTACTAAAAAATCATGGAAATAAGTGTATGGAAAATAAAGAACTGACAAAGGTAATTAGAGCTGAACAAGTAGCAGGACTTTTTATCTGTTCTCTATGGAATCAAACCACTGTCTGTTCTCTATGAAAATTAGTATCTCAGTGCCTTTGCTTGGGCAATTAATATATGCTCTGCTTTTGCTTATACAAATCTTATCTTCCTTCAAAGCATATCTCTAATGTTATATCCTTCACAATTTCTCATTTCATGTGATCTGCCCTCTTACCACCATCAGGCCCAACTTCCAGTCTTTCTTAAGGTACTTACCACAATATATCATATGTGTCAATTCTGTGTGTAGTTTCTAACTAGACCATAAACTCTATGAGGGTAGGGACTCTAATTTATCTCTTAAAACTTCAGCTTTTAATAAGGTAATGCTTTAAAATTTACTTTTCAGAAGGTAATAAACTTCCTTCCTAAGATGGGTTCAAAGCCAGCCCTATGGGTTAAGAGGTTACTTGGAAAGACTGTCAGTATGGACAGAAGAAAAAGTTTACCCTAAGTGAGCTGTAAAACTCATCTAACACCAAGCTCATTGAACGAGTCAGGTTACTGACGTATGTAGTCTCCTGATTCAAGGCATCTTGAAAAGTCTCAAAATCTTGCATCCATTCCACTGCAAAGCTGTGATCAATGATGTCAGTCTGTACCAGAGAGAAGCCAACTATGAGCAACCAGAGATGAGTTTAGACATCAAACAATGCATCCTCCCACAATTTTTTAATTAATTAAATGGTGATAGCAAAAAGCAATCATTTATGGATGAAGGTAGGTAGAAGAGGGTATCGGAAAGATAAATGGTGACGGAGGAAGACTTGATTTTGGGTGAACACACAATACAGTGTACAGATGGTGTATTATAGAATTGTACACCTGAAACCTATACGGTTTTATTATAACCATGTCACCCAATAAATTAAATAAAAATAAATAAATAAAGCAATTATTCATGTGCTTTCTTTCTCTGCTTCCCCCAGTTCCTCTTCCACTGCAACAAGCCACAAAGAACCAAGACTGCTGTACAGTGTAAACTGTTCTCTTGGATGAAGCAGACCCTTCACTATCCACTGCCAAGTGACTATGACCAAAGTGTATATCAGCACATTCCAGGCTCTGAAGTCAAGTAGTCTATCAAGCTACAAACCAATAGGGAAGTTTTGTCTTTATTTTAGTTGCCAATTCCAAAAGACTAGCAGTCCTATGCCAACCCCCTGCCCCTGGTCTTGATTCTGAAAGATAACCTACACCTTATGGGTGAGGGGCTGCTCTATGTAGGCTAAAATAACTTTGGGTAAGAGTCAGTGATAAATACTCAATCTGATGGAATCTTCTTCCTAGAAATACCCACGACTGTTTCATGAATCTACCTGTGAATCTGCTCTCCACCATCTGAAATAATTCTTCCTATCTATTCCAAATCTTCCAATAACACAATGTTCTCATGAAAAAGAAATATTGAATCACAACAGTAAGGATCCACTTACTTTGTTCATGACCACAATGAAAGGAAGCTTGGTTTTGTACAAGATGCTGAAAATCAAACATCAAGACATTATTATTTAAAAACTCTTCAGCTCTTATTTATCCAGTGTCAGTTTGTTGGAATTGAGTAAAGAGAAGGAGAGTAAGTTCAGTCTCTAAGTATAAGGTATCCATTCTTACAAGGTACATATCCTCCTCTCCCAAGGTGGAAAACCACCACCACCATCACTCAAATAACACACACATATAGTCTCTCTCTTCCTTTGAGTAATAATGCTTTGCTACCGATCCTGTTTTCTGTGTGTTTTTGTTTGGGTGTTTGTTTTTACCAAATGATTGTCTTTTAAACAACTAATATAAAAATGAGCAAATGCTGTCAGTCACTAGATTTCTAGTTGGACTAGGAATTCTTGTATCTAGTAAGAAAAGACATCCCTAGTCATATTAGAGGGATAAATGTTGGTGATGGCTTCTGTGTACCTCCAAAATCAAATTCTCTCACCTTCAATAATGATATACCCTGCTCCTAGGTCTAATGCACTGACATGTATATTGAGGCATGTCCTTCTTCTCCTAAGGGCACCACACTTGGGGCAAACCTGTGTATTTTAGAATTATGGATCAATCTTTTTATTCATAATCTCTCCTTATGTTATAATTTCACTGTACTTATAACACAGAAAAGGAACTCTATGAGCTAATACCACTAAATAAATGCCAATATCACTAAACTGAGTGGCAAATCTGAAATGGGCACAAATCTAGGGGTAAGCACTCAGGACTCAAAGAAGAGGAGGCCTCTTACCTTGATGTAATATCATGCCCACCAATAACCAATTACCTGCAGGCATAGAGCATATTGGACATGAAGGTCACTGGGTTGGTACTTCTTGATGTGTCCATTACATAAATGACAATTGTTGGAAACGAGGATGCCTAAAGATACAAAACAATCAAAGCCTTAGCCAAAGGGCTTATGATCTGTCCCCAAACATTTCCTACCTTCTTTAGCAAGGGAAACCACTTTAGGCAGGATGTATAGAGCTTCTATAACTCCCTTCCACATAGGTCCCAGGCAATAAAAATATGCTTATCCAGTCTAGTTCTAAGTAACAAGTCCTACAATACTCACCAGGGCCTCACTGATGATTGTTCCAGAAGCTGACCAGGTGAATACTTCAATCTGCCCAGGTGTGTCAATCAAGACATATCTGTGGTAAGAAAAGACCATTAAAGAGGTGTTATACTTGTGCAATGCTGAAAATATTCCATTACACAAAACACCAAACTTCTAGTTATCTAAGATTGGAATAACCTCTTCCCATTGCCAAGTCTACATTCCTCCCATTGCCTTTAAAATGCATATCACATTCCCCCAGGCTTTGTTCAATATTCAATATTCATGCTAATGGATAAGAGCAGCAGTCCATCGATTGCTGTAAATGATTACAGGGGACACTGTGCTAGTTATAGAAACACACTGCATTAAAAATTATATAAACAAAACCAGAAAGTAATAAATCTCTTGGGAAACTATCCGGTTGCTTAGGGGTGGGGTAGGTAAAGGTGGAGAGGGAGGAATGAAGGGACGGGAGTGATACCTAAAGAATACAGGGTTGCCCTGGCCAGTTTGGCTCAGCTGTTGGAATGTCGGCCTGCGGACCGGACAGTCCCAGGTTTGGTCCCCGCTGAGGACATGTGCCTCGGTTGCAGTTTGTCCCCGGTCCCAGAGGGGTTGTGTGGGTGGCAGCCACTCGATGTGTCTCTCTCAGGTGAGGATTAAAAAAAAAAAAAAGAATACAGGGTTTCTTCTTCAGGTGATGAAAATGATCTAAAACTGATTGTGGTGATGGTTGTACAATTCTGTGACGATACTAAAAATCACTCAGTTATACATATTAAATGGGTGAATTGCATGGAATGTGAATTACATCTCAATAAAAGTTTTTAAAAATGAGCAAATAATTTAAATAGACACTTCTCCAAATATATACCAATAGCCAATAAATACATGAAATGATGCTCAATATCATTAACCACTGAGGTAATACAAATCAAAACCAATATGCGATACCACCTTACATCCAATGAGATGGCTATAATCAAAAACAAAGGTATGACAAGTATTGGCAAGAACGTGGAAAAACTGGAACCTTCATGCACCACTGATAGAATGTTAAATGGTGCAGCCACCAGGAACTGGGAAAAAGAAAGAATAGGGAATGACTGCCAATGTGTACAGGGTTTCTTCTGGGATAATAAAAATGCTCTGAAATTAGATAGTACGGATCAATACACAATTTTATGAGTATATTTAAAAATCACTAAGTTATATAAATTAAAGGAGTGAACTTTATGGTGTGTGAATTTATATCTCACAAAAGATATTTTTAAAAACTACTTCTAGTATGTATGATCCTATTTTTATGAATACCTTATCCCTCCATCCTTCTGTGTACATATGTAGAGAAACGTGTGGAATGATAGTCACTAATAGTAATAACAATGATAGCCCTGGCCAGTGTGATTCAGTTGGCTGAGCGTCATCTTGTGCACCGAAAGGTCACTAGTTTGATTCCCGGTCACAGCACATGCCCAGGTTGTAGTATTCAGTCCCCAGGGTTGGAGTAGGTACAGGAGGCAACTATTCAATGTTTCTCTCTCACATAGATGTTTCTCTCTCTTCTTCTCTCTAAAATCAATAAAAAATACATTTAAAGTAATAATTATAATGATAGTTATTTCTAGTGAGTGATAATTGCATCTTTTAAATGTTATGTATGGTTTGAATTCTTTATAATGAGCATACATCCTTTTTTTTTTATAAAAACGATGATCTTTATTTTTTTTAAAAAGCCAACCTATTACCCTGGCCTGACTGGCTCAGCGGTTAGAGTGTCTGCCTGCCTGTGGACAAAAGAGTCTCAGGTTTGATCCTGGTCAAGGGCACAAACCTCAGTTGCGGTTTGGTCCCCGGCCCTGGTCAGGGTGTGCGAGAGGCAAACCAGTTGATGTGTCTCTCTCACATTGATGTTTCTCTCTCCCTCTCCCCTTCCCTCCCTCTCACTCTATCTGAAGATAAATGGAAAAAAATCCTCAGGTGAGGATTAAATAAATAAATAAAAATTAAAAAGCAAACCTATTAAAAACCTATTAATAGTTACCACAGGTAAAAATATGAACAAATATTATTCTACTTTATATTTTGATACTTTTAAAATGAAAATACAGCCCAGCCGGTGTGGCTCAGCAGTTGAGCGTGGACCCATGCACCAAGAGGTCACTAGTTCGATTCCTGGTCAGGGCACATGCCCAGGTTGTGGGCCCAATCTCCAGTGGGGGGCATGCAGGAGGCAGCCAATCGATTTTTTCTCTCATAGATGTTTCTCTCTCTCTCTCTCTCTCTCTTTCTCTCTCTCTCTAATATATCAATAAAGAAAATATTAAAAAAATAAATAAATAAAATGAAAATACAATTATTCTCTCTGGTTTATGTAAATTACATTCATTTGAACAAGGTGTTTCAGAGACTTTAATGCCAACAACTATGTTTTCCCAAGAAAAGCAGAAAGATAACTGAATTTGGACAAAGTTTCAAAACATCTCCTAAGAAGCCATGGGCATATACCAAAGTGGCTGGGGTGGGATACTATTAAATTTAGCTCTACACTGTATAGCATCTTAATGACTTTGTTGCCTACCATTTTTTCATTTCTAATGGTTTGATCTCAATCTAAACCCTTTCAAAACTTGATGCTATTCCAAAATCTTTCAAAAATAGCCTAGAAACATGTCAACTACAGAGTAATAAACAGGTCTAAACTGAAATCACTTACTTAGACATGTTCTGAGCCTTCTCAATAAATTTCATCACCTAAAAGAAAAAGATGCTAATTACAACAGGATCCAATTTCAGCATAAAAATCACAGGACCCTCGCCCTGGCCAGTTTGGCTCAGCAGTTAGAGCGTCGGCTCTGACCACAGAGTCCTGCATTTAGTTCCCGCTAAGGGCACGTACCTGGGTTGCAGTTTGTCCCTAGTCCCGGTTAGGGTCGTGTGGATGGCAACCAGTTGATGTGTCTCTCTCACGTCGCTGTTTCTCTCCTCCCTCCTTCCGCTCTATTTGAAGAAAAATGCAAAAATGTCCTCGGGTGAGGATAAAAAAATAAAATAAAATAAAATAAATCCTCCAGCAATGATGTAAAAAAAACAACAACACAGGACCCTCTCCAGGTGGCCCACTTCATAGGTACCAACTACTAAATATCTGTGTTCTCAATCATAGGACACCAACTAATAAACTCACTGAACCACAGAAACACAGCCATACCAGCAGCACTGCAACACCCTGGAGCACAGGGCAAGGGTCTGAGAAGCTGAAGACTTAACCTGTCACTGTCAAGTCACTTCTGATGCTTCAGCAAAATGTTAACAGCCTGTCTCATGAAGTGCCATCGGGGTAAAAAAATTGATTACAAAGCACTCTTACAACACTCTTATAGACGGTAACAGAAAAAACCTAAATGATGACAATTATTTGTTACAAGTTAAAAGCCCCACTGTTTTTCTGTTCCATGCTTGCTAGCCTATCTCACCCCCGTCCCTCTACTCCATCCTCAGGGTAACACTACAAGCCAATAATAGATCAAGAAACAAGCCCACGTCTCCTGGATTTCTGTTTTACTGGTTGTCCCAAATATTTAATGTGAAGAGTTCATAAAATTGATCATCCTCTCATAGCCTACTTCTCTATCTACCAAAATGCCTACTTATTTTCTGTATTTATATCTAGGTTTATTGCTCTTCTTTCCCAATGTTATCAAGCTCAGGCATTTAAGAGTAACAGGTTTTGTCCAGCCAGTGTGGCTCAGGGATTGAGCGTCGACCCAAGCACCAAGAGGTTACCAGTTCGATTCCTGGTCAGGACACATGCCCAGGTTGTGGGCCCAGTCCCCAGTGGTGGGCATCCAGGAGGCAGCCGACCAATGTTCTCTCTCATTGATGTTTCTATCTCTTTCTCCCTCTCATTTCCTCTCTCTCTAAAATCAATAAAGGAAAAAAAAAAATAGTAACAGGTTTTTACATAGCCATACCCATAGAAATAAAAACAGACATACCTGATCGAATCTGGTAGCAAAGAGATTGAGTGAGGTCACTATGCCACCATTGGGTCCAAGTCCATATCTAGACACTAAGTTGAGGATTTAAATTGCTTATAGATGAATTCAGATGATAAAGTTCATACCTAGGACATCATTCACATAAACAACATTTTAACATTAGTGGTCTATTAATGGATACTGATAAGCTAATCCTTGACTAATAAGTACCACAAAGCCTTAACTTCATAGGAAACATTCACCATCAAGAGCTTCTTCATTTGTTTATTGTTTTAGGGATGGCCGGGCAAAATGAATAAACTCAAGGGACCAAATCATAATAGCCAGATGTATCAGGCATGACAACCTGCTGGCATTAGCTATTAATATCATCTATATAACAAACACCCCTTGCTCTGATCTCGCTAATCAAGCAATCTGCTTATTATAACTAGTCTTCCTACCTACACTTAACCTAGCGAGAAAGTACACATTTCACTCAGCAATGTACTAAGAGGTGATCCTACTCAACCTACTCATTTCAGGGTTTCTCAGTCTGAGGAGGGGGTGACCAATGGATGTAGCTTCCAAGGCAATATTACTTTCTGGGACCCAGTCACGCTACAAGCTAGCCTCTCATTATCTATGCTCTCTAATTACAACAGCCTATAGTCTGGAAAGTTAGTAAGAAAACTGAAATACGAGACTTCTGGTCAAGATGGCGTAGGTAAATGGTACTACGTCCTCCCACAACCACATCAAAGTTACAACTAACTACAGAACAACCATCATTCAAAACCGCCTGAAATCAAGCTGAATGGAAGTCCTACAACCATGAAATTAAAGCAGCAACATCGAGACTGGTAGGAGGGGTGGAGGCAGACGGGCTGGTCCCACACCCACGAGTGGCGGATAAAAATCTGTAGGATACCTCGGCTGGGAAGGTCCTCCCTGAGGACTGAGGGGTCCCCATCCCACACCAGGCACCCAGCTCAGGGGTCCAGTGCCAGGAAGAGAAGTCCCCATAACTTCTGGCTGGAAAACCAGCGGGAACTGAGGCTCAGGGAGGCTGAGGCAGCTGGAGCCCCAGGCAGCTCCTCTTAAAGGGCCCAAGCAAGGATTTACTCGGATTCGCACCCTCCAGGCTCCAGAGTGGGGGAGGCAGCTTGAAAGGCATCAGACATATATGGGGAAGAACTGGCTTGTTTGGCATTGGAGCAAGGGCTGGAGAGGCTGCTTTCTCCTGGAAAACGTGCTGTTAGAGGCCTTTGTTCCTTTGGTGAGCCCTTCCCTGGGGCGGCAGACGGCCACCATATCTGGGACTCCAGCAACTTGGCTCACACTGTTTGCCCCTCCCTAGTGATTCCCTGAGGCCCTGCTCCATCCACTTTAAGGCCCACCCAAGCTGTTGCCAGCTGCTTTACCACAGGATTGGCCTGTCTTGGATCCTGCATCAGGTTTTCCTAAATTCTTTCAAACAAGCAGCATCTGGTCTCAGCTAGCCCCATACCTCCCATTAAGTAACACATAGAGGAAGGCACAGAGAGGCGGCCAGAATGAGGAGACAAAGAAACAGGTCCCAGGTGAAAGAACAGAACAAAACTCCAGGAAAAGAATTAAGCTAAATGGAGATAAGCAACCTAACAGATGCTGAATTCAAAACACTTCTTATAAGGATGCTCAATGAACTTAGTGAGAACCTCAGTGAACTTAGTGAGGGCCTCAAGAGCATAAAAAAGGACCAGTAAGAAATGAGGGATGCACAGTCAGAAATGAAGGAGGCACTAACTGAAATAAAGAATAATTTACACAGATTCAATAGTAGAGTAGGTAAAGCCAAGAAGCAAACCATCGATTTGGAATATAAGGAAGCAAAAAATAAACAGCAAAAAGAAAAAAGAATCCCAAAAAATGAGGACAGTGTAAGGAGCCTTTGGGACAACTTCAAGTGTGCCAACATTCACATCTTGGGGGTGCCAAAAGGAGAAGAGAGAAAACAAAAAATCGAAAACCTATTTGAAACAATAATGGCAGAAAACTTCCCTAACTTGTTGAAGGAAACAGACATACAAGTCCAGGAAGTACAGAGAGTCCCAAACAAGACGAACCCCAATAGGCCCACACCAAGACACATCATCATCAAAATGCAAAAGGTTCAAGACAAAGAGAGAATCTTAAAAGCAGCAAGAGAAAGGCAGCTAGTTACCTACAAGGGAGTTCCCATAAGGCTGTCAGCTGATTTCTCAAAAGAAACTTTGCAGGCCAGAAGGGAGTGGCAAGAAATATTCAGAGTGATGAAAAGCAAGAACCTACAACCAAGATTACTCTATCCTGCAAAGCTGTCATTTAGAATCGATGGCCATATAAAGACTTTCCCAGACAAGAAAAAGTTAAAGGAGTTCACCACCAAACCGTTAGTGTATGAAATGATGAAGGGTCTTTTTGAAGAAAAAGATAAAATATATGAACAAACAAAATGGCAATGAATACTTATCTATCGACAATGGAACCTACAAACAAAATGAACAGGCAGAACAGAAACACTCTCATAGATACAGAGAACATTTTGTTGGTTGCCAGATGGGGAGGATTGAGGGATGGGTGAAAAAGGTAAAGGGATTATGAAGTACAAACTGGTAGTTAGACTGACAAACCTCAAAGGGAAGGGGGTTGGGAGGTGGGAAGAAATAAATCAAAGAACCTATATGTATATATGCATAACCAACAGACACAAACAACAGTGTGGGGAGGAGAGGGTCAATGGGGGAAAAATCAGGAACACCTGTAAAACATTCAACAATAAAGATAAGTTAAAAAAAATAAAAATAAAAAACTGAAATAGCAAGCTCAAGGAATAGGTCTAATCAGCTACAATACCTTTTCCCACATTCATCTTTTATTCTCCTAATAAAATGACTTTAAAGCAATCAAATGCTCTTGTTAGTATATTTCACAAGGAAATGCAAAAACACTCTTTCAAAGCCACAAAATAAACAGAGGGTTAACTAGCCAGAGATGAGTCAACACCAAAGAGGATGTAAAAAAAGGATACTGTTTCATGACTTCTTTATACTTCACAGTGTCACGAATATCTAGGGGAAGAAGGAGAAGAATTAATAAGAATTTAACACATAAAAAAAATATATAGCTTGAGGCTCTCCACCAATAATATCCTAAGCCAATAGGTGTCTCAAGTCATCTCTGCTTCGTCTAAGATAAAGAAATAAGTCTCTCCCCTGGAAAATTTACTTTTCAAATTTGTTTTCTAAATTTTGAAGCTAAGATCACTAAACTGTGATAGAAAAAGAAGTAAGTCTGTGCCCTGGCCAGTTTGGCTCTGCAGTTAGACCCAGGTGGGTAGCAGGTTCAATCCAGGCCCTGGTTGGGATCCTGCAGGAGGCAATCAATCAATGTGTCTCTCTCATGTTGATGTATCTCTCTCTCTTTCTCCTTTCTTCTCTCTCTAAAATCAATAAAGAATAAAAAAAAATTTTTAATCAGTGGTAAAATATTCTCGGGTGAGGATTAACAAAAAAAAAGGATTTAAGAAGTAAGATTGTGAGCCATCAACAAATCATCAAACAACAAGTGTTGGTGACGGTGTGGAGAAAAGGGGACTCTAGTACACTGCTGGTGGAAATGCAGACTGGTGCAGCCACTGTGGAAAACACTATGGTGTTACCTCAAAAAGTTAAAAATTGGCCCTGGCCGGTTTGGCTCAGCAGTTAGAGCATCAGCCTGCGGTCTGGAGAGACCCAGGTTCGGTTTCCGCTAAGGGCATGTACCTCAGTTGCAGTTTGTCCCCAGCCCTGGTTGGGTTGTGTGGGTGGCAACCACTCAATGTGTCCCTTTCACGTCGATGTTTCTCTCTCTCTCTGCACTCCACCCCCCCACACTCTATCTGAACAAAATATCAAAAAATGTTCTTGGGTGAGGCTAAAAAAATAATAATAAATTAAATAAATAAATAAAATTTGTAAAAAAAAAAAAGGTTAAAAATTAAACTGACATTTGACCCAGTGATCCCACTTCTAGGACTATACCCTAAGAAGCCTGAAACACCAATCAGAAAGAATATATGTACCCCTATGTTCATAGTGGCACTATTTACAATAGCTAAGATCTGGAAACAACCCAAGTAGATGAGTGGATTAAAAAGCTGTGGTACATGTACACAACGGAATACTGTGCAGCTGTAAGAAAGAAAGATCTCTTATCCTTTGAGATGCCATGGAAGGACCTGAAGAGTATTATGCTAAGCATAACAAGCCAAGCAGAGAAAGACAAATATCACATGTTCTCACTTATTTGTGGAATATAATAAACTAAACAAACTGCTGAACAAAATTAGCCCGGAGACATAGAGGTGGGGTACAGGCTGACAAGCCTCAGAGGAGGGGGGGTTTGTGGGGGAAGGGATAAACCACAGAACTTATATGCATGTATGCATGACCAATGAACATAGACAACAAAGCTGGGGATTGGGTGGGGGGGAAGGGAAGGAGGGTGTCTGGGGGAAAAATGAGAAACATCTGTAACAAAAACAAATTAATAAATAAAAAATTTTTTAAAAAAAGAAGTAAGATTGTGAGAAAAATGTTAAAAGGGAAAAAGGTGTTCTGTATTTTCTCTACCAGTAAGAAACTGAAACTAGCCATTTAGCAGTCTGTTAGCATTCTCTTCTACTAATTTCCTTAGCTTCAAATTGGTTTCTGTCCTTACAAAGGATAACTGTTAAGTAATCTATGAAGAATGTTAGGCTAGAATCTCTCAAATTATGGTAGAAGTGGTCTGATACAAGGAGACAACTTACATACCTTGTCAGTAACCATATGCATTAAAAAAAGGAGCTAAATCAAGAAAGAAAAGTTATTTCTTAATTGTCTACTGATTACAATGGTAATACAGACAATGATTTTTTAAAGGAATTAATCTGACCTGTAATATCTACCTAAATCTATCTACCAGTCAATAGTCATCAACTATTAAAATTCCATTCTTTCAGTGTGGAGATGGGTAAATTCTTCACCAAACTCTTCTCAAAACAATCTCTGCTTCTTGATACAAAGCCTTCCTTTATTAGCTTGTTTGTATCTTATTAGCATCTGAACAAAATTAAGAAAAGATTAAGGAGAGGATCAGAACACAGTGACAGCCTAGATCAGGAAGCCTAGATCCTATCAAGATTCATGACATTAGACCCATTCTTATCTTTTTATAGTCACAGATTCCTCCTATGATAACTGGGAACCTTTCCCCAAAACAATGCACATATGCATACATATACACATTTTCCCATGTACCTTTTAAGTGGAAGCAAGGTTCCTACAAATCATTAAGTGAACTACCACATAAGAACCATTACACTCTAAACTTTGAGAAAAGAAACTAAATAAAAAGGTGTAAATACCAGAGCCATAAGCCTAGAAGTGAGAGGACTTTCTGTCACTTCATTTTCCCAAACAACAGCCTGACACCCTTGGGTCAGAAAGGAGAAATAACACTGAGTGGAAAGGAAACAAACTTAGGAAAGGGAAAAAAATAAAGAGAAAATGTGAACAAGGCAGAAGCCTATTTAGGGAGTCAAGCAAATTCAAAGGAAATGAAAGTAGATAGTTTAGAAAAAATGAAAGTATTGAAAACTGGCAGGCTGGAGGCTTTCCATTCCGAGGCACTTTACACAGAACAGTACAGTTTACTCACCAATATTGGCAGGAAAGGGAACTTCATGCACAGCTGGGTCCAGATTGATCACATAAGGTGGAGAGCCTTGGCTATGCAGGTGGCCTGTGAGCCTCTGTAGAAATATGGGGTGCGGAATGGAGACAAAGAGGGCATGAGAAGAGGACAAAGAACATTTCTCTCTCTATGAAATATTCGCCTCCAATTCTCCATTTCTCAGATGAATGCAACCTTTCTTTATTACCCAGTTTAACAGAGCCTCCATTACTTTCCATCTCTTATTTACTTGCGTTGGGTGGAGTTTTTTCTACCACCTCCAATAAACCAGTAGTTCCATGAAAACAGGAACCTTGTCAACCTCATTTTCACTGTATCCCCAGTGCCTGTGTTTGAGTCAAACTGATGACAATTACCAGGCAGCAAGATCTCAAATGCTCCAGAGAATAACAGTTTTGCAGTTTCTTTTATTTATGCATTTGGAATTAAGGAGGTAACATAAGGAAGATCACAGGAAGTGGGAGAAAGGCAGGGATTGGATAGTTAGTAAGATTACATGCTCTCTAGAAAGAGAGATTTCAAAAGTGTGTTAACTTAGATGCACACACACAAAAATGAACAGGTCTTGCTTAGAGCAAATATAAACCTTTTACTAAAGATGTTATATGCCTGGGGTGTGAATACCCACCAAGACCTGCCCAGTTAAGAACTTATGATCCATATGATCTCACTCTTATGTGGAATCTAATGAACAAAATAAACTAGCAAACAAAACTGAAACAGACTCATAGAGAACAGACTGACAACTGTCAGAGGAGTGGGGGTTGCAGGGCTGGGTGACAAAGGTGAAGAGATTAAGCGAAAAACAAAAACAAAACAAAACTCATAGACACAGACAACTGCATGGTGATTACCAGAGGGGAAGGAGGTGGGGGGAGGTAGAGGAGTGTAAAAGGGGGATAAATGATGATGGAAGGAGACTTGACTTGAGGTGATGAACACACAATACAATATACAGATGATGTATTGTAGAACTGTACACCTCAAACCTGTATAGTTTTATTAACCAATGTCAGCCCAATAAATTCTATTTTTTAAAAAGAATTTATGATCTAATCACCATGTAAAGTTACTTTTGGTTAGACTTATTACAGCACCCTTTTTTTGTCCACACCTGAAATGCGGTAGGCGCACAAGAAATACGTAATTCTTTAGCAATCTACATCAAAAGCCTTTGTGGTACCGCACTGTATTAATCACCAGTCACTTGTAAGCCTCTACCTTAAAGAAGTCAGCAATTAGTAAAGAAATCAGGATAATTTCAGTACAACGTGGTAAGATGTACCAAGTATGCACTGAAGGTACACAAAAGGGAGCCTTAATTAACCCAGGCTAGGGTACAAGAAGGTTTCGCCGAGTAAGGAACCGGGGTTGCTGGCAAGTCCCCGAAAGCCACGCGCCGGCCCCCTCACTCCTCAGAAAGACCTTCCCCACTTTTTCCTGGTCTTCCACAACCTCTCGCGCACACCTACTGCGCCCGCGCCACGTACATCACCTGTACAAACGTGGTTTTCCCAGATCCCGCCATTCCCAACACCAACAGACACACCGGGGGCCGAAGACCCCCGGAAGCCTGGGGCTCAGCGGCAGCTGTGGGCGCCGCCATCTTCCTCCTTGGTCCCGCCCACTCTACCACAGAGACGACGCGTGGGTAGAGAGACTTCCGCGACGGAGGGGCTGTGAGAGAGGCCGGAATTGGCTCGTATCCGCTCAGAAAGGGAAGAGCGAAGGGATGCCAGAGCGTCTTCCTTTCCCCACCTGGCTTGGGAGCCAACTGGGGACTCGGCCCGGGAAGTGGAGGCGCTGGGAGGGCTGCTGGGAGCCTTGAAAAAAAGAAGCTCACCGTCGCTGCATTGGGCCCGGGACTGGCAAAGATCTGATACCCAGGAGAACCAGACGAGATGAGATCCCGATGGCAAGGCTCCCGCGATACGAGAAAGAGAGTGTGTTTCACTTTCAGTCCCCAAAGGAGCGGGGACCACTGCCGCCGGAGAACCGACCGCTAGGGCTTAACATTAAGGTCGAAGGGTTAAGCCGCTCAGGGCTGGACTGGCCAGGACTGGAGGGGGGTGCTGGGCATTGCAAAGACCCGTTGAGCCCAGAGCTGAGAAATTGCGAAAACATGCGGCACGGGGGACGCTGTCTCTGCTTGTCGCCGCCCTTGACATTAGCTCCTTGTCAGTCACTGCCACTCTCAGTGAACACTACTCCAAGACCTGGGGAATGAACGGTAGGATTCCGGGAGCAAGTAGGTACTGAAGGGGCGTTTCCCTCCACGGAAGCGCCCTCGGAACCGAAAAGGTGGTGAAAGAGCTGAGAAATTTATTCCTGCACCGAGTCTGTTCTTGTGGCCCTTGGTAACTGTTCACTAAGTCATAGAGCTGGGTTTCACACCGACCCAGGCCCTGCCACTTGCTAGCAGTGTAAATGGTGGCCAAGTCGCTTAAATTACCTGAGTATGTCTTTTTCTTTTTTTCTTTCCTTTGTTGATTTTAGAGAGAGAAAGGAAGGGAGAGGGAGAGAGAGAAACATCGATGAGAGAACATCCATTGGCCGCCTCCTGCATGCACCCCACTGGGGATCAGGCCCACAACCTGTGCATGTGCCCTGAACCGGGGATCCCACAGCGACCTCTTGGTGCATGGGTCGATCGATGCTCAACCGCTGAGCCACACCAGCCGGACCATTTATTATCTCAGTTTTAAAGAGAAGACAGAGTCAGCTGGGCTGAAATGCTTAGAAATATTTTCTTATGTGAATTAAAGTACAATTGTGCATTTTTTTATTTCCTAAATTTTCATTAAGAACTGATGGGGGAATATTTCATTTGGTTTTCCTTCAGGTTTACTGAGGACTCCAGTAGTACCCCCTATGTGGTATCTTAGCTTAATAAGTAATCTTTTGAAGCCAGGGAAGCCAAAACAGGCAGCAATAGGGGCTTTTAAAAAGACACTGGAGGTGTCTGGGAAACTTGGCAGCAGCAGGCAGTGAGGGTACTGGCGATTATGAGATCTCTGACGCTGCTCAGAACGCCCTTCCTGTAGAGCCTGCTCTGGGCCTTCTGGGCCTTCTGGGCCTCAGGTACCAGGGTTAAGGAGCACCGGGCTGGCTCTTCCTACCTAGCAGCATGGGTCTGGATAAGCACACAGTAGATGACCAAGAGCATATCATGGAACATCTAGAAGGTGTCATCAATAAACCAGAGGCAGAGATGTCCCCACAAGAACTGCAGCTCCATTATTTCAAAATGCATGATTATGACAGCAATAATTTGCTTAACGGTCTAGAACTCTCCACAGCCATCACGCATGTCCATAAGGAGGGAGGGAATGAACAGGCACCACCAATGAGCAAAGAGAAACTGATTAACTTAATAGAAGGTGTTTTAAGAGACGATGACAAGAACAATGATGGAGATACACTGACTATGCTGAATTTGCAAAATCACTACAGTGGACATTATTTGACCATCTCCTAGTTTTTATGCAAATATGACCCATTATAATGTGATTAAACATCTTCCATAATGCAGAATAATTCATTTCCAACTACTGCTGAAGTATTTTAATAAAAACCTGTAGCAGGCGTTACACTGGTGTGAGAAAGAGAAGTGAAGAGAAATAAAAAGCGAAATGGGACATGTTGTAGTCCCCAAGCACTGTTAAATCTGTTGGACAAAGGCTACAGTGAACATGTATGACTTAAAAAGATTAAAGAATCTTTTAGGAATATTGGATAACTGGAGCTGAGTACTTAGGAACATGTAATAGAATACCACTAGTCTCTTGGTTTTAATTCATGCTACCTGAAAAGTAAGACAAGCTTTGCTAGGTGGACACACTTTTCAGTAGCAGTGAAGGAATGGAATCAGTGCCAAATTTCCCCCCTTGTGGGTCCTGTCTCTTCAGGTAAACGTGGTCAGTATTCTGTCAAGTTCCCTGGTTTAAATGATTACTTGCTTTGGGCAAATAAGTATTGATTAAGCTATTTCCAAGCCACAGCATAATACGAATGCCAGGTATTGAGTTCAGCTAGCCAGAGTCTGTATCTTCTGGCACTTTGGATATGATACACCACTGACCTAAGTGATTAACCTTTTTCAGCTTTTCAGTATTCTATAAAACTATGCCATTTCTTTATATTTTATTTCTTTTATGTCTTCTTCAACCTGGGAGAGACCTTGAATATAAAAGTATTCTCTAATCAGTAGCACATTTTAACTTTCTTCATATATGTATTTAACTCTTGTTTCTAGGGCTTCATTTTTGTAGTTTAGAAACACAGGAATGCAAGAATTTATCCCTTCTGCTTGATACAGCAGGGGTAAAACTACTAGCTGCTGCAGCCTAAGTGAAAAGGTCCTTCACCAAGCACAGTGATTAACCTGATACAAGTTGTTTTTAGAAGGAGCGTTTTTAGAAATGACCTCTTCTAGCCTAAATATGTGAATTCTTCAGATCAGGAAAGATTAGAAAAAAGAAGCCTAAAAACTTTTAACAGTGTGAGTCTCGATAGTTGAAGGTGAGAAACAGCAGCAAACTATAATTTGGTTCATTGGATGTGATGGACATACTGTGATAGAGAATCATGAAATGATCAAATGGGGGGAAAACTGCATAAAATTTGCTGTAAGATGTATAGAGACTTATTTTCTAAAGTACTCTTATAAGAAAAGATGTATTTGTAAAAATGGTTTCCTGTGTCATGTATCTGTGCAATCAGAGTTGAATTTTAAACTATTCTTGTAAAATCTAGTTATTTTGAAAGATTTATATAATGAATTCTGGCTATCTGACCAATAAAACCTAATGAAACAAAAAAATAAAAAGACAGTGGAAATGATAAAGCTGAACAAGCAAATTAAAGCTCAAATCCAGCAAAACCACTAATGCAGGAAATCAGGCAGTTAGTCAGTGAAAAGTTACATGTCCAGGCTGAAAATAAATTCTTGATGGAATACCTGACCAACAAAACCAAGGAATACAGAAGGCAACTTGAGGAGTTGTGAAACAACTACATACAAGAAAGTGGATAGATTGAATGAAGGAGACAAGAATTAGCCTCCAAATACACAAAACAAACTTAAGAGCTTAAAACAACTCTTGCAGAAAGAACAGATCTAATCCAATATGAACCAGCAGTTGCAGGCAATGAGGGATATATCACTATTAAAGGAAAAACGAGAGATAAATTTAGACATTACAAGGAGAAAAAGAAAACCCAAGAGGAGACAGCTGCAAAGCCACAGGAAATCCAAGCCCAGTTCCTTCAGGCAAGAACATTACTGGAAAGACAACTGAGTGAGCCAGACATTAGGCTGTTGGGAAAGAAAAACAAAGGAGCTTAAAAGGAAGGCCCAGACCTTGGAAGTGGTTGCAGAGAAACATAGTTCTGAGTTCTACCAAGGCATCTGCAGAGAACCAACTATTACAGAAAGAATAATTATCAATCTCAGTAATGCCAGGAGTTGCAGACTGCTCAAAGCCTGTTAAATATCAGAAGCTGGCCCTGACCGGCTTGGCTCAGCGGTTAGAGCATCAGCCTGCGATCCAGAGAGACCCGGGTTCAGTTCCCACTAAGGGCGCGTACCTTGGTTGCAGTTTGTCCCTGGCCCTGGTTGGTGGGGCGGGTGGCAGCCACTCGATGTGTCCCTGGCACATCGATGTTTCTCTCTTCTCTCTTCCTCCCATTCTATCTGAACAAAAAATGGAAAAATGTCCTCGGGTGAGGATAAAAAAAAAAAAAAAAATCAGAAGCTGGTTTTGCTCAGCGGTTAGAGCATCAGCCTGCCGTCCACAGAAATCCAGGTTCAGTTCCCGCTAAGGGCATGTACCTTGGCTGCAGTTTGTCCCCAGCCCTGGTTGGGTCATGTGGGTGGCAGCCACTCGATGGTCCCTTTCACGTCAATGTTTCTCTCTCTCCCTCCCACTCTATCTGAATAAAAAATGGAAAAATGTCCTTGGGTGAGGATAAAAAAAAATCAGAAGCTGCAGCTGCAGCAGGAACAGTGGTATAAGGAAAAGTGGTATATGGAGTGCTTAATCCGAGGAAGGCAATGACTACAACAGGGTGCCACAAGAACCCCTTCCCTAGGTGCCAAATCAGGGTTAATCCACAGTAATTACTAATATATCACTAATTAAAGAAGGACTGGAGCAAGTATTGTTAGGTGCTGCATAAACCTGGTTAGGAAGGCTTTCTGGTCTCATTGCTATGGTAAAATATCCATCAAGATGTATTGGTGTGGGAAAAAAAAGATGTCTTAGTGTGAAGGATTACATGCTTTTTCCAGCCATACTGCTAGATATTTGTGTGAACCAGCTTCCCTTAATTAGATTTTTCTTTAATTAGCTCTCGTCAATAAACAGGATCTTCCTCAAACTCCGGATAACCTAGCACCATCTGCCAGAAACTCATACATGAAACCAGGTCAAGAAAAGCACCTTGAGGAAGTGAAAGGAAAACAGCTGCATGATTTATTTCATCTAGCCGAGTCAAATTTCTTTAGAAAAAGCCTCTTTAAGGATATTATCTCAGATTGACTTCGAGAGCTTTCTACTCAGTAAACAACCAATACTAGTTTAACTTCATTCCTTTGGCTAACTCAGAACACAGAGACAAAGTGCTCTTAAGAGTCTTAAAAATAGTGCCAGTGACCAGTAGTTACTTCTATAGTTTTCTCATGAGTGAAAAAGCACTCTAGTTAAACAGCAAGATCAATAAACATTTGGCAGAATGACCTATCGTCTGATGCAGTCCTTACCATTTTAGCTGTGAGTAGAACAACAAGGGAAGAGAAGATAAAGAAAACGTGTATTACGTCAACTTTACTTTTGAAAATGTTTTCTGTGCCCTGGCCGGTTTGGCTCAGTGGAAGAGCATGGCCCAGACCAATGAGTCCCAGGTTTGAACCCAGCCAAGAGCACATGCTTCGGATGCGGTTCGTCCCCAACCCTTGGCAGAGTCGTGGGGGAGGCAACCAGTAGATGTTTCTCTCTCTACCTGAAGATAAATATAGAAAAATATCCTCAGGTGAAGATAAAAAAAGAGCCTGGCCAGTTTAGCTCAGCCGTTAGAGCGTTGGCCCATGGACCAGAGAGTCTCCGGTTCGGTTCCCACTAAGGGTACATACCTTGGTTGCAGTTTGTACCTGCCCCGATTGGGGTTGTGTGGGTGGCAACCAATCTCTCACATCAATGTTTCTCTCTCTCTCTTCCCCACCCCCCTCTCTCTCCCACTCTATCTGAAGATAAATGCAAAAAGTGTCCTCAGGTGAGGACAAAAAAAAGAAAATGTTTTCAGTGAAGAAATACCTCAATAATTAATGAGTTGGCTGAATGCCTCTGTTTTAGGAAAATATATCAAAAGAAAGTTTTTAAATATTTGGATGACTTTCTAGAGTCTTATGCCATCTATTTTCCTAGCAACATCCTAAATTCTAAGATGATAAATAAAATTACTTAATGTTAAATATAACAAGTACTTTAGTTTTAGGTCACCTATTACATTTTCTTACTATATATGCAGTTAATAATACATGAAATGCCTTTTGTAATTAGGATGTGCCATATATTTAAACCTATTTAATAGAACTGGGAATAGTATTTTAAATTAGTATAGATATTTAGGGTAGTTACTTACTTTTTGCACTTATATTGATGGTTAGATCAGTGAATTATTTGAATGCTGAATCCTAGTACAGGACTATAACCCCATAACATCACTCCTCCATGGGAAAATCAACTTTGTTTTCCAGAAATTGTCAATAATGAAAAACTTCAAAATAATTTTCTTGAATTTAGTTTTATTCATATGTAAAATGAATTCCTCTAAATTGGATTAAAAGGGGCTCTCAATGTACCTTTAACTTCTAGCTTTAACAATTTTTCTGTTAAATATGTAGTTTCTTTATTAAACAAGTTTTTGTTGTTAAAAAATAAAGCCTACTTGGATTATAATTTACCCACTGATTTTATTATTGTTCAAATGTATTTTCTACTTCATCATTTTTCTCTCATTACTTCTGCATGTCTTATTCATACGAGTATATGTGCAAATAATAAAACAGCTATTTTAATGCAGAAAACAGGACTTTAGAAAACATGCAGGTACCTCAACCTGAATAATTCAATTCATGAGCTGAAAAGAAACTTGAAAAACATGGTATCCATGATAAATTTGAAGCCCTATTCTCTCTGCATGCAAAAACCCTAGGAAAATATATACCTAAAGCTGATGAGATCTTAGAATCTTACTCTTCTGCTATTAATTCTCCTCTTGCCATTGCTGACCCAATTATCTAATTCAGGAGTGGATAAATTCCATTTTACCTGTTTAGTTTTAATTCCTATCAGATAATGGACCTGGTGTACTGCTTATGGCTGTCCCTTTCAGAGTGAGGCCTCTGAGAGCTTGAAGACTTTAACAGATGAATCATCTGATAAAGGTACCTGAAATCAATACCTGCAAGTGAGCAGCAGCAAGTTGGTCAACTAGATCTCAATCTACTTTTTGTCTGCTTTTAGCAGATGAATGAGGTCTGATTTACAATTTTAAGAATTCACTACAACCTGTTATGTGGAATGTATCCAAGCCAGTAAAAAAGCAGAAGGAAACCAATTAGGAAGCTACTGTAGTCTAGGCAAGAGGTGATGATGGCTCCAACTGGGATGGTAGAAATAGAAGTAAACACAGAGGGGAGAGTAGAATATATAGGATGAAGGGAAGATAAAAAGTTAAGATGAAGCAGAAGAAAAATTTCCAAAGTGCTCCCTTTGAAGAAAGAGGTGAGCAAAGAATATATTTTGTGGTAACTGATTTTTAAAATGAAATATTTTAGACATACAAAAAATATAAAACTATAACAAACTCACTATCCACCCTAAGAAATAGGAACTTCCAAATTCACCTATAGTCCTCTAGGTCCCAGCACTATTCTAAATTTATCATTCCTGTGCATTTTTCATACTATGTTTATGTATATATTAAAATATAAACATAACTATATATACATACTATATATTTATATACATTTATATTTATATATATCCATAAATGGTCTAAAACCTTTTTTGCATGCTTTTAAAATTTATATAAATGGTACATTTGATGTACACTGTAATAACTTGCTTTCCCCGAACATTATTTCTGAGATTAAATTTATATAAATGGTACATTTGATGTACACTGTAATAACTTGCTTTCCCCGAACATTATTTCTGAGATGTATTCATGATGGAAAAGAAGCCCTAATTAGTTTCATTGCTGTACAGTATTGTATTGTATGACTATGTCACAATTCATCCTTTCTTCTGATGATGGACAATTAGGTTACATATTAGAGTAGGCTAACAAAGAGACTCAAGAATGTTTAAGTCTCAATAAGACATTTATTTCTTGCTTATATAATAGTCTGATAGATGTTCCTGGTTGGTAAGTAGTCCTTCATGGGGTGGCTGAGGGCGTCAACTATCCTCAATTTTGTGCTCTACACTCTCCCAGAGCCCCATGATTATCTGCACATAACCCAAGGAAGGGGAAAGCATGGAGGGTACACTCACTTCAAAGTTCTAGCCTGGAAGTGACACACATCACTTCCACTCACATTCCACTGGAGAGAAGTTGGTTGGCTACCCTTTCCCTACAGGGGAAGGGGCATCAAGGTGTGGGAAATGTAGTCTAGCCGTTTGTTCTATAATCCCATAAATTTGCAAGTTGAGAGCAGATTTTGGTGGAAAGCTAGCAGTTTCCACTACATGTTTCCAGTATCTATTATGACCTGTATTGCAGTAATCATTCTTGTATGTCTCCTGGGACACCTGAGCAAGGGGAGTTCCTCTGTGTATACCTAGGAGTGAAACTGCTGAGAGTTAGGGCATATATTTAAATTTGTTAGTTACTGCCAAATTGTTTTCAAAGTGTTTGTACTAGTTCACATTCCAAACCATGCATGAGAGTTCACTGCTCCAAAACCTAGCCATATCTGATATTGTCAAACTTCAGTTTATGTTATTATAATAAATTTTTAAAATAAAACTTAAAAACTCAAATAGTATGATCAGGATAGTCTATACTGAGTCCTGCTGATCTCTGGCCTCAAGAAGGAAAAAAAATGGTGCCCTGGTTGAGAAAAAAAAGTGAGCCGCAGTTGGTTGAGCCTCATACAGTGCACCAAAGAGTTGCAGGTTCTATTCCCAGTCAGGGCACATACCCAGGTTGTGGGTTTGATCTTGGTCAGGGCATGTACAGGAGACAACCGATCAATGTTTCTCTCTCTCTTTCCACCTCTCCCTTCCTCTCTCTAAAATTAATCTTTTTTTATATTTATTTATTCTTTTATCCTCATCCAAGGGCATTTTTCCAATTTTTATTCAGATACAGTGGGAGGGAGAGAGAGGAAGCGAGAGAGAGAAACATCGACGTGAAAGGGAGACATTGAGGGACTGCCTCCCACACGACCCAACCGACCCAACCAGGACCGGGGACAAACTGCAACCGAGGTACGTGCCCTTAACGGGAACAGAACCCGGGACTCTCTGGACCGCAGGCCAACGCTCTAACCGCTGAGCCAAACCAGCCAGGGCTAAAATGAATCTTTTTTAAAAAAGAAGAAAAAAGAAGTGTCTATAAGGGCCCTGTATGAGACTAGGCAAGTTTCCTATACTTAATTCACTTTAATCTCAAATTACTCATTTTAGCCAGCAGATTTTTGGGGCTAAAGAACAACTGAGACAACTGCATTTGGCACTTATTTCAAACTCATTCCCATCTCTAGCCACCTTCTTACCCCCATACACTATCAGCAAGGAGTCAAGCAGCAGGTCAGAGTCAATGAACAAATGGAAACATCAATCTAACTGAGAGTCATTTATTTCTTTTGTCATTGCCAAACAGTTCCCGAGTCTTACTCACCAGAAATTAATATAGCTTCTTCATTTCTCCTCCCTGACAATCCTCATCTACTGAAAGGGCTCTAAGTGCACAACTGCAAATGAAAATGTAGAGTGGATACACCATGTCCTTCACTTGTTTCAAAACAATCATCTAACAGCCCATTAGACATTATCAGGTAGGCATGAGGTACAGAAAAAGAATTTTTCTTTCCAACTCCAGATAAATATTTACATCTGGTGTCTAAGTCTCGGGATTAAAGACAATAGAACACATATAAAAGAGGGGAACAGCAATATTCTCAGAAAATTCAGACAGAGGTTGAGTAAAGGGAGGGATGAGGACTTAGTGGGGTGTAGACTAACAAGTGAGGTCAAGTACAGGAGAGAAAGAACAAGTGCCTTGGCTACCAATCTTAGTGACATTACCAGGAACACTAGGATTCTGTGTCAAAAAATCAGGGGCAACCAATCTGATATTTCTCAGTCCTTAAAACTGAGGGGAAAAACAAACTTCAGGAGGGCACGGATATGAAAGATGAGGCCTCGAGCCACAGGAAAGTGGAGGCCGTATTTATTGCTGCTGCTTCTTTCCAGCCATTTTAATGATTGGAACACACTACTCCTAAGGCTGCTTTTCATGCCTGTGGGTCTAGTTACAATGCTACTTGGGACACATTTCCCAGTAAAATTGATGTAAGGAAATTCTAGCTTTTTCATCCTAAGTCCATTTTCTTTCTTTCAATCCTAAAACCATATTAAGAGAACAAACAGCCTCCATAAAGTTTGTTTCCCAAAGAGACAGGGTAACCTTATTACATGAGTAACATTTCTAGCTTCTAGATTTGTTATAGCACAAATACAAAATGATTAATCAGTATGGTTTTAAAAAATTAATTTGGAATTGTTTTATAAGCTTGATGTAGACTACTAAATCAATGGAGCTTCCAAAAACATTCTACACCCCAGGAAGGAAAGGACAACCAGTTTTCTTAGTCTTGTACAGGGCAAGAGGGGCCTATAGTGGCCTTAAGAGGGAGCTCTTTGGGCAAGAGAAGAGAAAAACAATAAACTCCAATGAGGAATAGCAGGAAACCTACCTTAAAGAGTTTGGGGGAGGGGTTGTCAAAGTGAATAAGTAGGGAAAACAGTAAAATTTATACAGGACGAAAGAGCTGAGAAAGTCATATCTTTACACAAACAGTTGAAAGAGTACATTTCTCTTCACTCAGACCCATGACTCAGTCCTCCCAGCACAGTTCCCCACGACAACAGTATGACATCCACTCTCCTAGGAGCGCTTTCACACTGACTGCCTATTTCCTTCCTCGTTTATGATTAGCCTTTGGGGGCTTTACTTTCTGGGACTGCGCTGGCACTGGCTCCTGCTCTGGTTCTTTACAGGAGGTCGACACTAGCAGTTCCTCATTATTCCTCCTCTGATCCTTCCCTACTCTGAGACTCAGCTCTGCTGACTCAGGAAGCTCGATGCCAGCCTGCTGCCGCCTTCTTAGAGACCGTCTGCTCCTGTGCTGCTGCCTCCGCTTTTCTTCTTCTTGCTGCCGCTGCTTTATCTTCATCAGCTTTTCAAAGCTTTTAGTTGTTGCTGGATTTACAACAAACCAGTCCTGGAGGCAAAATAGAAACAATATCTAGTAAACACAGTGGAGAGCACAAAGAAGGGTGTGAGAAGAATTTTAAAAGGCATGATTAGGCAGAACACAGAATTTTTATTTTTTTATTTTGAAAACTTAAAAACCTTCAGAAAGGTTAGTACTTTAATGAACACCTAGATTTACCATTGTTCACCTTTCTCCTTCCCTTTTCCTTCCTTCCTCCCTCCCTCCCTTCCTTCTTTTTGCTGAACCACTTGCAAGTTAGTTGCAGACATCATGCTACTTCATCTCTAAATACTTCAGCATGTACCTGCCTAAGAACAAGGGTATTCTCCTACATAACTACAATGATCACATTTTGAAATATTAACATGGACACAATACTATTATTATTTAATATAGTCAATATTCCAATTTCCCCAATTGTCTTAATAATGTCGTTTATACTTGTTTCTATGCAGTATTTTAAACAGCATTAAAAACAGGTTGCTCAAAAATATTAGAATACTAGAAAATGAAAGTATAGAGATAGCTGTGAAATACAAATTCCAAAGGTATGAATTCAGCCTGGTTCCCAAATGCCTGATTTAACTGGATTGAATTCCAAAGTCTTTGGTAACCACTTTACTTTCCTTGACAGTCCTAGCTCATAAAAACATACACAAAATCCACCTCTCCTTTGGTGTATGCATGGGGCCCATAGGATTAGAAAAACACTGTGGGGAAAACAGGATCCTCACCTCAGCATGGACAGAGTTGATGTGATACTTAACACCACTCTCTGACACAAATTCTTTTTGACATAGAAGACACTTGTATTTTCCAGCCACAAAGTTTCCCTATTTTAAAGAAAAAGGAATTAGTGGAAAATTCAGGAATACATGCCTGGGTCATGTGTAGGGATTGTTATTGACGAAAAGAAGGGATTCTACTTCAGCAAAGGTAAGGAAGAAAATCCAAAACAGCAATATATTTAGAAAAAACAGCTTGGGCCCTGGCCAGTTTGGCTCAGCGGTTAGAGCGTCGGCCTGTGGTCCAGAGAGACCCGGGTTCGGTTCCCGCTAAGGGCATGTACTTTGGTTGCAGTTTGTCCCCGGCCCTGGTTGGTCGTGCGGGTGGCAGCCACTCGATGTGTCCCTTCACGTCGATGTTTCTCACTCTCTCCCTTCCTCTCTCTCCCTCCCATTCTATCTGTACAAAAAATGGAAAAATATCCTCGGGTGAGGATAAAAAAAAAAAAAAAAAAAAAAAAGCTTGGGCAGACTATCACCACTATAAATCTATCCTAATGTAATTTTATACCAAACCTTCCCACCCTCTTCAACACGACCCGAAATCCTCCTAGTTTTATTGTGACATGTCACATTTCTCTATCTTCCCTTGTTTCTGTCACCTCACTTCCAGGTTCTCTTGGTTCCTCCCCCAAAATGATAAAACTTCGCTCTAGGCACCAAAGTACAATTCTTTCCACTATAATCCTTTGCTGCAAAGAGTGCCTTGGAAATCCAGAATTAGAAGAGTACCATCAATAATACAAAGTTTCAGGACTCAGAAACTAAGATCAAGATGACAGACTCTTAAGCATTCCTGGACAGATCTGGTTTGGATGCCTACAACCCTCTTGTTGCCTTGAACTGAGACTTCTCTCCCCTCCTGAAGCTTCAAGTTTCCATGGTGCTCATTTTGTGTGAAGGGATACTGCTAAAAGGGATTGGAAAGTGGCAGCAAACCCCATGGCTGGTGGGTTGTAGGGCACCTGGGTCAACATGGAAAAGATTCAGTGAGGTGAATGGCTGTTGGCCTAACATCCAGAGATCCCACCTCTGATCTCCAGAAGCCAGTATAGTTCAGATGGGTTTAGAGCAGTGGTTCTCAACCTGTGACCCTTTCACCGGGGTCACCTAAGACCATTCGAAAACACATATTTCCGATAGTGATTCATAACAGTAGCAAAATTACAGTTATGAAGTAGCAACAAAAATAATTTTATGGTTGGGGGTCATCACAACATGAGGAACTGTATTAAAGGGTCACGGCATTAGGAAGGTTGAGAACCAATGGTTTAGAGGAACTTCACTAATCCAGATAAGTACATGTAAGTTGACTCAGAAAGTTTAAGGCCCAATAAGACAAGGTAGGTCCAGTGTGGGAGAGGCTCGGGTAAAAATAAAATCCCCGGTAGGAATTCAGAACTAATATATTTTTCTCCAAATTCTTTCACTGATATGACATATGGCTATGTTGGACTTTTCTTCACTTTGGACATACCCTGGTATCCCATCCAATAACAGATCAAGAGTCTTTGGGACATAAAAAACTAAACCTGCCTCTAAAGATAACAGAAAACAGGATAATTAGCTGTTCACCTAAACTGAATTTTCTGTGTCCGACTATTTTAGAAGTCATGTTAAGATAAATAGTTCAGAAAGTTACAAACCAAAGTACAAGAGCCCAGGTGAGCTTTAAGGCCAGATACACTACTGTAGACAGCCTCACAACCCTGAAAAAAAGAAGAAAAAAATAACATGAAGACTAAACAAAAAAGCATCCTTCTCTCAGCAATCTGGTTGTTAACACTGACCAACCTCACATTTGGAGAAAGAAGTCCAATAAATTGTACCATAACCAAACAGGGAAAGAATTCACATGCAAGCCATAAAAACAAGAAGGAAGACCAACAAAAGGTAAAAAAAAAAAGAGGTAAACAAGTTGTTTACAAAAGCTTAACATATTCTCTTCCCTGGTACATTTTCTGATACTTAGAGAAACACAGAAAATTAGTTAGATTTTTTAAAAATTTGCTTTCCTTAGTACAAATATGTCTTCTATTTCTTACATATCTACTCCTCCACAAAGTACTGTATATATAGCTAGGTTAGACTAAAGATGGCTGGAAATTCTCTGCCATTCTTCCCATCAAGAAGCGGAGTCTGGGCCTGGCTGGTTTGGTTCAGCTGTTGGCCCTCAGACCAGAGTCTCAGATTTGATTCTCAGTCAAGGGTATGTACCTAAGTTGCAGGTTCGATTCCCAACCCTGGTCAGAGTCATTCGGGGTGAAACCAATCAATGTGTCTCTCTCACTGATATTTCTCTCTCTCTTTCTCCCTTCCTCCCTCCCACTCTATCTAAAAATCAATGGAAAAGTATCCTTGGGTGAGGATTTAAAAAAAAGAAGTGGAGTCTGTTTACCCTCTCCTTAAGTCTGGGTTAGCTCTGTGATTCCTTTGACCAATAGAATATCATGGAAAGATGCTGAAAAAATTCTGAAACTAGGCCTTAAGAGATCTTCAGCTTCCACTTTCATGTTCTTAGAATACTCTCTGAAATGTCAGTCACCATGTACCCCACGGGTAATGCAACTACTGTGCTAAGGAAAGAGGCAATGTGGAGAGCCAAGCTCACAGCTCAACTAGCTGCACAGAAGCCTTCTTGGACATTCAGGTCCCATCTGAGTTTCCAGCTGAATGCAACCTATGAGTGACCCCAGCTGATGCCATGTACAGCAGAACCACTCTGAGCCCTGACAAAATTATTTACAGAATTGTGAACAAATAAAATAACTGATATTGTAAGCCACGAAGGTTCAGGCTCTTTGTCACAAAGGAATAAATAACAGAAACAACATCAGATGCCCAATAAACATTTGCTGAATAAATAAATGAGAAAGAACCACCTGGTTAGGACACTCAATGCGATGATACTTCTTGATATCTGACTTCCATTTATGTAGTACTTCCTGGCTGAAGGTAGGTAGCCCAGGGCGAGTATATTTTAACTACAAGACAAAAAAGATTTTATTGAAGGAATCCAACTTCCAAAACACCCTGAAAGTTTCACACCCAACTCTTCAGGTTATGTGATTCTGAAGTTCCACAGTATATTTTCATTAAAAAAAAAAAGTAATATATAAGACCCTTAAAAGTTCCTGAAAATGTAAGTATAATTGTCTTTTGTTTAGTCTTAGAATAGTTTGATTTTTAACAGAGGGCAGGAGACTTTCAGATATAATTCTTCATCTACAATTAGAAAAACAAAAAGCCAGTGACAGAGCATTATACAATTAAAATATGCGTTACAAAAAAGAGAGAGGGGGATAAAAAATTTCACTAAAAATATAATACATATTATATGTATACATATTATGAAAAGTACATATATACACATATAATATATTCAATAGAAATATATGTAGATGGATAAATGGCTAGAAGGTTATAAGTAACAATGTCAACAGTAGTATTCTCTGGGTGGTAGAATTTTGAGGATTTTAGTGTTGTTTTTCCCTGCTTATCTACATTTCTCATTTTTCTTCAATCCTAACACACACAAAATTAAGGCTTGACAAGGATGTAAGAAAACTGGGAATAAAACACATAATCTTTGTTTACACTGCAAGAGTAGAATTATTCCTAGCACTTCCTTTCACATACTTTGACATAAATCAGTCTCTTCTTACAACTATAACTATAGCTCCCAGAAAAGAGATAGCCCCATACAGAGAGTTCTTACAAAGTCCACCATGGCTAACAGTTGTATCTCTGGTGAGTAAATATTCCTCCTGTTTAAAAAATGGAAGTGTCTAAAAAAACGTTGATTCTCTGAGACAGAAAAACAGAGGTAATCGGGGAAGGAAGGCAGGTAGCCTAAAGAAACTCTGGTAAAGTTGTAAAAGAAATAGGAGCACAGCCCTGGCAGGTTTGGCTCAACGGTTGGAGCATGGGCCTATGGACCAGAGAGTCCTGGGTTCGGTTCCTGCTAGGGACACATACCAAAAAATAAATAAATTAAAAAGATAGAAAATAAAAAGAAGAATCCCTAATCATAAAATATATATAAAATAAATTGAATTAAAAAAAAAGAAAGAAACAGGAGCACAGAGATGGCTTTATTTATAAGCATTTCCCCTCCTCTGCAGTTGTATATATGGGTCCATCTAAAATCTTTTTCTGTCGATAGGGGAATATTTATATAAAGTATTCATATAATAAACTATCATATTTATGAAGCTATAAAAAAAATAGAATAATCTCAATAAACATACTTAGAGTGATTTCCAGGAATATACTTTTAAGTAAAATAAAGCATAATTGTTTAAAAGTATTTATAGTAAGCCCTGGACGGTTTGGCTCAGAGGTTAGAGCGTCGGCCTGTGGTCCAGAGAGACCTGGGTTCGGTTTCCACTAAGGGCATGTATCTCAGTTGCAGTCTGTCCCCGGCCCTGCTTGGGTTGTGCAGGAGGCAGCCACTCGGTGTGTACCTTTCACGTCAATGTTTCCTCTCTCTTTCTCCTTCCCATTCTATCTGAATAAAAAATGGAAAAATGTCCTCGGGTGAGGATAAAAATATATACATATAAATAAAAGTATCTATAGTAAAAAGAGTATATAAGAAAATACTCATGTAGCTCTGATCATCCATCCAATAAAAATACAGGAAGCATAAACCAGAAACTCCTGAGCCTGGTTATCTCTGGGGGCAGTGGGGTAGGAACAGAGTGGAAATAAAAGGGGACTTGGAACAGGAAAGTTGCAAAGAAGGGCAGTGACACTTCTCTGGGAAGACCTTTTTGTATAGGTCTGACTTTTAGAACTATGGTAATGTTTCACATACCACAAAATAAATAAATAGCTTAAATTAAATAGGATTTGAGGAAATACAAAATTAAAGAGTGACATGTGAACCTAAATATTACACATGAGGAAACAGAATGACTGAGATGGGTGATAAAAACCAACCTAAATAACTGGAAAATAGTGTTTTGACTATATACTGTAAGGATAAAGATGAAAAGAACTATACACAAATATTGTTCTTCAGTTAGTAAATTTGTTTTTTACAGGCATATGGGTTAACAGTTCTGAAACTATTTTATGTTATACTAGGACTGAACAAAGTAAATATACAGTAGACAACAAGAGCCAAATTTCTCACCATTGGAGAATGGAGTTACAAATTAGGAAAGAGAAAGGCAAGAATGAAACTTGTGTGCTGGATTGAAATTAATGGTATCATGGCTTTAAATATATATACAAGTGTGGGCAAAAGTAGGTTTACAATTGTAATACAAATAAATAATAATAATACAGGAATAAACTTGTGTTCATGTACCCACAACTATAAACCTATTTTTGCCCACCGAAATGAATATGAAGACCCTGGCTGGTTTGGCTCAGTGGTTAGAGTGTTGGCCTGTGGACCAAAGAGGCACAGGTTCAATTTTGGTCAAGGGTACATGCCTCAGTTGCAGTTTGGTCCCTGGTCGGGGTCATGCGGGAAGCAACCAGTTGATATGTCTCCCTTACATCGATGTTTGTTTGTTTCTCTCTCTTCTCTCTCTCTCCCTCCCTACCTCCCTCTTTCTTCCACTGTATCTGAAGATAAATGGAAAAGGAAAAAGTATCCTCGGGTGAATATTTAAAATAAACAAATAAACAGTGTGTGTATGCATCCATGAAAACACATACATATATATCCTAGCTCTATTTACCAACAAGGCCCAGAAGCATGACATGCCAGTGAAATGAATATGCCTGACACTCAAATCTCGGTTTCCAAATATATTCTCCAATAAAAGGAACCAGAATTCCTTTAAGAAATGATTGTTTCCAAGGCTAGGGCAGGAAAACTGCAAGATGCGCCTACAGTATCTCATGGTGTCAGAGGGTAAAAAAGAGCTTAGAAAAGATAGGGGAATATCAAAAAGGTACAGGAGCTCACTGGACGGTCAAATCTGGGACAATTTGAGCAGCAAAATAATAACAGCATTAGATCATAGGCCACAGAATAAAATAATTATCCGTGAGTCCATACTAATATAAAATAATAGGAGAAAAGAACAGAGCTATCTCACAACAGAATTGTAGAAGAAATGTTGAAAACAAAACAAACAAACAAAAAATCATCATTAAGCAAATACCACAGTAATAATTGCTACAAGCATGAATCATTGATGGATGCTAAAGTGGGTAAAAGTATGATAAAACACAGGTTAGTTATGTAGTCTCAACCTCCCCACAAAATATTCATTTATTATAAAGGGGAAAATTGTAATTTTGCCATGGAAAAAGTGGACAAAACAACCTAATCAAGTGTTTAGCATTTACCGAAGCTAAATATAAATGACTACATGTGAACTAACAAAGTGGAAACACACTAGACAAGGATTAAGCAAAAAACTAATTTGGGGATTTAGATGCCCTCTGGGAGTAGTCCAAAATTAAGAGGCTTCTTGAAGGAGCTTCTGAAACATACTGCTTCTCTAGGACCTACATGAATCAAAACACTGGAGCTGGATCAGATGTACTCCGCCTCCAAGGATAAAGAAGCAATACTGTTTATTATGTACTCACTTAAGTGCATTTACTTTTCTGTATGTAATAAGCACAGTATCAGACATAATCCTTCAAAATTAATACAAGTTTCTACCTTACCTTCCGATCATCAGGTATTAGATCCTGAAGAACCTTCCTCTTAGGCCATTCCTTGGCCAGTTCCACAGAGGCCAGCTCCTGCAGGTGGTATACAGCTATTTTGGCAGAACGCCTCTGAACTCGGCCCCCACTCTTTGGCTCCAGGCTCATCTCTTTTAAGCACTCTGGCTGTCCTGACTCTGGAAAGATCTGCAAAAATGAAACATTGCAAAACACAACCTGGCTTCCATCAGAGCCAGTGATTAAAGGCGTTCCTTTCTGCTCTAAGTATCGAGTTCTTTATTACCTTGCTAATCACTATCATAAAGCTCCACCATCTTAATGTACGTTTTACCTCACACTACACATAAAAAGTAACTCCAAATGGATAATAGCCCTAAAAGTAAACAATATGACTTCTAGAAGAAACTGAATGAGAAATTTTTGTGATCCTAGGTATAATTTTTAAAAATTTACTTTTCAGTTATAATTAACATACAATATATTAGGGAAGTGATGGTTTTTGATGAGTCAACTCAGTTGTAGTCATCAGTTATTCAAACACAAATGTAGGTGCTGATGTGAAGGTATTTTGCAGATCTAATTAGTCTATAATCAGTTGATTTTAAGCAAGTAAGAGAGATGTGACAGAAGAAGAGGCAGGAGAGATCCAAAGAACGAGATAGCCCAGCCGGTATGGGTCAGTTGGTTGGGCATCATCTTATGTACCAGGAGGTTGCCGGTTTGATTCCAGGTCAGGGTACATACCAGGGTTGTGGCTCAATCCCCCGTGAGGGTTGTGCAGGAGGCAGCCGGTTGACGTTTCTCTCTCATTGATGTTTCTATCTCCCTCTCCCTTCATCTCTCTGAAATCAGTAAAAACATATTTAAAAAAAAGAATGAGTTAAACTCAATACTGTTGTTGAAAATGAAGGGGACTGCCCTGGCCAGTTTGGCTCAACAGTTAGAGTGTTGGCCTGCGGTCCAGAGAGACCCGGGTTCGGTTCCCGCTAAGGGCACTTACCTCAGTTGCAGTTTATCCCTGGCCCTGGTTGGGTCATGCGGGTGGCAGCCACTTGATGTGTCCCTTTCACATCGATGTTTCTCTCTCTCTCTCCCTCCCACTCTATCTGAACAAAAAATGAAAATATATCCTCGGGTGAGGATAAGAGAAAATGAAGGGGACCATGAACCAGGGAACGTAGGTGGCCTTTAGAAGCTGAGAGCAACTCCTGGTCTATAGCAAGTAAGAGAATGATGTTCCACAACTGCATGGAACTGAATTCTTGAACAATCATAAGGAGCCTAGAAACAGATTCTCCCTTCAAGCCTACAGAAAGAAATGGCCCTAATGAAACTGTGATTCCACCTAGGCAAGGCTCTACGCAGGGGAGCAAGCTGAAATGTCCTGTACCTGGACTTCTAGCCTAATTGTGAAATAATATAGTTGTGTTGTTTAAGCCAGTAGTTTTGTGGTGGTATTTTTTACAGCAGCAAAAGAAAATTATACTTTGGGTTGGGGAAAAATATCGTAGATACAACTAAAGCATTATCCATTAAAAAAAAAAAAAAAAAAGATAAATTGAACTTGATCAGCCCTGGCCGGTTTGGCTCAGCAGTTGGAGCATTGGCCTGTGGTCCAGAGAGACTCGGGTTCAATTCCCGCTATGGGCGTGTACCTCAGTTGCAGTTTGTCCCTGGCCCCGGTTGGTCGTGCAGGTAGCAGCCACTCAATGTGTCCCTTTCACGTCAATGTTTCTCTCTCTCTCTCTTCCTCCCACTCTATCTAAACAAAAGAAAAAATGTCCTCGGATGAGGATTAAAAAAAAAAAATTTGAACTTGATCAAAATTAAGAACTCTGCTCTTTGAAGAGCACTATAAAAAATTAAAAGACACTACAGACTGTGTGAAAATATTTGCAAAACATATCTGATAAAAGACTTGTGTCTGGAATATGTAAAAAACTCTGAATATGTTCAAAACTTAATAGTAAGTCAATAAAAACTCCAATAATAAAATGGGCAAAGGATTTTCTTAAAATTTTTACTTACTGATTTGAGAGAGAGAGAGAGAGAGAGAGAGAGGGAGAGAGAGATAGAAACATCAGTGAGAGAGAACATCGACTGCTGCCTCCTGCATGCCCCCCAGTGGGCATCAGGCCTACAACCTGGGCATGTGCCCTGACCGGAAATCGAACCGGCTACCTCCTGGTACATGGGTCGACGTTCAACCACTGAGCCACACCAGCCGGACTGGACAAAGGATTTTAACAGACACTTTACTAAAGACTGACACTGCCAATAATTACATGAAAAGACAGTCAACATCATCAATCATCAGGGAAATGCAAATTTAAACCACAGTAAAATACCACTACAGACCTATCAGAATGAATTTTTAAAATGAAACTGACAATTGCAAGTGCTGAGAAGGATGCAAAGCAACTGGAATGCTCATCCTTTGCTGGTGAGAAGACAAAATGGCACAGCCAGTTTGGAAAACAGTTTGCCAGTTTCTTATAAAGTTAAACATACATTTATCATATGACCTAGTAATCTCATTCCTCAGCATGTACCCTAAATAAATTAAAACTTATTTTCATACAATAACTGTAAAGTGAATGTTTATAGACCAAAGAGTCACAGGTTCGATTCTGGTAAAGGGCATATACCTCAGTTGCGGTTCAGTCCCCGGCCCTGGTGGGGGTTGCGCGGGAGGCAACCAGTCAATGTGTCTCTCTCACATTGATGTCTCTCTCCCCCTCCCACTCCATCTGAAGATAAATGGGAAAAAAATATCCTTGGGTGAGGATTTAAAATAAATAAATGAAGTGAATGTTTATAGCATCTTTATTCATAATTGCCCCAAAATGGAAATAACTAAACGTTCTTCAATTAGTAAATGGATAAACAAATTGTGTGACATCCATATAATGGAATCCTAGACAGAAATAAAGAGGAACAAACTTATGATACATGCCAACAAAAAAATGAATCTCAAAATGCATTATGCTAAGTGAAAGAAGCAAGACTCAAAAGTTTACATATTATATGATTATATTTACATGACATAAAATTTACATTATAAAAAGCAAAACTATAGCCCTGGCCAGTTTTGCTCAGCGGTAAGAATGTCAGCCCACGGACTGGCGAGTCCTGGATTTGGTTCCCGCTAAGGGCACGTACCTCGGTTGCAGTTTGTCCCCGGCCCCAATGGGGTTGTGTGGGTGGCAGCCAGTCGATGTATATCTCTCTCAATATAGATGTCCCCCCCCCCCACTGGCTCTATCTGAAGATAAATCCAAAAATGTCCTCGGGTGAGGATAAAAAAAAAAAAGCAAAACTATAAAGGCAAAAAATAGATCAGTGGTTTCCAGGGGTTGGGAATGGCAAGAATTACAAAGGGATACAAAGGAATTTGGGGGGAATTATTAAATTGTTCTATATCTTGATTATAGTAGTTGTTACCTGACTGTATGTAATTTTCAAAACTTTAATAACTATATGTAAATGTTAATTAACATAGAAATTATATCTTGAAACTTAACTCTAAAAAAAACATGAGGTAGGGATAGCGTAGAAATGTAATCAGGAACAAAAAAGTCAAGACAAAAAAATTATAATATAGAAGATAGCTGGACAGATTCCATAAAATTTCTAGCTGAGGGAGAATGCCTTAAGCTTTAAAAATATAATAATGGCCTGGCCAGTGTGGCTCAGTGGTTGAGCATCGACCCATGCACCAAGAGGTCACCAGTTCAATTCCCGGTCAAGGCAAATGCCCAGGTTGTGGGCCCAATCCCCAGTGACGGGCATGCACCAGGCAGCCAATCAATGTTCTCTCTCATCAATGTTTCTATCTCTCTCTCATTCTCCCTTCCTCTCTCTCTAAAATATCAATAAAGAAATATATATATATATATATATATAACGAGTTTACTTCTGCCTAGACTATACATAGACTTTGATTTCTCTAAGGTAGGAATGTTCAAAAGGCAGCAATAAGAGAAAAGGAAGAAGAAAGAAAAAAAGCACTCAAAATTAAACAGGGATACAAATGAGGAACCAAGGATGTATGGGAAGAGGTAGGGCTAAGCTGCTACCACAGAATATATCCCCAAACAGGGTCTGGAAAGTAATCAGTACTCACAGGCCCATGCTCTGACCTCAGGTGATAGGCAAGTCCGGCCTTCGATCTATATGGCTTTCCACAATGGTGACACTTCAAGGTCATCTCCTCCAGCTCTGCAGCCCCTTTGCCACATTTTCTGACATGGTACAGATATCCCATGATGCTGGTGAAGCTACTAGAGCAACTCTAAACCCAGGAAAGAGACCTAAATTATAATCTTACATCTTTTGGCATGACTTCTAAATTTCTAAACACCATCCAAGGCATTCAACCATCCATCCACATAAACAGACCCTCTGATATCACTAGACCCTCTCCAACTGGCACAACCCTTTCTTGTCCCTGGCCCAAAAGCTGTTCTGTCTACCACCAAGAATCACATTCAATGTTTAGTCAACATGCCACAAACTAGAACTGTGTACCTCTCTTCTGTGTCAGAGTTTCCTCCTTAGTCTATGATCCAACTCCACCCCAACATCAAATACCCAGCAATATCAAAGTTCCTCACAGTGAGGTTACTAGGATCCTCTTCATCACACCAAAGAAAAGATCGTAAAGAAACCCCTTCAAACAAAGGATAAGGGGAGAAAAATAAATTTTTGGAGACAAGAAAGAAAATAAAGACCTATTAATGAGTTCAGGAGACCTGGAAAAGCAGGAGCCACTCTTATGCTGGAAAATGATACAGAACCAGGTCAAGGGAGGAGGAGGAGACATAGAAGAGAATAACGGAAAGACATGAACCTAAAACTCCAGACAGAGGGAGTTGCTGTCCTTGGGTCCTTACCTCACGCATACACCTAAGCTTTCCCAGTCTCTTTAGAACTGTTCGGAGCCGTTCCCTCTCACTTGGCTCATCTATTTCATCTCCAGCCTTCAAAATGGGCTAGAAAGCAAGAGAATCAAATAAGCAGATAATTCATGGAAAAGACAGATACAGAAAAAAAATTATAGAAATATCAAGGACTAGGCTAGCACCTCTGCTGATGCCCATAAAGTCTGTTATCTGACTCCTGGCTTTCTCTATCTCCTAGACAGACAAGGAAGGGAATGTAAAGGAAATCAGAGTACTAAGCCTCTACCTCCCAGGATATGAAACTTTGGGACTAACCTAAACACACAAATACCTATGTATCCACTGCAACAGTTTTATTATATATAAGTCTTCTATTGAAAGTGTTTTCTTACTCACACCTCTATAAAGTCCCAGAGCCTTAGCCATCTCCACGGAGTCATCTATACTCATCTAAGACACCCAACACCACGGAAGCTCATATAGGACAGAAGACACTCTTACCAAACTATTATGATTTGCCATGACGTGATACTTCATCCCTGCCAGTGAACGAAGTTGTTTCCCACAATGATGGCAAGTAAACATTTCCTACAGAGAAAAAATACTGCTCAGTGCCAGACTATTCAACAGAGAAATAGAACTTCACCAAGTTTCAAATGCTCTCCTCTGTATCTCCTTTATTTTCCAAACTCAACAGTCAGTGAATCTCAAAATCCCACAAGCTCAGTGTCACATCTTCAAGGGCAAGAAGTAAGGCAATTCATTTCTTAAAAAATAACAACTACCATTTACTGAGTGCCAATATTTGCCAAGTAATGGGGTAGGAACTTAGCGTGTATTATTTCTTTCTTATCCTCTTATGGTCTACCCAAGTAGTAATTATTTTATTTCTATTTTATAAATGAGGAAACCGAGGCTCATACATAAAAAGCTAAATGATACAACTAATAAGTGGCTGAATGAAGATTCAAACCCAAGTATGTCACACTCCAAAGCCTATGTTTTCCCTATGACACAATGTTGCCTCTTGTCCACTGTAATCAGCACATCCAACACAGTGCCAGATATCTCAAGTTTGGGTAAAATATCATAATATAACAGTCATGAAATACCACAAAATATCTAACCTGTTTGCAGTTTTCCATGTGTTTCTTTAAGCCCTCTATGGTCTTCCTCCCCACTGCCTGGCAGGTAGGACAGGAGACACTGCCTTTATCCACAATTTCTAAGTACCACTGCTCCTCTAAACTGCCTACAAAAAAGATAAAAGAACATGATATAATCTGCAGTACTCTCCAGAAACAAAAAGCACAATTCCAGAATTTAGGAAAAGTATCACAAAATGGTTTTTCCCCTTCCTGGGGAAAATTCCTGCTGTGTATAACTTCTAGAAATAATTTTTTTTCAGACAGTGAGGAGTTTCTGAAACTTCTACTCAGTTCCCCATAATAAAAACCATCTAAGAAACATCCAAATCCCAATGGCTTAAAAAACTAGGCAACACTTTTTTCCCAACTTCACTGAGGTATGACTGACAACAGGCAACATTTTTCAGAGCAGCATATAATAATGAGATACTGAGATATGTAACAGCCACCATGCTGTTTCCTATGTGCCTGAAACTTTGTTCAATGTTTCCATCCCATTTAATTCTCACAATTCTGACTGCCTTTATTGTCCCTATTTAGAGACAGGAAAATTGAAGCTTGCAGAAAATAAAGAAATTGAGGCAAATGAGAAAATGAAGAGCCAAAGCTTGAAGGAGGGTCTGTCTGACCTTCAAACCCATGCTGGTAATACCTGACTCCCTAAAGAAATGCTTTTCCACATCATTCTTTTACCAACAATAACAACAACAGTCAGAGTAAGAGAACTAGATCCCACAAAGCTTCCAACAGAAAGCATACCTGCTGCATAAGCTGGTGGTTCCTTCCGAATACGACGAGCCTGGGATTTGGGATTAGGCTGAGTTTTAGGCCGTTGCTTCCTCCCTGACGCAAGACAGAAACTTGAAGCCCAACATATCACCTTTGCTAATCCCTCTCTAGTACTAAAATCTCTTCCCTCCTCTTCTCAACACCCTATGCCCCAGTCCCTTAACCAACTGACTCCCTTAAATCGTAACAGAAGGAAAGGGTAAAATAAGGCAGGATGGAGGCCATGCCTTGCAAAAAAAATTCAAAGGGTTCAAAAGTACTTCAAGGGCCGCCCTGACCGGTTTGGCTCAGCGGTTAGAGCGTCGGCCTGCGGTCTGGAGAGACCCGGGTTAGGTTCCTGCTAAGGGCATGTACCTCGGTTGCAGTTTGTCCCCGGCCCTGGTTGGTCGTGTGGGTGGCAGCCACTCGATGTGTTCCTTTCACATCGATGTTTCTCTCTCTCTCTGTTCCTCTCTCTCCCTCCCACTCTACCTGAACAAAAAATGGAAAAATGTCCTCGGGTGAGGATAAAAAAAAAAAAAAGTACTTCAAGGGCCAAACCCTAAGGTCTCTCTCCCTCAAAGAATAAAGCCCAGGCACCCAGCGAAAAAATAATTAGCAGAGTAAATTCCTTACCATACAGCTTATGCTTCTTCTGAGGAAATTCTCGATAATCTTCATCTTCTTCCTGCCTGGGTTTCCTTTTTCCTTTGGTTGATACTCCACCTGACCCTGAAATACCATACAAAAACAGAGAAAAACCTAAGTATGGAATATTAAGTGAACATCTGGCCCTGTCCTGCCTTCAAAACATCACTCACAAGACCATCAAAGGGAAAGATCATAGCAAGCACAGGCCTCACAGAAGTGTTTGTGACATTGTTAGGGAAATTGTATAACTTTTTATTAACTGACTCAACCTCCCCTTTTCCTTTTGTATTGTTCTTTATCACAAGTGACCAATAGTTCCCTATGAATACTAACAGCCTTCAGGCAGTGTGCTTTGTTTCATCTTGATTTAAGGCTAACATTGAAGCAGAATTGTTCAAAATAATGGGCTACTAAGGACCCTTGAGACTATGATCAAGAAAATTTACACAGAATAACCCTTACACCAGCTCCTAAACCCTCAACAGAAATCAAACTAGAACAAGGGGAAAGAAGTGCAAATCGTGAAGAGGAAAGGCTGATATAACCTAAAGGAGTGAGATCAGCAAACTTCACTCTGTAAAATAGAAGGACCATTCGCAAAGCTAACAGTATGTGATAGCCTAATACCTTAAAAAAATTAATCACTAACAAGAAACACATATGTGGTATTTAATACTTTAAGGGCCACTTACAGCAGCTACCTCAAAATACAACTGTCTTTGGAATAAGATACTGAGAATGATACCTTCAACATGGGGAGTAGCAGCTGGCTTGATCCTTCTCATCTTCATCCAGTAGGTAGATTTTCGGAAGGATGCTGGACAATCACTTACTGGTTCACACGAAGAGGCAGATGATGAGCCACTTAAGGAATCATCATGAGGAATAGTATACTGGAAACTGTTATCCTTTATGGAGCACTTGGTCCTGCTACTAATATGACACAAAGATACAGATACCAAAAAAGGAGGGTGTAGAATAAAGTTTCTATTAATTATTTTATATCATAAGAAGATAACCAACTTGGTTACCTTTGCCAAAACAAAGAAGTCTGATGATAATAATAATAATAATAATAATAATAATTTAGATCATAATCTTCGAACAATTACAATGGTTGATCTAACACAACACATACTTCATTATAATCAGAAAAAGTAAGCTATTCACATAAATGAATACTCTGCAGCCCAAGTACACACTCCTTCCTAGATTTATCCAAGAAAAGAAAATAGTCTAAGTAATAGAGTGTTCTGTGGATAGAGATCCCCTGGATCTGTAACCAGGTATGTCCAGGTATCGTTATTTCTCAGAGAAACAGGTAACTAAGAAATATTCCTGAGAATAGAGAAGGAAAAGAACAGTCTGTAGGCCCTAATTTGATCCATGTTCCTTCTCCCTGAACCCTGATGTCAGAATCACCCTATCTTACTTAGGCAAAATGATACTTAGCTCCTATAGCTAAAGGAAGGTTGCTATCTTGTCTATGTTAAACTGGCCAGAGAAGCCTGGTATACAGTTGTATCCAAATTTCCAAATCCAAGTCCAGTCAGTATGTCATTAACAAACATTAATGAGTAACTACAAAGTATCTTCTAGGTGGCTCAGGATGTGGTAGAGCAACAACTGTCAAAGTGTGAGGCCACTTTAGATTTATGGTTTAGAAAGGCCATTCTGGATGCTGCATGGAAGATGATACATGGAGGAAAAGTGAATGAAGGAAGAAATGTGAACAGCTTGTATAGTCGTATGGATAAGAGAGGATGAGGGCATGAATTAAGGTTTTGTAGTAAAGATAAGCTAACATTCCAGATGACACTTTAGAAGTAGAGCTGATAAGAATCACACACAGAAGTTTTAGGAGCAAAGAGTTGGAAGAAATGCAGGTGACCATTCTTAGGAAACTATGTAAGTAAAATGTGATAGATGCCTACTATGGAATACTAGGTAGTTGTTAGATGCAATAAACTATTTCACACAGAGACATGAACATAACTAAAAAATATACTAGTACATGAAAAGAGAAACAGAACCAGATCTATAGTACAATGTCAACTTAGTAATTTAAAAAATACACATGTAAATAACACTAGCTATTTTATAAGAATTCATAAATACTATTTAAGGGGAAATATCAAATTTATCAATATGGTTGTCTATTGGGAGGAAGGGGATGGAAATGGGGATAAGAAAAAATAACAGGGACTGATGATGTCAGTATGCTACAAAAAGGGAAGAATGATTTTCAGCTCTCTGCACATGAGGTCCAACATTACAAATTTAATACAAAGAAGTCCTGGTTCTGGCATAGTAACATAAGCCTACCACTCCTGCTGATTATAACTCTGGACTCTGTAAAGTAAACAAAACCAGGTGGGTTATGGAGAACAGTCAAAATTGGGAGAAATGACGCACATGTGGGTGTGTTTCCCAGTTTTTCCCTCCTTACATGTGGCTTTGCAATAAGGGTGGACCTTATTTCATGGTCCTAATTTCCAATATAATCTGCACATTTCTGGCCAGAAAAACCAGAAAGAGGAATCCCTATAAACTAGAGTGTGTCTCTGTGGGTAGGGGAGAATCATGGAGAAGAGACAGGCAAAGAAGGGATCCTATAATTTTGAGTATAAATCCACACAAGTCACAGCTTAGCCTGAGCTATGTATGTGTGCAGCATACCCACACCAGCTTTTGTAAAGTAAAATAAGACTTGAATAAATGCACAAGTCTCTGACTAACCTCTGAGCTTCTGGTGTGAGACAGACCCAAACCAATGTATCAAAAGCTTTGAGACCAAAAACAAGATTTGAAACACCTGAAAAAGTCTCAGACTAATCAATAGGCTATCTATAAACAGACTTAATCATCATAACAAAGACTCAAAGAATAGAATTGATATTGAACCAATGGCCTCAGAAGGCAACACAGAACTTATGGTCTGAACCTAAACAGGTTAGCTGCTAAAATAAAAATACTAACATTTCACAAAAGATTCTAAAAAGACCTAGAATCTCCATATATATAACATTCACAATCTTGAAAATAAATTCCAAAATGATGCAATACAGAAACAATCAGAAAAATATGAACAATTCTCAAAGAAACAGATGACAACCCGAAGATAATCCAGATGTTGGAACTATCATAGACTTTAAAGCACTTATTATAACTATGCTCCATGAAATAAAGGAAAACACATTTGAAATTAAGGGAAAGGTAGGAATTATCAGCAAAAAATAGAAATCATGAAAAAGAACCAAATAAAGCTTTAAAACTGAAAAACACAGTATCTTAAAAATTCACTGGATGAGCTCAGTGACAGAATGGAGATGACAGAGCAAAGAGTCTGTGAACTTGATGATAGATCAACAGAAATGCTCTAATATGAATAAGATAGGAAAAAAAGATTGAAAAAACAGTCAACAGAGCCCCAACATCCTGTGGGTCAATATCTAAAGGTTTAACTTAGTTGTAATCCCAGAAGGAGAAGAAAAAGAGACTGAGGCAGAAAAACATATTTGAAAAAAATAATGGCGGGAAATCCCCCAAATTTAATGAATTTACAGATTCAAGGAGTTCAATAAACACTCAAAAGATAAACTCAAAAAAAAAACACCACACCTAGTGCTCCCACCTTGGTGAACACCTGGAGATCTGGGGAGGGTGGAACACTCAGTGAGTGTGGAAGCTCTGCACCCCCTTCCCACATATCTTGCCTTATGTATCTCTTATATCTAGCTATTCCTTAGTTATATTCTTTTATAATATACTGGTAATCTAGAAGGTAAAACAAACAAACATAAATAAGATACAGAAAATACATCTAAACACATATTAACCAAACTGTTCAAAACCAAAGATTATTAAAAAATCTAAGAAAAAATGACCTATTACACACAGGCAACAGCCCTCCCACCCGTGCACACCCCCTGCGGCTCCCAGACCCCAACAATGATTCAAATTATCATGGATTTCTCAAGAGAAACCACAGAGGACAGAAGACAGTGTAATAACATCTTTAAAAACCTGAGTGAGCCCTGGAGGGTTTGGTTCAGCGGTTAAAGAGTAGGCCTGCGGTCTAGGGAGACCCGCGTTCAGTTCCCGCTAAAGACATGTACCTTGGTTGCAGTTTGTCCCCAGCACTGGTTGGTCATGCGGGTGGCAGTCACACAATGTGTCCCTTTCATGTCGATGTTTTTTTCTCTCTCTCTCTCTTCCTCTCTCTCCCTCCCACTCTATCTGAACAAAAAATGGAAAAATGTCCTCGAGTGAGGATAAAAAAAAAATTCCTGAGTGAAAAAATGCTGTAAAAAATATGCTTTAGAAATATTTCTTCAGATGAAGAAAAACTAAGAAAATTTGTCAACAGACCTGCTCTATGAGAAATGCGAAGAAAAATTATTCCAGCTAAAGGAGAATGATACCACAGAGGGAGTTTGAGAATAAAGAAAGAGCAACAGAGCCCTGGCCAGTTTGGCTCAGAGGTTAGAGTGTTGGCCTGTGGACCAAAGAGACCCGGGTTCGGTTCCCGCTAGGGGCATGTACCTCAGTTGCAGTTTGTCCCCGACCCCCAGTTGGAGTTGTGTGGGTGGCAGCTGGTCAATGTGTCTCTCTCATATTGATGTTTCTCTCTCTCTCGTCCTCCCTCTCTCCCTCCCACTCTGTCTGAAGGTAAATGCAAAAATGTCCTCGGGTCCCAGCTGGTGTGGATCAGTGGTTGAGCACCAACCCATGCACCAAGAGGTCGCCAGTGCGATTCCCAGTCAGGGCACATACCCAAGTTGTGGGCCCCATCCCCAGTGTGGGGCATGCAGGAGGTGGCCAATCGATGTTCTCGCTCATCGATGTTTCTCTCTCTCTCTCCCTCTCCCTTCATCTCTCTCCAAAAAGAAATCAATAAAGAAAAAAATTTTTTAATTAAAAAAAAAAACAGTCCTCGGATGAAGATTAAAAAAAAATTAGAAAGAGCAACAAATGGCACTGAGTAAATTTTTTTTTTTTTTTTTTTGAGTAAATATTTTTTTAAAAGATTCTTTAAAGTGCCCTGGCCGGCATGGCTCAGCGGTTAGAGCGTTGGCCTGAGGCCCATAGAATCCTGGTTCGGTTCCCACTAAGGGCATGTACCTGGTTGCAGTTTGTCCCCGGCCCTGGTTGGGAACGTGTGGGTGGCAACCACTCCATGTGTCTCTCTCATATCGATGTTTTTTTCTCTCTCTCTTCCTCTCTCCCTCCCTCCCACTCTATCTGAAGATAAATGCAAAAAATGTCCTCGGGTGAAGATAAAAATTCTTTAAAGCAAAATTTAACATCATCTGGTTAGATTCTCAATATATATAAATATAATACATATGACAGCTATAACTTAATGGTCAGACAGGGCTTAAAGGAATCAATATGGTTTTGAGATATAAAGTAGTAGGATATTAACTCTAGTAGACTGTGGAAGGATAGGTATATATATTATAATTCCTAGAGAGATCACTACCAAAAAAGAGTCAAAAATCAAACAGATAAAATAAAATGAGACACTCAACATTCAAAAGAAGGCACAGAGGAACAAAAAGCAGGGTACAGAGAACAGATAATAAAATAGTAGATCTAGCCCTGGCCAGTTTGCCTCAGCGGTTAGAGCGTCGGCCTGTGGACCAGAGAGTCCTGGGTTTGGTTCCTGCTAAGGGCACGTACCTCGGTTGCAGTTTGTCGGTGGCCTCAGTTGGAGTTGTGTGGGTGGCAACCACTCGATGTGTCTCTCTCACGTGGATGTTTCTCTCTCTCTCTCTTCCCCACTCTCCTTCCCACTCTGTCTGAAGATAAATGCAAAAATGTCCTCAGGTGAGGATAAAAAAAAATAAAATAAAATAGCAGATCTAAATCCAACCATGTCAATAATTAATTGTTGTTGTTTTTTTTTTTTTTTAATCCTCACCCGAGGG